AAATATTGTTTCTGTTCTCTCTCTCCTCTTTTTCTGGGACTCGAGTTACACATATATTAGGTCTTTTTCCTCTGTCCCCTGTGTCTCCTGTGCTCTTTTCTGTATTCTCTATCCCTTTTTCCATTCGTGCTTTAGTCTTACAGGTGCAGAGGAGATGATTTATCTCCTCTGTAACTATGCAGTGAGAACTGGACACTCACAGAAATGAGACTTTGATGGGTAGAGTAGGCACTAGTGAAGACTTGCCATACGGAGTTGAGTGCTGCTTGTGTACAGCTCTGTGCTGGTTCTGAGGCCTTCACACAGGGGCTTGCAAGCGACAGCATTAAGGCAGAATGGAAGAGAAGACAAAAAGTAAGAAATCGGAAGTAATGTCTGTGCTTTCTATTTGATTCTGTGTAGGAAGGATTTTGAAATTTGACCTGAGAAAATGAGGAGATACTTATATGAGAAGAAGTCAGTCAGTGGCTGGGAATGCAGAGTAGAGGGAGTGGACCCGTGGGTATCCTATTATTTTTAAAAGGTAAGAGGTTAAGGGCCTCTTACTCCCAGAAAAATACTTTGCTTTTAAATATAGTTTATGAGACTCCATTGGGTTTTCTAAGAGGTAAGATAACTCTCTTATGTTAGAAAACAGGCCTTGCTTAGGTTGAAAGGCAAAGCTGATGGCTCTTGCTGCTTAATTTCCCAAAGATCCCAGTGCACTTGGGATACTGTTAATGTACCAGCAGCAAAGCTCTCTCCTGGACCATTGTGTCCCATCCCCCCAAACTTTTGTGTCCCTCATCTCAGTGGTAAAATTTAAAGTGAACATTGGGTGAACAGGCTTAGGGTGGTTATTTTTAAAATTTTGCATGCAAGGACATTTAAAACAAAACACCACCACCAACTAGACTATCACTTTATCTTTTCAAAGGACATTTTAACAGTGCAAAAGTATAAAGGACATGCTTCAAGATAGAGGAAAAAAATGGAATGACTTAGTTTTGTGAAAGACTCATGATGTCACTTGGCTTCTAGACACCGTTTGAGACCTGACTGTGGCTTGCCATGGCCTTGAGAGCCATCCCACAGCGGTGATGCCGTTGGACCCTTTGGCTGGGACCTCAGGACCCCCTGGGGCAGCACACAAAGCCAAAGGGTTCAGCCTGATGGCATGATGCCCCTTTGATGACAGGGCTGCATGCAAGGCCAACGACAAGTGGCGTGCATTGACGCCAGCCTAATTTGCTGAGGGCACATGCCATGCTTCCTGCCATGCCAGCGCTCTTCTGCACTTTGCAGCAAGATAGATGCATTCTAGATCCAAGAGTTTGCACCCTTGGTGGCAGTGCGGGAGCATAGTTTTCTGCCTTCTCAGGAGCATTCTTGAAAAGGGGCTTTCTGTGTATTTCAGGAGCTCTGTGTTGGGGATGAGGGTGGTTCCTGTTCTCTCCTGTTATAGGTGAGGAAGCTGAGCCAAGAAGTAGGCTGGTCACCCAGGGCCATATGCTTATTTGTGACATCCCTGGGACTAGAGCCCAGACCTCAGTGGTGCATGCGGAAGTCTGAGCCTGGCCAGGCTCTGTAATTAGGCCCCAGAGGGGCTGTGTTAGGGCTTCCCTTCCCCCACCAGTCCAGTTCTGGGAACAGAGGGCCAGATCCTGAGAAGCTATGAGAACAGCCACAGGGTACTCCTTCGCCTTCTGGTGCCCCTTCTTCCTGTGCAGTGCTCCTGTCCTCTCCTGGGGCTGGGGGAAGCTGGAGGATACCAGGTGGTGACAGACAAAGACTGAATCACTGGGGAGTCAGGAAGACCTTGAAGCAAAGGGAAGCTGTGCTGCTGCATTTTCTGCATGGACTTGGCTGTCAGATGAGGGTTGTTGGATGCCTTAATAAAACCTGGGCTTAGCACCTGGTCTGTAGTTTGCTGCTGTTTATCTTTAGCTGTATCTTTGCCCCTTGCTGGTGGAGAAACTCCCCAGAGCCTTGCTCTGTAAATATGCCTGAGTTTCTGGCAGGAAAAGCCAATGTGAGGAACATTGACTTACTCATCCCTGCCCTTAAGCACTTTCCACCCAGCCTGCTAGGAAGGCCCTGTTTGTTGGAAGGTGTTTGATGTTTTGCTTTTTTTTAACCTCTTGGTGTCCACCTGGGCAGAAGCCGAGTGACTGCTCAAGGGAGGGCCCTGTTTGGCTCTGATGACCTCCCAGAGGGACTTTTGGGAGGATGGGGCCATGTGGGGGCTGGGCTCCAGAAGTCACATGAGACTGGCCTGTGCTCCTGCTTGGGGGAGAAGCTGCTTCTCCCTCCCCTCTCATTCCTTCGCTGCATAACTTCTCTCTGTGAGAAACACTCAGAAGCAGAGGCTTTAGAGCCTGAAGCTTGCGCTGGGCCCTTTCTGTTTTCCTCCAGGACTCCCTTTCTGGCCACGTAGGCCAAGCCGGGGGGCCTCTTAGAGTTCTAACGTGAATCCAAGCAGGGAGAGGTGTGAGGTGTCCCAAGGGCTGTGGGGGTGCCGAGTGGGGTCCCATGAGGACCCGGAGAATCTTGGCTGAGGTGCTTGTCTTCTGGAGTTGCCTCTGGGGCTGGCTGGTTCTGGCTGAGGGCAGAGCCTGGCCTGGGGTCCTGAGCATTGTAATGAGCCCAGGGCAGGAGGGCATCACTTTATTCTGGGTTCACTGGTGCAGAAGCCTGTGAGGCCAAGGTCAGGGGTGCCAGCCAGCTGGGCTGGTTTCTGCCACCTGGGGAGCCTGCTGACGGAGCCTGTCTGTCCGTCAGTGGGTAGCACCTCAGCTTGGCACCGGCTGGTCCTGAGGGACATGTGGGGCCTGAGGCCTCCTCTCTGGAATGTTATTTTGGTCATTTGTTTAATAACAGGTCCTTGCCAGTGGAGAGCTATGAGCCCAAAAGTGGCCAGAGAACATTTTGAGGGGTGTCCTGACAGAGGGTGTTGGGAACACACCTGTGCCTGCAGCAGGAGGGGCTCAGTGTGGCCCACCCTGCAGCTGTGGCATCTCTGGTAACCTGTGGAGCCACCTGCCTCTCTTGTGGGCTTGTCTCTGGACTTGCTCCAAGCAGAGAAGAATCTAGACGCAGAGACATTGGCGAAGGTCACTGCAGTGCACATGCTAACGTTGCCTGCCTTCGTTTATTTTGCTAAGTCAGATCGTGTGCTCGAGTGCTGGCAGGGCAGAGGTGGGAGGTATCAGGGAGTTCATGTTTAAGCGGGGACTGTGGCTCCCAGCCCTGAGCCCAGCGCTCTCCACAGTGAGAGAAACAGCTGATGTACTGGCCAGTCACAGACCCTGGTGCCCCTGTCCCAGCACAGCAGACATCTGTACCATGTATGTGTCATTACCCCTGAGGGCCAGGAGGCTCAGCTTATCCTGCCCCACGCTGCCCACGTGGGGCCTTGGAAGTGCAGCTGGTCCACAGCGGGATGTGCTGAGTATAACACACGTGGCATTTGGAGGCTTCATGCACAGGCACAGTGTAAAATCTCGCTAACATTTATTTTGATTACTTGTTGAAATGATACATTTTGGATATATTAAGTAAATTATGCTATTTGAATTCATTTTACATATTTCTTCTTGCCTTTTTCAATATGGCTACTAGAAAAGTTACAATGATATGTGTGGCTTGCCTTCTGTTTCTTTTGGTCTGCACCCGTCCAGCCTTTTTGAATAGAGTAATAAGAACAACAGCAGCTGCTCATGTGGCCTTTGTGTGTGCCCGGCCCGTGAGCGTGAGCGCTGCACTCATGCTTGTGTTCAGCCCTTACGGCAGCCTGTGACACAGGGGCTGCCTGGACAGCTGGGGACCTGGAGGGTGCAGTGTTACCCAGGGGTGGGTGAAATGTATTGCAAAAACATATAAAAAATTCTTTTTATTTTTAAAATTTACTTTTCATTACATTTTCAGCAAGTTCTGTATTTTTCATAAAAGTCATCTACAATCATTATAGAGAATTTGGAAACATGGAAGCAGATGCCAGTTTCCTTGCCCCTTAAAGAGAGTGCCCTGGTGTGAGCCCGCTCCCCTTGACAGCCCCTGGCTGCGATATTGCCTGGGTGCCGGACTGCGGGGCTGCGATGTTGCGTGGTCACAGTGCTCAGCCAGGTGCTCTTAACCCTCTGTCTACTTACCCATGCCTGCCCTGGAAAGCCAGCTAGAGCTGGGTATAAAGGAAGAGAATACTGGCCCTGCGTGAGGTGTGGACATTAGTGGACCTGCTGGGCTCTTGGGCAGGGGTCGGGAGATGGGGGTGGTTTTCTTGAACAGCTGGGATCATTCAGTGATTGATTTTTGGACAAATGAGGTGTTGGTGGGCTTTGATTTGGAAGACTGTGAAGGAGGAGAAGGGGAAGGCCTGGCACCCTGCGGTCGTCAGATATCAGTGCCTGCCATCCCTGCAGAAAGGGCAGGATGGGCGAGAGGGCCTTCCACTCCCCATTGAGGGCTCGCCCTGAGCCCCGCCATTGAGGGTTTGGGTTAGGGAGATAACCTAAAGTGTTCTTACTCTCACCAAGTGGTTTGTCTGCCTGTGGCAGCACCTTTCCTATTCCAGTGAATTAGGGAAGTCTAGGTGAGTGGAGGCTCTGCAGACAGACCTGAAGGGGGTGGGTGGTTCTGGGGGTGCCCTGTGTGGTCAGGATGGACTTGGCTGTGGGCCATCCCCTGTCTTTCTTGCCATTTTTGCTGGGTCCTTCACAAGTGCTTCCCAGCTGGCATTACTTTGGGGTGTCTGTGTGCCCAAGTCTGTGAATTATCAAAGGTGATGTCGTGGGGTGGGGACGCATGAATCTAGACACCTCTCTAGAGCCAAATGTTCTCTTCAGACAACGGGTGTGCATCTCCCACCTTGTTCCCCACTTTTGAAAACGCTGATGTGGCGTTGGACCGAGGGCCCCTGGGGCAAGTGGTGTCTGTGTGGCGCTGCCCAGGCCCTGTGGTTGGGTGGCGGGGGTGGCCCGGCCCTGTGTGAGCACTGAGTGCCCTCCATCTCCCCCTTGCAGGTCTGGCCGTGGGTCTGGGTTTCGGGGCACTGGCAGAGGTCGCCAAGAAGAGCCTGCGCTCCGAGGACCCCTCAGGTCAGCCGGGTCCTTCAGTGGGAGGGGCAGGGTGGGCCCTGGGAGGGTTGAGCCTGACTGCCCCCAGCCACACCTGTGCTCTGGGAGTGTCAGCCAGTTGGGCCACATTCGTACGGTGCTCCATGTGAGCGGCACCTGTGGGGTGGTGAGGCTGTTCATAGAGATGGACTGACTTGCTTTAGAGAGGGTGAGGCTGGAGGCCCTTCCTCCTCCCAGCCCCAAGTGGCCACCCAGACCCTTCCTTTTGGCTGCCTGCATACCCACACACCTGCACACTTCCTCCACATACCTGCACCCCCCTCACAGCCCCTCTGCACACACGCACAGCCCGACACACCCACCCGCACACACACTGCACACCTGAACACCTTACACACCCTCTGCTCACCCCTCACCCTCCTCCACACACCTGCACACCCCCTCACACCCCCCTCTGCACACATGCACACCCTTACCCACCCTCACACGTACTGCACACCTTACACATTCATCTACATACCCTCCACACGCCCATACACCTCCTTGCACACCCTCGTTGCACAGCCCCTTGCACACCCACTTTTTGCCGCTGCTCTACTCTTTGTGAGCCCCCGTGGCCTGCTGGTCTGGCTGGGTCAGACGTGGCTGGGGGCAGGGAGGTGTGCACTCCTGGGGCAGACCTTGAAGGCTTCTCCTCACCAGCTCAGTAACCTGGGGAGGCTGCAGCCTCTGAAGAGGCACCTCTTCACCCCTGAGGTGAAGGTCACAGCCAGGGTCAGGCAGGCGGTCAGTCAGGTCAGGACACTCATCCCACTGAGGCTGGTGGCCTGCTGTGGCTAGGCCTCTGTGGAGAGGTTCTGCAGACCGGCCACACTGAGGCTTTGGGTATTCATGCCACTGTGATGAGGAGTGGGGGACACTGAGCTCCTGCCGCCTCTGCCTGTGAGCACCAGGCTGGGGGTGTCTTCAGGCTTCCCCAGGCATGGGCGAGGGCCAGGTAGGTGCCAGATCAACCCAGCAGGGGCTTTCCTGTTAGCAGGGCCTGGGGTGTGGAGAGCAGTGCCGAGGGAGCTGTCTGCTTGCTGGATTTCCCTAAGTGCATTTGGAGTTCTGGGCCGAGTCCCCTGGCCCCAGCCCATTCAGGGAATAGGCTCATTCTGGTATCTTGCCCTTCCACCCCCGTCCATGGGGACCCCAGTGACACCCAGTGTCTGGCCACATTGCAGCCCTCACAGCCCTGCCTGCCAGCCTGTGCCAGCCTCCCTTGGAGGCCCTGCCTGCCCCCTAGACAGCCCCCCTCCACTCACCAACACTCCCTTCTGGGGTGAGGGCACCAGTCCATCTCATAGGCCCCAACTGAGTCCTGGGGACACAGGTGGCATGCATGTCCTTGGAAGGGGCTAAGGACAGAGGGCTTAGCAAGGGTATTTTTAGTGTTGGTGCTGAAACCCTCTGGGAAATAAAGCCTGCGTTTCTCTGGAAGAAGTCAGCCTTCCCCTACTGTCCCATACTGTTCCCTCCAACGTTGGCTGCTCTCCAGACTACCTTGTCCAAGCAGGGAAGAGGCCAGTCTGGCCCCACACCTACAGTTGGTGTCCTTTGTCAGGGTCAGTGGTGGCCCCAGGCTGGGGGTTAAGGGGCCTGGGTGTCGTTAGCTCTGAGAGTGGGGCCTGAGGCTTAGGCTTTAGTGGGATGGCCCTGGGCAGCCCCAAACTGTGCTCCAGCTTCCTGCCCAGGCCCTGGCACCCTCTGGCCTGGAGACCAGCCACCTCGGCTGAGCTCTGCCCTGGAAGGGCCTTTCCTGAGCTGGGGGCCGTAGCCTGGGCCATGCTGGCTCATCCTCATAGCCAGCCCTGCCTGGGCAGGGGACATGCCTCCAGCCTGTGAGATTGGCCAGCTTTGCTGACGGGCTACCTGGGAAAGCCCAGATTGGGCCAGGCACCGTCCCCATCTCTCAGGAGTGTTGCTGCCACCCCAGGACTGCTCTGTGTATCGTGAAGAGAGAGATGAGATACTCCCTCCTCTGGCCTCTGGGGCAGTGACCTCTGCCCATGTCTTCCCTTTCTGCCTGCCCCTCCCCAGGGACCGAGGCCCAGGCCTCCAGCCCACAAGTGCCCCAGGGCTAGGGGCCAGAGGGGACATTGACTGCCTTTCCTTCTGCACTGAACTGGCTCTGCCCATGGGTCATAGCTCAGCCTCTTCCCACGGGGCTAACATCTCCCACCTTCCCAAGGCCCTTCCTGCTGTCTGGGACCCCAGAGAGAACCCGGCCCTTTTCAATGCAGCTGTCTGCACTTCTGGGCAGATATGGTTCTTCTCTGAGGCTCCTGTTCTATTCTTAGGGTGGCCCACCCCACCATGGTTTCTCAGGGGCCAGGCTGCACTCAGCTCCGGGGCAGGGGGCAGTGGCACGGTCACCTCTCTCTTCCCTGCTGGGGTCCCGGCTCTGTGCCACCTGAGCACTGTGCCAGGCTGGAAGTGATTTGAGCTGAGGCAAGTGCCGGGTGCTATGGGAGCTAAAGAGGAGGAAGCTGCACTGTGGCCTCCTGGGGCTTCATATCTAACTAGATTCACTGGACAGAGGGCAGGAGAAGCTCTGAATGTCACAAGGGCTAGAGGCCGGACCAGAGGAGCTCAGGGAAGGCAGAAGGACCCAGACCCCTAGATTCCTGCTCAGGCCTCTCTGCGCTTCTGGACAGGGACACCCCCATGTTTAGGCAGTGCTGAGCTGATGGCCCAGGAATGGCCCAGGAGGGGGCAGAAGCCAGAGGGGACCCAGCCACCCTGGGCCACACAGCTGCTGGCAGCTGACTCAGCTGGCCTTCTGTTGCTCCTGAGTCATGGCCCTCAGCCTTCCCCGCCGGTGGACTGGAAAAAGCCCAACTGCACCCTTGAGGTCACTGCATGCTCATTGCTGTCAGCTGGCTGGAGAGGAGAGATGGGCACCAGGGGGTTGTGCTGCCCTTGACCTGAGTGCCCCTCCCTTGAGGACAGGCTCTGGCTGTAGCCACTTGGCCCCTTGTGACAAATGCATGCCAACCCCATGGGTGCAGAGGACCTTTGTGCAGTGCCCTGGGTCGGGGCGCACAGGGCAAAGGCTTGGCCCCTCCTCACCCAGGGTGCCCTCCCTCCCTCTTGGTCCTGCCCCCACCTCCAGCTGATTGTGCCTTTTCCCACGCACCTACCAGTCACAGGCAGCACCACAGCGCTGTCACTGCCTGCCAGGTCCCCACGTGGAGGGGAGAAGCCTTCTGTGGGTGTGTGTATGTGTACATATGTATGTGTGCATGCCTGTGTGTATTGGGAGGTGCTGGAGTAGGCCCTGGGATGTGGTTCACACAGGCTTGGGGAGGTGGACATGGAACAGTGAAGTTGTGTTGCTGCTTTTATGGATGCCCAGGAGAGGTTTTGCCATCCCACTCCCAGAGCCCCTCCCCGCAACTACCATGGTGACCCCTCCCGCCCACAGGGAAGAAGGCTGTGCTGGATTCCAGTCCCTTCCTGTCTGAGGCCAATGCTGAACGCATCGTACGCACGCTCTGCAAGGTGCGCGGCGCAGCGCTCAAGCTGGGCCAGATGCTGAGCATCCAGGGTGAGTGGCTGCAGGGGCCGCTGTCCCGGGGCTGTGTGGGCTGCTGCTGGGGTCAACTTCCAGGGTGGGGAGCAGTTGCCCCACCAAAGCTCAGTGGGCAAGATGTGTGTGGCCTGGGGAGGGATGTTGGTGCATAATAGGCGTGGTCTCTAGGCAGGTGGCTCTGGCTCTAAAAAACACATGGGAAAAAGAGCAGAGAGGAAAAACTGCTCTCTGGAGGCCATCAGACCACAGGACATTTCAACATTTTACTATGTTTCATTTTCCAAATTTCTTTTGTAATTATGAAAAACTCTGCATGCTGTGTGTAAAAAGCCCACCTTCTCAGGTGGCTGGGCTGAGGCTGGGGCTCTGGGGATGCCCAGGGTGCCTGTGAGGGCTCCTGTCTGGCCTCACCTGTGCTCCTGGTGGGGAGGGCATGGTGGCCAGAGCACCCCTGTCCAGGTCCTGCTGGCCTGGTATCCCTCCAGGCCGCGTTTTCATCCCCAGGTTCACCCTGTGACACTCTCTTGCCTTCCAGACGATGCCTTCATCAACCCCCACCTGGCCAAGATCTTCGAGCGGGTGCGGCAGAGTGCGGACTTCATGCCATTGAAACAGATGATGGTGAGAAGCCAAGGGCTCTACCTGCCCTTTGGGCCCTCAGTCCCCACTGGGTGGAGGGGATAGACTTGGGGCCTCTCTGGGTGGCCCAGGTAGGGCTGTGCTCAGAGATTCTCCCTGGCCCTGCTCTCCAGAAAACTCTCAATCACGACCTGGGCCCCAACTGGCGGGACAAGCTGGAGTACTTCGAGGAGCGGCCCTTTGCCGCTGCGTCCATTGGGCAGGTGCACCTCGCCCGCATGAAGGGCGGTCGAGAGGTGGCCATGAAGATCCAGGTAGGTGACCTGGTGCACGGTGCTTGTTGGGGGCAGAGCCTGGGCCTGGCTCATGGGGCCTCTGCACCCCATGCCCTGAAGGGCACCCTATCCCCTGGCAGGGCCTTGTGTAGTGTCCTGGCCCCAGTGCCTAGTTGGCACTGGAAGCTTGGGAAGTATTTGTTAAATGAGTGACTTTGGGGGCACGGAGGGGCCCCCGGCAAGCTTGGTTTGGGATGGGCAGGGACAGAGGACAAGTGATTGCCTTTTGTGGCCGGAGCTGGTGGCCCTGAGCTGTTCCTGGGGGTGGAGTGAGGCAGGAATAGAAGGTGGTTGAGGCTGTGATGGTGTCCAGAGGTCATGGCAGCATGGCTGGGTCTTAGCTCTGGTTCTTCAGGGTGCGGGCTGGGGACAGGACACAGCTGGGAAGCCAGCGGGAGGTGGGAGTGCCCCAGGCAGGGCCCACTCGTCTCCCTGGACTAACTCCCCTGCCCTGCCCCCACCCCACAGTACCCTGGCGTGGCCCAGAGCATCAACAGCGATGTCAACAACCTCATGGCTGTGCTGAACATGAGCAACATGCTTCCAGAAGGTCTGAGGGGCGGCTGGGTCAAGGGCAGGAGTGGGTGGCAGGAATCTGCACTGGGCTCTGGGGACCAGGGTGGGGCCTCCCTGCAGAGCCCCCTTCCCCACTGATGCCCTGCTCCTCCGCCTAGGCCTGTTCCCTGAGCACCTGATCGATGTGCTGAGGCGGGAGCTGGCCCTGGAGTGTGACTACCAGCGGGAGGCTGCCTGCGCCCGAAAGTTCAGGTGTGACCCCTGGCTGGGCCCCTTGCATGTTTCCACCAGGGAGGCAGAAGGGACCACGTTCAGCAGCTGGTGAAAGCCCCTCTGGCTCTGAGGGGCAGAGGGCTTGGGTTGCAGCCTGGGCTGAGGCCACACCCTGCCCGGGATGAAGAAGGGCCCTCTGCCTGGTGGGGTGTGTATGTGTGTCGGGGAGGTGTGGAGGGGCTGTGGCCAGGGTGTGACCTCCTGCCCCACCCAGGGAGCTGCTGAAGGGCCACCCCTTCTTCTACGTGCCTGAGATCGTGGACGAACTCTGCAGCCCACACGTGCTGACCACAGAGCTGGTTTCTGGCTTCCCCTTGGACCAGGCCGAAGGGCTTAGCCAGGAGATTCGGAATGAGGTGAGTCTGTGCCAGCAGACAGGTGGGGCCGGGGTGGCCCTGCTGTGTGGCTATTTGGTGACCTAATGGTGTAAGCCATGGCCTTGGAGTCCTGAGGTGCTCCCTAGGGGTGAGGGGTGGTGAAGTAGCACCAGTGGGACTTAGGGGGACATAGGGAAGCTGCTGCCTTCCCTGGCTCAAGTGACACTGGGAATCAAACAGTTCCTGGGGTGGGGTGGGCAAAATAGGAGGCAGAGGCTTCTTTGGCACCAGGCAGTGTGGTGCTGCCTGATGCAGGCCCCTCGTGCTGTCCCCAGATCTGTTACAACATCCTGGTTCTGTGCTTGAGGGAGCTGTTCGAGTTCCACTTCATGCAGACAGACCCCAACTGGTCCAACTTCTTCTATGATCCCCAGCAGCACAAGGTGAGCCCCAGGGTGGGGACACCTGCAGCCCGGCCTAAGAGCTCTGAATGGGGTGCCTGAGGCCTTGGCTTACCCCTCATCCTAGGAGTCAGCAGAGCACTCAAGGTTTGGGAGTGGGGGTCTTCACTGCCCTCTGTTGCACCCCTCCCCGGCCCCACAGCCCTATCATGGAGCACCAGGGCCAACCTTCTCCTGGTGTCTTTTCCCAGGTGGCTCTTTTGGACTTTGGGGCAACACGGGAATATGACAGGTCCTTCACCGACCTCTACATTCAGGTAAGGTCAGGAGAGGGGCCTGGCCTTGGTCCATGTTTTTCCGAGGCTGGGACAGGATGCTGGGGGACTCGGGGCAGGGGGAATGACTGGGGTCCTGACCTCATTCCTCATCTGCGCTGCCTGTTCCTCAGGTCTGGTGACTGCCAAGTGTGTCACAGCACTGGCCTGGGTCCTGTGCATGGAGAGGGTGGGGTGGGTCTGGGTGTGGCACTTGGCTCCCTGGGATATCGGAGCTTTTCTTTCTGTGCTGCCCACGGTCCCCTCCTGTGCCTCTCCACAGATCATCAGGGCTGCTGCAGACAGGGACAGGGAGACTGTGCGGGCAAAATCCATAGAGATGAAGTTCCTCACGGGCTACGAGGTCAAGGTGAGCAGGGCTGTGGAGGTTTCCCTGGGTCTGCTGATCCAGGGCCCAGCTCCCTGTTTAGGAACGGATGCCAGCACAGGGGGCAGCTGCCCTTGAGCCTGGGCCTCCTTGTACACGGTCTGAAAGCTGGGGCCCGCCCCGGCCCATGCCGATGTGCTCTGTGCGTGAGATTTTCTGAGAACCGGTGAGTTGGGGACTCAGGACTTGTTGTGACGCTCTTGTTTCTGCCTTTCACTCTCGCCCACTTAGGGCTTGGAGTTGCGCTGGACTGTTTTTTGGCCAGAACAGTGTTTTTTTAAAACTCTGAATGAGGGCCACGAGGCAGGCTCATCCTCTGCATTGTACCACAGGCCGCACCACCCGCTTTTGTATTGCATCAGCCCAGTTCACACATTACCCTGGGGTTCCCAGCGCCTGTGGGTTTGAGTTTATGCTCGTTACCATGATGTAATCCAGTTTACAGCAGAGCTTTGAGTAAGAAGGCAGCACTCCAGCACCACGGGAGGAACCCAGGCTGGTGGAGGGCTCTGGTGTCTCACTGCCATTTACCCTTCCTCTCCTGCCCCAGGTCATGGAGGACGCCCACTTGGATGCCATCCTCATCCTGGGGGAGGCCTTCGCCTCTGAGGAGCCCTTTGATTTTGGCACCCAGAGCACCACTGAGAAGATCCATAACCTGATTCCCATCATGCTGAGGCACCGTCTTGTCCCACCACCTGAGGAGACCTACTCCCTGCACAGGAAGATGGGGGGCTCCTTCCTCATCTGCTCCAAGCTAAAGGCCCGCTTCCCCTGCAAGGCCATGTTCGAGGAGGCCTATAGCAACTACTGCAGGAGGCAGGCCCAGCAGTAGGGCTGGGGCCCAGACCAGCTCCGAGGGTACTGTGTCCTTCAGACAGGCTGAAAACCAGTAGGGAGGTGGTGGAAATGCTCTGTTTAACTCCTTTGCCCAGTTAGAAGGGGTGGCTGGTTCTCCTGGGAGGCAGGGGCCACCTGGAGCCAGCGTGTTCCACAGTTCCTGTCACTAAATGGTTGTAGGGTGAGAAGTAGAGGAGTGAAGGTGAAGCCCACTGCTGGGTCCGTCTGCCTTGGGTGTCCTCTGAAAGAAGTAGATGAAGATGAAAAGGCAACTTTGTTTTCTTTTCCTGATGTGAATGTTAAGCAGAAGGGAGAGTCCTTACTCCCTTGCAACCTCTGCTCCAGTTCAAAACCCAGAAACCAGAACACAGATCTGATTGTGGGATTTTATCATCTGTGTAGTAGGGTGTGTGTGTATGTGTTTCTAGAGTGAGATTTGTGTTTTCTGCCCTTTTCCTCTCCGGCCAGTGGGCTGGAGCTCGGAGAGGTGCTGATCTAACAGTGCCAACAAGTGCTCCTTCAGCCTGCAAGCTCAGGCCTGTGGGGCTGGCTCTCACTTTTGACAGCTGAATGTTTCTAAAGAACTGCTGCCCCAGGGGGAGGATGGAAGCAGAACAGGGAATGCCAGACACACGCTGGCTGCTGCTGGAAGGCAGAGTGGGGCTTCCTTCTTCTGTCTGAGGAGAGAGGCAGGTGTCACCATTTCCAGCCGAAGCCTCCTCACAGGCTCTGTCAATTTTTGTACAAGTCTTTGAATTAATTATTGAATCAAGTTGTTTTAGTGTAATAAAAACGCTTGTGAGAAGTGCTTTGGTGCTGGTACCCACTTCTGTATTCTGGAGAATGACGATGAGCTGTACCTTTTAGCTTGTGGTAGTGTTTCTTTTCTGACCTCATGGTTAGAGCAGGCTCAGTGTCACACCCTATTTGCAAGGTTTGGGCCTGGTTCAGCATGAGGCCCTTGGCCCTGAACCTGAAAGGCTCAGCCCGTTCACTATAAGAGGGGAGGGTGGCAGGGGTGGAGAACAGGAGGCGGCTGTGGTGTCACTGCCCCAGCCCCCTGGCAGGCTGTACTACACTGCTGAAGCAGCTGTACCCAGTGATGGTGGCAACTGTGGGAGGACAGTGACACTTGCCAGTAGGGCTGGTGCCAGGTCTGCATCACAGCAAGACCCTCTCTAAACATCAGCTGAAGTTGAGGACCACTTCCTGAAAAGTGGCTTTTCCTGGGGCCAGCTTCATTCCTAGGTAATAGGACAGGCTAGACACTGAGCTGGGGCCCTTCCTACAGACCTGTGAGCACTTGAAAGTGCATTTGCAAACCGCAGAGGTCCAAAGGAGGCTTACAGAGGTATAAGCTTTCAGAGTTCTTAAAGAAAATGTGCTTTCTGAAATTTGGGACTGCCGAGTAACAGACCCAGCAGGCTCCGGGACAGGATGGAGAGGCCTGTGGGGTGTCCGTGAGGCCAACTGGCTAGCACCGGCACCCAGCACCACTGTCAGATCCCGGCTAGAACTCTTGCAGCCCTCTTAAGGGTATTTGCTGCTTTTTTTTTTTTTTTAAATAAATTGGGTGCATATATTTTTTCATTTTTTTATGCAGCAAAGATTTTAATTGAGGTAAACACAGATAACATCATACACCATATGAATTCATTTTTCTGAAAAAATGAAAATGACTTCATTAAAGAAAAAGGACTAAAATGACCTATTAAAATTAAAAAGATTTACAAATATTTCGGTCACTAAATATTTTTCAGTTTTTAATTAATACTGTTACAAACTTTCTGAGTAAGTACTATGAATTATGAATCTGGAAACCATCATTCTCAGCAAACTGACATGAACAGAAAACCAAACACTGCATGTTCTCACAGGCAGGCGCTGAAAATGAGAACACGTGGACTCAAGGAAAGGAGCATCACACACTGGGAGCAGCTGGTTGGGCGGGGGGAGGGGGGGCAAGGGAGGGACAGTGGTGGGTGGGGAGGGATAACATGGGGAGAAAGGCCTGATATAGTCAAAGAGGGAATAGAGGCAGCAAACCACCTGGTGATGTATGCACCTAGGCAACAACACTGCGTGACCTGCACATGTACCCCAGAACCTAAAGTAAAAAAGAATAATTCATAGTACTTACTCAGAAGGGTATTTGCTGCTCTTTAGCGAACTCTGCAGCACTCAGATCTGGAGCCACCACCCTGCAGAATAAATAGCAGGGGCAGAACCCAGGCCAGCCTCTTCCTCTCAAGCCAAACAAGTCAAGTAGTAGCATGGCGGGGTGGGGAGGGAGGGGAAAAGAACAGAGCCAGCATTTGCTTTCCCAGGAACCACAGGGACCCTAACTGCTGGGAGAGGAATTTTCTAAGGGAAACTGGAATGCGGTTTATGTGCCCTAAGTCTGAGAGAGCCAAGAACTAGCGGACTCCCTGTGAAGACAGTGGGGATCACTAGATTGCAAATGACTCTAATTCCCAGTAAAGCCAGCTCTGAAACTGGACACACATTTTGACTTCTCCTGTATCGTGATGAACTACTCTCCATGCTCACCCATTCACACTGAGGACGTGGGGCATGAGAACATGGCAAATTATGACTTGATTTTCTGGGCCTTTCTATCTCTAACATCTAGTGAAGGGCTGGACACAGTGCAACAAAAATAGTATTTGTTACTGTAGGCTTTGGTGGTTACTCAAGGACAAAACACTGAGCCATAGGCTAGAAGTTAATTCTGAGTGCTTTTCTATATAAACTCGTGACACTCCAAGCAGGCCTTTTTATAGAGGAAAAAAAAAAAAAGCCCAGAGGTTAAGTGGCAGAAGCAGGATTTGGAACAAGAGTCTGGTCTTACAGTCTGCACTAAGGGACCAAACCAAGGCTGGCAAACTATGATGGCCCAAGGGCCCTGAATTCTCTGAGTTTTGCTGGAGCGCAGCCACGCTCCTTCATGTGTGTAGTAGGCTAATACAGTTTCTGCACTGAAATGCCGCAGCTGAGGAGCTGCAAAGAACTAGATATACAGCCCACAAAGCCACGAGGATTTCTTAACTGGTCCTTGAAAGAAAAGGGTTGCCAAGCCCTGTTCTAAAGCACTGCACAGCTGACATTATAGCAAGCCAACATAACAGTAACAGCCACAAATGTCAACTCCATGGGCAACCGGGAATGTTCTCCAAATAACTATTTAGCTGCCACCAGTTTAGGAGTTCCTTTAATGCCACCCTTGGACTTTACCTGTAGGTTCTTAGGTGCACCATTCTAACTCCAGAAAAGCAGTAACAGTTCCGTTTAAGTGACACAAAGTCAAACTGCCCCCACATTCACACTGTCAGGAGCACTCAGGAAACCTCATGCAGGCAGAGCTTGGTCTTGTGGACTGAAGTAACAGCAACAGGGATGTTATGGCCAGGAGAGGGGAGTCGAAAGCTTCAGGAGAATTTAACATGACTCTTACCTGAGCTAAGGAAGAAATTAAGACAATCCTAGATTAAACCACAGGGGCAAAGTAACCCCATGTCCCTTTACAGCGTAAGGAAGCAGCCTGGATGAGGAGGGAAGCCAGCAGAAAGCGAGAGAAGTGAGATGTGGAGAGGCAGCACCTTTCTCTATTCCTCAGACTTCCCAGTGGCTGTTAAAAAGACAAAATACTCGATGCTAACAGTTCTCTGTTTTATTGCAATACATCAAAGTCTGGTTAATATTAAGTGATATCAACATAAAATATTGGTGAGGAGTCTTTCGTGACATTTTTACTATCCCACCTTAAATATTTCTGTGCAAAAGAATCCACATCATTGTTTGGTAGCAGAGGATCGCTTTATAAAGTTCCCTAACACATTGAGGGCAAAAACCAAACAAAAAATAATGAGTGACAGGCTAAAGCAATATCTCTTTCCCCCTCTGTCACACATATTTGTCAGCATTATATTCTAACCAAAAAATGATCACACCAGGCCATGCAAAACTGTACAATATTACAAGAAAAACCCTAAAAAATGTATAAAATGATATTACACTATCAAATAAAAAGGCAAGTCATTTTGTTTTCATGAGATTTCAAGGTTGACTGGAGTCAGCTTCCCCCAGACCTGCACTGGTGTCGTGTGTAGGGAGGGGTGCCCAGCCTGCTGCCGGTGCTGGGTGGGAGCCTGCACTCCGAAGAGGGAGGCCTCCTTATCTAGCAGGAGTGCACAGAGAACTCTGGACTTGGGTAGCAATAAGTCACAACAAGGAAAGAGGTTTTAAAATGGGCTCAATGAAATGCAGCTCATCTAGTTCAGGGCTGGGCCAGAGAGAGTGGGGAGTGGAGTGCCCAATTCAACCCTTTGTGCTCAGCGGATGTGCGCTACGGCACAGTCTGGCAGGAGCGCCTGGCTGCTCTGAGTACCCCTCTGTCTAGAGTGGATGGGGAGCCTTAGGCTTGGCAAGGCCCACCTGCTGGGAGACCGCAGTGCTTGTGATCCTAGCCAAAGGCGGCAAATGGCCCTGCTGTGTCCGTGCTTTTGACGTCTGCTCACCCCTGCTCTGGCTTTTCCTTAATGATACCTGAGATGCCACATAAATGTAACCAGTTTTTCTCAGAAACAGATGTGGCCGCTAAGTAACAAAATGACATAATTCTATAACCTATGGAAAGAGAGAGGCTGAGAGCCAGCCAGGAATGACAGATTGTTGCTGTAAACAAGACAGGAATTTCAGATTCTTCCCTGAAGCTTGGGTACAATAATTGGCTGGAAAACCAAATAGCTGGGCCCTTTTTAGTTGTATCTCATAGCCTTAAAGCTGCCCTCCCTGGGAAATAACATAAATCACCAAGTGTGTTGGGGGTGTGTATAAATACATATAACAAAAAATGTAAGATCTACTTTAGCAATCATTTGACAAGGAGCAAGCCTTTTGTTTTTGGCAAAAAGAAATATATATATATATGTATGTAATTTTAAACACCAAAGCACAAAACATGATTAGTTAGAATTCAAGGGTAGATAACTTGGCTGGACATAGATAGCACCAAATACTAACGCAGATAGACTATCCCAGAAATGCCTCTGCATGTATGTTTCCATTGAGAAACAAGTTCCTGCTGCCATATAAAGTTTTAAAACGTCTGGCATGAAAACAAAAGATGACTTCAGATAGTAATAAAACAGCTTTTCTGTGAGCTGTTACTGACGCCTCTGAATGGTCATTATGTTTTTTTCCTCTGGAACCCACTCTGTCTTTTCAAATCATTCTCAGAAGCTTCTGGAGGTAACAGGCTTCATATTTAAGGGTGGGATAAAGCCAGTAGGATAATCATTGTTGTGGGAAAAACCTCCCCAAAACTATTACCCTTGGTAGTGTTTCTCCCCTAAAGCCTTGCTTTTAGAGCCTGCACGTTTGGAAATGCTCTATTACAACAGAAGAGATTATCTGCCATTGCAGTGGAAAAATCAAAGAGAACTGTGGGGCAATCCACGGGTGAATATGGACAAGCCACCCAGTTAGCCTGGCAACCAAGACAAGCCTCGGTAGCTCTCTCTCATCTGCCCTGTTGGGAGGTTGAAGAGTATGACCCGTTGCATTGGAGCCTAGACTTTCGGTAGGGTTATATTTTGATCCCAAAAGCATCCTTTGAAAAATAAGCACCTATAGGCAACAAAAATTCACAATTACTCGTCAAAGCTACAAAGTAATGGCTTATGTTGGGTCCTGTTAATCTTGGCTTGAGATGGCCTCCTCCCTGCCCGAGAAGAAAAAGGAGAGAGGAAAAGGCAAGGGGAAAGGAAAGAGGAGGATACGGAGGTTGGGGAGAGTGGGAAAGAGAGGAAGGGAGGGTGGAGAGGAGGGGTGTGAGCTGGTCACAAGCACCCAGCAGACCCCCTTCTCTCACGTGGAGTGACGAGGGCAAGGATCTACCAAGACATATGACAGTGACCCAACTACAGGCCCAACCCTTGGTATTCAGGTGACAAAAGTATTTTTATACTTCTTTCCAAAAAGCAGAAAGATTTTGGCGATCAGAACTGTGCAGTGAATTACACCTATCCAAAATAAAGTATAATCAAATCTGAGCTGGCACCAAACCCAGAATGTTTAAATGTCAAAGCTGTTATATGAAAATTCCTGATTATAGGCGCTTGCAATGGAATGCCCAGCAGGATCTTTCTTCCCCTGCTGCATCTCAGAACCTTCTCCATAGAGCAGCATCATCTGGAAACAGCCTCAGCTCTCTGCACATGCTGCAGGCCAGCATGGGCTGCTGCCAGTGACACAGAGGTGGAGTCACAGCAGCAGTGAAATGATGGCCTTAAACACTGCAACCCAAGTTAGCAACCGCAGGAAAACTCTTCATTTTTGCTGAATTTTAAAGACAGACTCCTGTCTCTATTTCTCAGAGAAACTTAAGCGAAAAGTGAAAGTGGCAAAATCTCTTCCCTTCCATGAGATATTTTTATTTTTATCTCTTTCTCTACTTGTGTGCTTAACTGGTAAAATGACTCTGTAGAATAGACTGCTGGTTCTGCATCTCACTTCCTTATGGCAACTTCAACAGGAGGAATCCAGCTGGAAATGCCACTACCACCACAATCCAGCACCCAAGAGAACCCAGCCTGAGCGCCACGCTGGGTTCACCCTGGCCTGTGCACTGGGGTTGTCCCATCCATTTTCCACTGGCTAAGGGGAATATTTGGTTAAGGCTGTTCAAGCCCTTGCTTTTGAGGTTTTACATTATTTGGTAATAAAAGCCTTTCTTTCTTCCCCAGGCTTATCTGAAGAAACTCACAGCCACCCTCAACAAAATGGACTCCTCCTTGGGAAGCGTCTCCAGCCCTGGGATGGACACTTTACTGTGACTTAGGGAGGGACAGGATTATACCAGGAATAAAAGCACTTTTAGAAACTGTTTTCTGGATCTTCAAAAGCTACAACACTCCTTGTACCCTTTCAGATGGAAGGGATCAGGTGTAGAATCATATATTTCTACATTTATCTGAGGAAGACAAAGTACAATAAAAAGTGAGAAGCGTTCAAATTCTACCACTAGGAAAAGAGACGTCTTGGGTAGAGAGGAGTTAGCCTTTTGCTGCTGCTGCTGAAGTGGCTGCAAATGTTTGGTGCCCAGCCCACACTCTGGAACAGCAAAACCAGGGTCTGCAAATGTCTTCTAAAGCTCCCCAGGTGACTGGAGCCTACGACCAGTTTGAGGACAGGGCAATAAAGGGACCTCTCCTCTCCCTCTAAAAATGTGAGCTTGAGGCCTTTCTACCCTTTACATTACTTAGCTGGGAGACAGACAAGAAACAACACATTTCTTTAAATTAAATCATCTCTCTTATATATGCATCCATCTTTTGTTGAATACAAGAGGCTTCTTTTGACTATATACATTCAGTATTTAACTTCGACATTTATGTATTCATTTAAACTCTGTATTGTAGTAAAATATGCATTGTTTTAATTCATAAGGATTTCCTGGCAACAATCAGGTTGACTCTCACCGTGGTTGCTGAGTACAAGAGCTTGGTGAGCCACTCCAGGGATGGATTCTCCCCTTTGGATGCAGAGAATTGGGACTATAATGAGACTCTACTGTGAAAACAAAATCTGTCTAATCTTATTCTTATCACTTACATTTGTGTAATCCGTCTATTTAAGCTACCTTTGGGGGAGGAATAAAATGTTACTGAAAGCAACTCTAAGTGCATGGAATGAAATCAATGTTAAATCTAAGCTGCTATGGAAAGTCTATCTTTGCTGTTGCTGTTAGGCTGGGGGCATGGATCTGAGAGTCAGGTTGTCAGAACTTCTGAATCCCTGTCCTGCTACTGCTGCCAGCCCCTGGTGGCTTTCAGGCCGAGGTGGAGGGAAGAGATGAAAGTGAGAGGAGGCAAGTGGCAGGGAGTGGAGAGCGAGAGGTCCCGGTGCTGAGGCAACTCACGGGTCCCAGCTCCCGCGGTCAGTGCTCTCCAGAGAGAGGCTCTTGGTCTTTCGGGGTGAAACTGGGCTTGGGGGGCTGCTCAGGTTGGAACTGTTGGAAGCCGTGGAATGCCTTGGAGAGTCAGAGTCCTGTAAGACCCAAAGTAACACATCAGTGAGATGCAGGGGGAGAAGGGGAGACAGGCAGAGGGGCTCAGATTACCTCTGTCCCCTCCAGCCACCCTGACCAAATAACCCCATGGGGCTTCCTTACTGTCAGTATAAAGCCCCTTCTATGAGCTGAGGAAGAGGCACAGAACATACATGCTCAGTTCTTTCTGTTAAAGATGATGGTATTTTCACACAAAAGCCAGAAGTTTGAACATCTCTGGGAAAATGGCAGTTTGCAACCCAAGTGACTGGTCTTGCTGCCCACTGTCCAAGAGTGAACGCTGGCCGCTGGCCCCTGCCCCCTGCCCCCTGCCCCCTGCTGCAGTTGAGGCCAATCCCAAGGTGGTGGGATTGTTTGGGTAGATGCACTAGTCTTTCTGATATGCGGTGTCTCCAGACCCCTGCCCACTCACCTCTCCATCGAAGTCCCTCGCTGGGGCATCACTTCCTTGGTCCATGCCTCCGGAGGACAAAGAGCCCTCTGATGGGGAGGGCATGGGCTGCCGCTTGGCATTGTAGCTTCCTCCAGAGAATTCCCTCTTTAATGCGCTGCCATTCTGTGCGGATGACCCTATAGTAGTATATCATGTGGGCAAAATTTTACATATGTGGAGACGACAATCCTCTAGAAAGCATACAGACTGCTGAGCTGGTGGGCCATCTTTGCAGGCCCCAGACCCCTCCTCCCCTGATGCACGTTAAGTCCAACTGTGGTACCTTTGCCCTGAGCTCAACCCAAATCCAGCAATCGCACTCCTTCTTCCTGTCCACCCCAACCACAGGGACTCCTGGTGAGCGAGTAGCACTGCCTAGGCTGTGCCATCTGTCCAGATGCCCCAGTTGCTAACAATTCCCTGGGATCCCTCCAGTCTCCACCTGCCTGGTACTACCTTGCAAGTCCTTCCCAGCTACTGGTGGCTCCCAGGCATCTTTCACACATCTTTTTCATGATATTTATAAAGTCATGTTATCATGTGCCTGCCATTCTCCTAATACATGGGGTGTCTTTGCCTCTCCAAGGCCTAGCACATGTCATGGCACATGGCAGGCTCAAAACAGACGTGCTAAATGAGAAAGCTGGGCTGAACCATCCCCAGAGAGCGGCCATGCCACCCAATGCAGAAATACCACTTATCTTCTAGAAACTTTTCATAAAACCACAAAGAAACCATAAATGTACTTTTATTTCACAGGACAAAGAGCCTGAGATATAAAATAAAAATGAGGTTTTCTTCAAAGCCACTCTCTGTTGTGTTCTCAGAGTTGGGGTACCTAACAGTGGACCAGTAGCATTCACAGAAAGAAAAGGGAAGACCCCAAACTCCCTGGGGAACCTCAGAGCTATTGTCAGTACCTATTTAAAGCTCTCGGTATTCCCTACTATTACGTGGCTTTTGCTTAAACATGCCTTAATCGTGCTGAGTTTCAGTATTAGGATTATGGTCCAAAAGACAGTGTTGAGGTTTTAGCACAACTCTAAGGTATGGACTGTGCTTGTTCCACTTCTTGCTTAACATGTCTCAACTGTTTTTTACATTAAGAATTCAGTGAAAACGTCAAAAAATAATAGTTTAAAGCAGCACAGTTATCTAATGACCACTGAAATACAGAAGTGTTCATTCATAAATAAACTGAACAAGAGCCTGCTTGGGCAGACTCTGGTCTTGGTAATCCCCCTTCCACCTCCTCTCGTCAGTTTCTTTGCGAAGCCCCTAGGTTGCAGTCCAGTCTCCTTGGCATTTCCTCAACACTGTAGCTGACTGCAGATCAGTAACATTGGTGGTATACTGTTCAGCGTATGACGGAGCTTTGCAAACACCAATGCCTGGCCCTATCCCAGAACAATCACAGGAGAGTTTCTGATTTAATATTAAAAGCTCTCCTGTAATTTTTGCACATTGATTTTGTATCCTGAGACTTTGCTGAAGTTGCTTGTCAGCTTAAGAAGATTTTGGGCTGAGACACTGGGGTTTTCTAAATGTACAATCATGTCATCTACAAATAGAGACAATTTGACTTCCTTTCTTCCTACTTCAATACTCTTTATTTCTTTTTCTTGCCTGATTGCCCCGACCAGAACTTCCAACACCATGTTGAATAGGAGTGGTGCGAGACGGCATCGTTGTTTTGTGCCGGTTGTCAAAGGGAATGCATCCAGCTTTTGCCTATTCAGTATAATACTGGCTGTGGGTTTGTCATTAATAGCTCTTATTATTTTGAGGTATGTTCCATTAATACTTAGTTTATTGAGAGTTTTTAAGCATGAAGCAGTGTTGAATTTTACCGAAGGCCTTTTCTGCATCTATTGAGATCATCATGTGGTTTTTGTCACTGGTTCTGTTTATGTGGTGGATTACATTTACTGATTTGCACATGTTAAACCAGCCTTACATCCTAGGGATGAAGCTGACTTGATCATGGTGGATAAGCTTTTTGATGTGCTGCTGAATTTTGTTTGCCAGTATTTTATTGAGGATTTTCACATCGATGCTCATGAGGGATACTGGCCTGAAATTTTCCTTTTTTGTTGTGTCTCTGCCAGGTTTTGGTTTCAGGATTATGCTGGCCTCATAAATGAGTTAGGGAAGATTCCCTCTTTTTTTCTTCTTTGGAATAGTTTCAGAAGGCATGGTACCAGCTCCTCTTTGTACCTCTGGTAGAAATCTGCCTGTGAATCCATCTGGTGCTGGGCTTTTTTTGGTTGGTAGGCTATTAATTACTGCCTCAATTTCAGAAATTGTTATTGGTCTATTTAGGGATTCAACTTCTTGGTTTAGTCTTGGGAGGGTGCATGTATCCGGGAATTTATCCATTTCTTTTAGATTTTCTAGTTTGTTTGTGTAGAGGTGTTCATAGTATTCTCTGATGGTAGTTTGTATTTCTGGGGGATCAGTGGTGATCTCCCCTTTATCATTTTTTATTGTGTCTATTTGATTCTTCTCTCTTTTCTTCTTTATTAGTCTGGCTAGTGGTCTATCTATTTTGTCAATCTTTAAAAAAAAACAGATCCTGGACTTGTTGATTTGAAGGATTTTTGGTGTCTCTATCTCCTTCAGTTCTGCTCTTAGTTACTTCTTGTCTTCTGTTAGCTTGTGAATTTGTTTGCTCTTGCTTCTCTAGTTCTTTTAATTGTGATGTTAGAGTGTCAATTTCAGATGTTTCCCACTTTCTCCTGTGGGAATTCATTGCTATAAATTTCCCTCTAAGCACTGCTTTAGCTGTGTCCCAGAGATTCTGGTATGTTTTGTATTTGTTCTTATTATTTTCAAAGAACTTATTTATTTCTGCCTTAATTTCATTATTTACCCAGTGGTCATTTAGGAGCAGGTTGTTCAGTTTCCATGTCATTGTGTGGTTCTGAGTGAGGTTCTTAATTTTGAGTTCTAATACGATTGCACTGTGGTCTGAGAGACTGTTTGTTGCAACTTCCGTTATTTTGCATTTGCTGAGGAGGGTTTTACTTCCAATTATGTGGTCAATTTTAGAATAAGAGTGATGTGGTGCTGAGAAGATGTATATTCTGTTTATTTGGGGTGGAGATTTCTGTATATGTCTGTTGATACTGATTCCTCTTGAATCAATGTGCAAAAATCACAAGCATTCCTATATACCAATAATAGACAAACAGCCAAATCATGAGTGAACTCTCATTTACAATTGCTACAAAGAGAATGAAATACCTAGGAATACCACTTACAAGGGATGTGAAGGACCTCTTCAAAGAGAAATACAAACCACTGCTCAAGGAAATAAGAGAGGAAACAAATGGATGGAAAAACAGTCTATACTCACGGATAGGAAGAACCAATATTGTGAAAATGACCATACTGCCCAAAGTAATTTATAGATTCAATGCTATCCCCAGCAATTGAATTTCTTCACAGAAGTAGAAAAAAAACTACTTTAAATTTCATATGGAACTAAAAAAGTGCTTGTATAGCCAAGACAATCCTAAGCAAAAAGAACAAAACTGGAGGCACCATGCTACCTGATTTGAAACAAGGCCATAGTAACCAAAACAGTGTGGTACTGGCACCAAAACAGATATACAGACCAATAGAAGCCTCAGAAATAAAGCCACACATCTACAACCTGATCTTTGACAAACCTGACAAAAACAAGCAACGGGGAAAGGATTCTCTATTTAATAAATGGTGCTGGGAAAACTGGCTAGCCATATGCAGAAACTTTCTTACATCTTGTACAAAACTGGACCCCCTTCTTTACATCTTGCACAAAAATTAACTCAAGATGGATTAAAGACTTAAATGTAAAGCCATAAAAACAATAGAAGAAAACCTAGGCAATAATATTTAAGACACAGGCATGGGCAAAGACTTCATGACCAAAACACCAAAAGCAATGGCCACAAAAGCCAAAATTGACAAATGGGATCTAATTAAACTAAAGAGCTTCTGCACAGAAAAGAAACTATCATCAGAGTGAACAGGCAATCTACAGAATGGTGGAAAATTTTTGTAATCTATCCATCCAATGAAGGGCTAATATCCAGAATCTACAAGGAACTTAAATTTACGAGAAAAAAAAAACCCTATCAAAAAGTGGGCTAAGGATACAGACAGACATTTCTCCAAAGAAGATATTTATGTGATCCATAAACATATGTAAGAAAAGCTAATTATCACTGATCATTAGAGAAATGTAAATCAAAACCACAATGAGATACTATCTCATGCCAGTTAGAATGGCAATCATTAAAAAGTCAGGTAACAACAGATGCTGGAGAGGATGTGGAGAAATAGGAACACTTGTACACTGTTGATGGGAGTGTACATTAGTTCAACCATTGTGAAAGACAGTGTGGCAATTCTTCAAGGATCTAGAACCAGAATTACCATTTGACCCAGTAATCTCACTACTGGATATATACTCCAAGGATTATAAATCATTTTACTATAAAGACATCTGCACATGTATATTTACTGCAGCACTGTTCACAATAGCAAAGACTTGGAACCAATCCAAATGCCCATCAATATAGACTGGATAAAGAAAAGGTGGCACATATATACCATGGAATACTATGTAGTCATAAAAAAGGATGAGTTCATGTCCTTTGCAGGGACATGGATGACTCTGGAAACCATCATTCTCAGCAAATTAACATAGGAACAGAAAACCAAACACTGCATGTTCTCACTCATAAGTGGGAGTTGAACAATGAGAACACATGGACACAGGGAAGGGAACATCAAACACTGGGGCCTGTCAGCGGGTGGGAGGTTAGGAGAGAGAAATATCTAATGTTGATGATGGGTTGATGGGTGCAGCAGACCACCGTGGCACATGTATACCTATGTAACAAACCTGCACATTCTGCATATGTATCCCAGAATTTAAAGTACAGTAATTTAAAAAAGGTCTAAAAAAAAAGCTCTCCTGATGATTCCAGAAGGTCCCTTGGGCCAAGAATCACTGACAACCTCATTCCCCAGGAGATGTGCCTCCGCTGGCACTCCATCCCCACCAGTGGGTTTTTCCATATGCACTGATCTTCATTTGTTGACATGTTTCTTGGGAAATATACCCTCTTTTTTTTTTTTTTTTTTGACGTGGAGCTTCTGCCTCCTTAGATTACAACCTAATTGAAGGCCATAAAATGTTTTTGAGTTTTCTTCCAATTCCATGCCTAGTTTAGTACTCAGTTCAACAAAAAACAACAAATAACAAAAAAGTTACTTTAAAATTTTGTTACTCTGCACAGAAAGCCAAACTGCCAGAGACCTCCAATGCTCTGCTTACTTATGGTGTGACCTCAAGCAAATTATTTTACCTTTCTGAGTTTCCATTTTCTTTACCTTTAAATAAGAAAATAAATTCCACCTCAGAGGACTTTGTGAGAACAACTCAACACTCAACGCATGGAGAGTAACATGCAAGACAGGAGGTGTGTGGGAGCCCACACTGTGCTTCTGGCCTTTTCACTATCTCCCTTCTTACTGTGTCACGGATCTTGCTGGGACTGTAACACAATATAAGGTAGATCCCTTTCTAAAACATAAAAACATTCTGGCCTCAAGGGTTTCAGGTAAGGAATTCTGGACCATTACTTAATTCCTCAAGTTGTAACATCTTTGCACCTGACTTCTTGGTAACTTATAGTTAGTAACAGCTTACATCAATTATCAAATCTAGCTACCACTAATAAAAAGATAATAAAAATGGTGGTCATTTTCCCACTTGGCAAGATTTTTTCATTGTGGTCAGGGTACAGATGACTTTTGGAGATAATGACAAGAAAGTTGCAAACTGAAGAATCCAACATCTGCTTGTCAACTGAAAGCTCCTTGAAAGCACGCTCTGTGTCTGTACCCCGCCTCCAAGATGATCATCCCTTCTAGTTTTCACTCATATGTAGTCCCCTCCCACACAGTACCAGGGCTGGTCTGTGTGATCAACAGCATACTGCGGAAGTGATGATACAGCACAGCACTCCTGAAGTTAGGTAGAAGACTGCTGCTTCTGTCTCTCTGATCACTTGTGCTGGAGGAAGCCAGCAGCCAGGCCATAAGGATACTCAAATACTGTATATGGAGAGGCCCACATTGGCAAAAAAGGGAAGCCGCCAACCAACAGTCAGCGAGAAACTCAGACCTGCCCACAACCATGTGGGTGATCCTGGAAGCAGATTATTTAGTCACAGCTGAGTCTTGAGGTGACTGTAGTACCAGCAGACAGCTCAACTGCAATCTCATAAGAAACCCTGAACCATCCAGTCTATGATGTTCCTAGATTCCTAACCCAAGGCACTGTGTGAGACAATAAATGTTTGGTATTTTAAGCTATGGGATAATAAATGTTTGCTATTTTAAAGATTCTAATTTGTGGGATAATTTCTTATGCAGCAAGAGATAACTAATACAGCATCATCCATCTTTACAGTGCCAGAGTCTAAAAAAAAAACTACTTGGGCACAAATTGGGTGCCAAAATCAGTATTTGCTGAATAAACAGCAAATGAATGCAGGAAACTCAATCTGTATCAGAAGACTTGAACTCAAATATCTAACATTCAAGAATACAAGGCAACAAGTTTTCTGACTGAATGACTTTTAAATGTGAAATTGCATTTAGAGCAGTTACTTTCTCTTCAAGTTCATTTGCATGGAAGTGAAAAAGGTTTCACTGAAGTTGCACCTGGTATACTTTGGGACTGCACTTATGTTGGCACACTTGAGTGACACTCTCTCTGATCTCGAAGCAAATGCCATGCTCCCGGGAAAGCACACACTTGAGAAAGTTACAGAAAAGCAACCCTTCAGCCAAAGAACAGTTTTCCCCAAGTGAGAAGCTACAGCGATCACTTGACAATCTATAACCTCACTGCTTATAATCCAGGAAATACCTAAGACTGTGGTTAATTTGATGGGAGTAAAATTATTTTTTAAAATTAGCCATATGTCCCATCTGTAAATTCCTCTCATTTTGAGGTAAGTAGCTTTTAGCATTTGTGTATAATTTTATTCAGGTGGACAGTATCTTTTTACACGCCTTCCTCCCTTCCTCCCCACCAAAAAATTGCTCTGCAACAGTAGCTGAACCTAAGTGCACCACAGAGCAGTTTTTTCTCTCTGTGGTCCCTTAGCTTAAGGTTCTAGTTTAAAAGTGTAGAAAAAAGATGCTGCAGTTCCAAGTACAGTTAAGAAAAAAAAAAAAGAAAGAAAAGAGAGAGAGGCTAATAAGGACTGAGGGATGCCTGACAGCAGATATTAGGTCATACGTGATTTTTACCCCCAGAACCTCAGCAGAAGAGTTGAAATCTCAAAATGTGTCCTGCATTAATGTTATCTTAATTGTAGTAAAGGGTATAATCTTGAATCTATTCTTGGCTTTCTTTCAGTGAATGAAACATATGCATTTTTTGCTACCTCGGGACATTTGGACATGCCTGGAACGTCCTGTCCAAGCCCCTTCTTAAGCGGTGGTAAATGGGAGTAAATAGAATCATACTAAAGCTCTCGCAGGAAGTCTGGGAGTCATCTTTTTCTCCCTACTTTGCCACAACTATTCATCAAGTCTTACTGCTTTTAACTCTGAAAATATATCTGGAGAATCTATCTTCTTCTCTCCTTCTGCCACTGCTACATCCCAAGCCCTCATCAGTCTCCACTGGGACCACTCTGAGTCTCCTATCTAGATGCTGGCTTCCACTCTTCCTGCCTCTCATCCATTCTTGGCAGCCTACAGGATTGTTTTAAGAATGTAAGCTGAATGAAGATTCTTCCCTACTTAAAAGTCTTCCTTACTTTTGAATAAAGTAAAAAATGTCTTACTTTGGTCTTCAAGTCCCTGTTGGTCTGACCCTTACCTGCCACTCTGCTCTATTTTTTGTTACTTCCTCACCACTACCATGTAGCCATACTAGCCTTCTTTCAGTTAACCAAACATTACTCAAACACGACTCCACATCTAGGGAGCAGCTGTGATTTTCCTAATTATTCTGTCCAAGCAGGGATTCATCCCCAACAGCTACCCCTTGTTCTTCTCAATTCTTGTATGCTGCTTACTTCCTTCAGAGCATTTATCATCACAATTTGGAACCATATTTGTCTCCCAGATGGCCTGTACACTCTAGAAAAACTCTGAGACTATTTTCTTAACAACTGCATTTGTGCCTATTAGGCATTACCCAGCAGGGTCTGAGACACTGCAGTCACTCGAGAATGTACTGGGCACACATAAGTGAAGGACATGTCACACAAGGGATGGGAGGTGAGGGAGTGTGGGGCGGGGGAGTGGTCGCCTTGCCACGAAGGTACCTTCCTGCAGCCCCGGCACTTACTTGCTGACAGGCCACTGCTAGCACTCATGGAGCGGCCTGGCTCAGGGCGGGATTTGGTGATAGATGGAATACTGACTGAGCCACTGAATACTGTCCGATTTTCCTGAGGCCGAGGGTTCTACAAGCAAAAGTGAGAGAGACATCCTTTAGCCAGAAAGAAACTGATTTTCTGCAGAGATGTCTATTTTTCACTAAATTACCAAGAAATAAAATTATCTTCAGCAGAATGATAGAGTAAGGAACGGCAGATTATATAGTCTTTCCCACGCACAAAAGCAATAAAACCCTAACATGAAGTAAATCTCATCCTAATCAGGGATAAGTACTTATACTTACTGAAACACTTATCAGTTACATGGTTAGATTTGAAAGTAAAGTGTAGAATTACATGGACATTTGCAGATAACTGAAAGCTTTTACTATGTATGACATTTTTTTGCTTAGCGCTGAATAAGTCCATTTGGAGAAAATTCTACTAAAATTATATTCTTCTCGAGAAAATGTTTTATTGATGTTATACCAAATGTGCCATTTATATGTTCACACCCCCAGTCACCAGGCATCTTTGCTGACTCACACCAATAGTAGTACTAGGATTAGAAATAACATGCTGCAATATTCACAACCCAGGTGAAGTTAGTTAATTTGGGAATATTAGTTTGAAAACTAATTTCTGATATAAATGGTCTGGATTTGATTTCTTAAACTGTATAAACAGACTTACATACATTTATTTGGAAGATTTATCTACTCTTCATTGATTTTTCCATTTAATTACTGAATGATTTTAGTGTCTGAGGCAGGAAAATGGGCCACGGAATGTTCTGCAAATCATACACCCCCTAAACGACAGACACAGAGGTGGTGTGTAGGGTGAGCTGTCTGGTTATTGCTGAACAGGAAGCATGCAGCCTCCCTAAAGGCCCCAACCTTTTTCAGACCTGGGGGATGAGATGTTGGGGCTGACAAAGGTCCAGAGGAGGGAAAAATATTTTAATATTCTTTATAAATCCTAGAGCAGGCAAGCTACATAAACCATTTTATTCACATGTCTTTTAACAGGCACAATGCTCTTCTCCATTTGTTGACATAATCCCAGCCTATGTAAGCATCTTCTGATGCAAATGGCCTAAATTTGATTTCTTATAAACAGATTTATATATATTTACTTGGAAAATTCATCCACTCCTTATTGATTTTTCTTTCATAGCTACAAAAATGATGGTAATCTTACTAGGCTACTGTCAGTCAGTCTCTCCTTCATTGCCTGCTCCTGAGAGTGTGCCATAAAGGCAGCATGGCAGCTATGAGCACAGGCTGTGGAGAGGGACTTGGCCCACTTACATCTGTGTTGTGCAGCTGACTGACAGCAGGGCTCAGGCTTGCTAAACTCCAAGTCCCAGCTCTCTAAGCTGTATTATGGAGATAATGACTGCCTCCTGGGGCTTGTCTCAGGATGAAGCTAATTACACTAGTAAAAAGAAAGCATGTAGCCCAGTCCCACTATGTACCTTTCCCCTGTTCTAGTAACAACCTCATATAGCCATCTGTAATATCACTTTCAAAATTCCTTTTAGTGACATTGAAACAGCAATTCTGGCCAGGCATGGTGGCTCAAGCCTGTAATCCCAGCACTTTGGGAGACCGAGGTGGGCAGATCACGAGGTCAGGAGTTTGAGACCAGCTTGGTCAATATGGTGAAACCCCTCTCTACTAAACATAAAAAAAATTAGCTGGGTGTGGTGGCACAAGTCTGTAGTCCCAGCTACTCAGGAGGCTGAGGCAGGAGAATCGCTTGAACCTGAGAGGCAGAGGTTGCAGTGAGCTAAGCTCACACCACTGCACTCTGGCCTGTGCAACAGAGCGTGACTCCATCTCAACAAAAACAACAGCAATTCTGCTTGGTGGTGCGGGGGACCACAAATTTTACATGTGTTAAACAAGATCTAACTCTATAACGAAAATGCAATGAAAGAAAATCACACATTAAAAGCAGTAAACAGTTCATTCTGTGACTTTTCCAAAGAATCAATTTGATAAGTAAAGCCAAATAGTTGAACTCCAAGTTAAAGTATAACATGCAACTTTCCTTTGAAAAGAGATGCTCTCTTCATATAATGCTATAGGCTACCATTACTATAGGGCAATCCTTTATCTTTTCTACACTATCAGAAAATCACATAGGTAGTCACAGTCACTAATACATTAACAAAACATGACTAGAAGATACATTTATTAACCTGGTATTCTCTAGGTGCTAACTAGCTCATTAATATTGTTGTTTTTTTTATTATAAAAGTAATACTCATGAACTGTAGAATACATAATAAAAAAATTACGAGACCAAAAAAGTCACTTGTGAATTCACCAGATACTATGAACAATTTGATGTATTTCCTGCCTATCTTTTCTTCCAACATAATTTCTTTAAAAGACTTGATACTGTGTCATGCTGTTTTCAAATGCAAAAGAACACCAAGCTAACTAGTATATATTTTAAAAATGTTACAACTGTTTGCCTCATTTTATTGTTTCAAAAACACAATCTTTTCTCATCATTTTGGGCTCAGGAAAAATTACGCTTTTTTTCTAATAGCTTCACATAGAGAATACATTAGAGAAATGTATCCACATACCTGCCATACATTGATAAACTGTTTGTGGTATGACTTATGTTTATTTGTGACTTATGTTTCATGTTAATAGAAATCTAGCTTACCTAAATGGTTTTACAAGTTTCAGCAAGAGAAAAGCCCTAAATGCTTAAATTACATTTTGCATATTTTACTAAATGTACTCATACTTGCCCTTTAAACACAGAAACCCAGGGGAACACTGTTGGTAGGCACACCTCATCCACACTCACTACTTCAGGGTCCTCAGCTTTTGGGCTGACAGTTTAGTTTGTCCCGGTTATTTAGTAAGCACATGGTTCCCTAGCCTCAGTTCTTTAGTAATCTGGTAATTTCTTATACTGACTGCTATTACTACAACACTAAACTCTTCAGTACCTAATATAGTTAGGTACTGAAAGATATTTGCTGAATAAATAAATGGAAAGTGAATAGATTATATCTGCAATCCCAATTTTTGAATATTGAGATTAATTCAGTTGGCAATGTAATTTAAAAATATGATCCTTTCTGTAAAACACAGTGTTTCAGTTAATACTGAAGTTACAGACCTGTGTGTGTTTTAAAGATACAAGGTAACATTTTCTGCAAATGCTTAAAAGATGATGGTCTTCTTTGCTATAGTATTGCATAGGTTAAATAACTTAGAATACAATAAAATGAGCATAAATACTTAAGGCTTCTGAGGTTAAAAGAAACAAGCAATAAATAGATGTATTAATGTGGATAAAAAATATTTTTCAGTTGTAATAAAAGTCTAGAACTGGAACCTGAGGTTACAGCAAAACAACTAAAAAAGGGCCAAACTAGCACTCAGGAAGATATGCATTAATACCACTTGAAAAACTCCAAAGCCTACATTTTGAAGAATCATACATACTGAAAGTTGGCAACTGGTTGGTCCTAAATTTAACCACTGCCATCTATATGCCATCTACATGAATTTGGTTTATGTACCAAACTTGCAAAGTCCATGTAATTCTTAGCGCATTGTTTAAAGCAAATGCTTTTGTTTTTCTCTAAAAAAATAAAAAAATTAAAAGGGAAACAGTCAATGCTAGCAATTCAACAGTCATATATACAGGAGCAACCCTGTAAGACACACAAGCAACGTATGAACAATACAGCAAAGAAAAGCTCAAAGGAGATGGGAATATCAGTTTCAAGTTCTACATTTTGTTGTTGTTTTTCTGTAACCCTTAGGATATGTTGATGCTGTCCTTTCCTATTAAAAAAAACCTACCCTAGAATAAATAGCAAAAATTAAGACTATAAAATATACCTGTCACTTAGTAACACCATAGGCTGAAATAATAAAGGAATGACAAAAAAAAAAAAAAGTTTTGTTAAGAAAAAAGCTTATCATTCAGTCAGCTAGAGTTAAATAAACTTCACTACAAAGTGACAAGAAACCTAAGCCTCTGGTCCTTTCAAGGTACAAATATGCCTAAGATTAGGGTAAGACTTTCATTTGATGGTACAGTATTTCTAGTTATAGTGATTAACTAAAGTAACATTTCCATAGTCTTCTATATGCAAGTTATTACCAGGCCGGGCGCGGTGGCTCACGCCTATAATCCCAACACTTTGGGAGGCCAAGATGGGTGGATCACTAGGTCAAGAGATCGAGACCATCCTGGGCAACAAGGTGAAACCCCTTCTCTACTAAAAATACAAAAATTAGCTGGGCATGGTGGTGCACGCCTGTAGTCCCAGCTATTCGGGAGGGTGAGGCAGGAGAATTGCTTGAACCCAGAAGGCGGAGGTTGCGGTCAGCCGAGATCATGCCATTGCACTCCAGTCTGGGTAACAACAGCGAAATGCTGTCTCAAAAAAAAAAAAGAAAGTTATTATCATTTTTTTGAGACAGAGTCTTGCTCTATTGCCTAAGCTGGAATGCAGTGGTGCAATCATGGCTCTCTGTAACTTCAACCTCCCAGGTGCAAGTGATCTCCTCATCTTAGCCTCCCAAGTAGCTGGGACCATAGGCATGTGCCACCCATCCAGCTAATTTTTTATTTATTTGTAGAAATGGGGTCTCAGTATGGTTTCCCAGGCTTGTCTCAAACTCCTAGGCTCAAGTGATCCTCTTGCCTCAGCCTCCCAAAATGCTGGGATTACATGTGTGAGCCACTATACCCAGTGAAAAGTTCCTGATTAACATATACAAAATTCCTCTGGAATCCACTCGCTGCAGTCTAAGAAAACTAAGGCTTATTTTATCATGGTTACTTTGATTTTTGTCAGATTAAGATATTTAAGTGATATAATAATTTAAATGTCAACAACATTTAAAACATTATAATTTAGAATAATTTTACAATACAAACAAAAAATAAACTTCCCATCCTATAGGTAATTCTCTAATTGGAAAATTACTACATATATAAATACAAAAATTGATCTACTATTGTTCTAAGTTAGGGGACACTATGAGAAGGTGGTTTGCATGATACAATTAAAACATTTTATTACCTGCAAAACTAACTTTAGAAAATGTTCCCTTGAAGCTACTGTTAATGGATATATGAATATTCAGCTTTAATGGCCACCAGCTCTCCACCCTACTGCAAAGCCATTGGTAGCAAAGACGCAAGCTGAATGGAAGGGATCAACAGCAGCTGCCACAGTCCTTCAGAACACAGTATGCTTTTTAAATTTTCCTCTCTCTTTTTAGTTTTCTTACCTTGGATCCTGGTTGGAATTACATGCATTTCAGTAACTCAAAGATTAGTAAAATCTAACTTATTTTTGGAATTTTTGTTACTCATTGATTTTTTTACTTTGGAGATTTTTAAGCCTTTCAAAAAGGGGTTTATTGTACATAGGTCTGTGGACGGGCTCCACTACAGACTTTAACCTCACTAAATATAAAACATTTCACTGACGAACTGGTTATAGGGTAAGAAGCTAAGAAATTCAGAAATTCTGGGAGCCCTTTTCCTATTTGTTTTAACAGAATAGAGATCTATTTCTTAGGATGGGAAATTCTTAGGATGGGAAAATCTTTTACTAAACATAGACAAATCTTTAATACCATTTCAAAAATAAAAATGGAAATATTCCCTATTCCTCTATCTTCTTCCTCAAAGAAGAAACAAAATTGAAATCGGAAAGAAAGAAGAGGAAGATAAACAGAGGAAGAGGAAGAGTAGCTGTTTGGCAGAAGAGAAATAGGCCAAAGGAAAAGGTTCACAAGATGGTACCATCTCAGCGGTGTTATTTATTAAGGCAAGCAAAAGGAAATCCATACATGGTTAGTAAAAGTTAACTCCTGACTCAGCTGTTCATACCCTCAGAGTCATAAAGCTTGGTGTACCAGGGACAGAGCGCAGAGACGGGGAATATTCAGGGTTTATGGAATCAGGAGAGAGAAATTTTTCAGCAGAATTAACAGTCATGTGATAGATGTGTTCAAAGTTGATCGGAGAGGAGATCAGACCGGAGTGATGATGAGGGGATGGATAAGGGAAACCTGGCTATCAAAAAAAAAAAAAAAAAAAAAAAGAAAAAAGGCAATAAGGTGATGAAAATGGATTCACATTTCACGCAACATGCACATAGAACAAATGAAACAGTATCTTATATCAGAGCTGAATCCTTAATGAAATACTTTTAGGCCTTAGAAAGTTAAATTTTGTAATACTCTTGCGAGTTACTTAAATAGCTGATTTGCAAAAGATCATTCTCTTTATAAAATTCTTCTTTTATTAATATAGTTAAGTAAGGAGAAATTGGACTCTCAGAGATACAGGATTTTCAGAGTTTAGTTCAGTATTTTCTTATGCAACACAATCAAAATATGGCAAAAATCTACAAAAAACATTAAGGATAGAAAAAGCAAGAAACAAGCAAGAAAATGAACAAGTGAACCTCCAACAGCTTCTAAATAGATGTGTTATGAAACTGTTTCTTTAGAAATCTAAAACCATGTAAAACGATTCCCTGATACTGTGTTTGGTTTTACTGATTTTATTTTCTTATAACAGTTAACCATGGAATATACTAATTATTGGTTTACCTTTGAGCAGCCCAAGTTTATCTCCATTTAGACACCCAAAAATAACATGTTTGTTTTTTAATAAGGTAAAAATCTTCCCTTCAATGTTCAGGTATATTTTTAAAAAATGAAATAATATCAAAGATAGACAAAAAAGCTTTTGAATCTAAGGACTAATTTTAGAGATAAAAAAACTACTTCTGAATATTCAGGAACTATCACTCAGTAGCCAGTCACCTTCTCTAATAGGAATTTTCAAGGTTCAGTTCTTGAAGAACAGTTACATTTCCTGAAAACATGATCCCTTCATTAGAGGCAGAGGGTGAATAACGTGTTGGAAAGAATGCTAACTGAATCCAGCATGGCATTCATGTTCCCATAAGCTGAGATGAACCTGCTTTGTAAAAACATCTCATTTACCTAGGCTTAAAAGAAATGCTCCTATGTAAAATCTTGTTTTTATTCTAGATATGAATAAAATGAGTACTTTCTGAGGTTGTACCAATGTACATGAAACTTTAAGAAGCAAAATTACCTCTTTAAGCTCCAGGATGTCATTAGGCTAGAAAATATACTTTTATTAACAATTTTAATAATGGATAAAAAGCTAGGAGAAATGAAATATGCTAAAAATAAATCTTCTAGAGGTAAAGTATTATTCTTGCATTCAAATTAGATAAAAATTTGTTGTTTATTACAAATAGCAACCACATATTAAAAACAATAAAATATTTTAAAAATTAAAGAAACATGCCATCTTATATTAATTGCTTATATTGACTTGGCTTGCTTAGCTTAGATACAAATAAAGTTTTGCATCTGATATAGGAAATAATAAAATGACTCCCTTAGCCTCACTGCCTCTTCCATATTCAAAAAGCAAACAATCCTGTCTAAAGATCATTTGGTACAAAAGAAACAGAATTAAATTTCTAAAGACATACAATAAACTTTCTAAGCTTATAAGTATTTCAAAGGAAAGCAATACTGATTTGAATAAATTAAAACATAAAAATGTCTGAGACATATCCTCTTTGACTAGATGACAACATGTAGCTTTGGTATTTAAGAACTCATATATGTTGACATTAGATAAATTTAACCCATCTTTATTTTATGAGACAGTCATAATAATTCTATTTCAATGGAAAGAACATATTAACATCTGAGAATATGTCAAGATATCACAAGCTTTTCAAGAGATACATACACAGGTAACAGGTATACATATTATTATTTTCAGACATGCATATTATTGTATTTAATAGTGTCTACTCTGAGATAAAGATGGTTCTGGGCACACAGTAAGTGTTCAATAATGTCTGTTAGATAATTAAATGGATGCCTATAAAAAGCCCCAGGTTATATGTCCTTTGGTAGTAAAACAGAAAAAAAGTCATGTGAAAATAAAATCTGGTTGTGAAGAACAGGAATTCAGACACATAAAATCTTTGATGCAAACTACACGTACAGATGAAGAAACAGGTTTCAAAAATTTACACCAACTTCTTGTCCTGGAAATACAAAAGCACTTACATGATAAGAAAACATTAAAGGAAGGAAAGGCACATTAAAAAGTAGATTGCAATGAGAAGGCAAAAAATCACTTGTGTTATTAATGCCAAAAAGAACCATTATCATGTGTTAACAATATCTTCCCTTGTTTTGCTTATCAATAAAGACTAGACCTTATTTTGAACATAAAATAAGATACAGATTTTTTTTTCTTTTTTCTCTTTCTCTCTTTTTAACTTTAAGTAGAAAGAAGAGGGAAGAAAAAGCAGAGTAAGGAGGGATCTCTGATATAAAAGTTCTTATAATGTTTGAAATCTGACATTTTGGCATCAAGGTGCACAGTCTTATTGGATATGAAGTCTGAAAGAACTCTGGAACATTAACAAACTGATTTTTTACCTGACAGCAGAAGGATACCAAGCAGAGCAACATTTTGTTAAATACTGTAATATGTGGGCTACAACAGAATGTCTACAAAAATTTTCTATAATACTTCTAGCTACATCGTTGGAATATATGAGATAAAAACATTCTGTTTAAAATGAAACACAAGTGTAAGAAATTTTAATTTTAAAAGAATCTATTAAAACTTTGTGACTACTGAAATAATTTTATATTTGCTGATGTTCTGCTTTGCAACTTATGTATTTGAAATCTGTATCCTGTTATCCCTACATAATGCTAACTATATATTATGTATTGAAAAAAACTACTAACTCAATTTAAAAAGTTTAATTAAAATAGGACACAGCATTTGACTTACCAAATATGTCATAAATATATTCACATTTCAACTGTTTATCACAGTTTAAAAAATTCTTTAAGGTGTTTTGTGCCTGACATCCCACCTTCCATAAGGAAAAACAATAGGCTTTGGACTCTATAGTTGTATTATGTTTACTTCTGAGGGTAAAGGAAAACCAGACTTAGGACTTTAAGCAGAATGGAGTGAAATCTGAGATCTTACTCCCAGGAAAAAGTTGAAAAAAAAAAAGTATCTTTTAAATATGACAAAAAAGTATAACAGATTTAGTATTTAGTGTCCGTGACCTGAATTTAAAAAAATTACTATATCAAGATTAGCTGTAATCTAGTTTTTGCACTTTATATTTACGCAGCACAGCTAACTAATCCTATTCCAAAAATATAAGTGATTAATGAGATTGATTTGAACTACATTAAGTATATTACTATGAATATATAATAATAATATCTTGATATTATTGGTAATGGTAATTAGAATGTCACATTCATTCATAGGCAAGCAGAGCCAACTGATGAACTGAGATATTTACAATGAGGAACTCAAGACTTGAATGTAGATTGTTTTTCTTCCAATGAAATAAATGCAAATTTCCCTTTAAAGGTTTTTTTTAAAATTTAAAAGAACTTGACTATACAGTGAAACAAATTATCAATTAGTGATAGATATTTATATCTTCTATCACTATAGTGTTGATAATGTGGTTAACTAAGATTTCCTTAGAGAGCAATTGGGTCAAGATTCACAAATCTTCTCCCAAATTGCCAGGAAATATAAATTATACTTAAAATTCTGTGCAAAATTTAGCAACTATCGCTACCAATCAAAAGTGTCGTTTCAAAGTTTTAATAGTATGCTAAGACAACTATGGTACTGAAATGTACAGAGTCTGGCCAATTCCACTAATATTCTTAATTTAAACATGACAAGTCTGAGAGCCTAATCTTCATATTGTTAAAACACAATAGTTCTCCAATGCTGTACTTATTTTCTTTTTTTTGAGACAGGATCTTGCTCTGTCGCCCAATTTAAAGGCAATTATAGCTCCCTGCAGTCTTAATCTCCTGGGCTCAAGTAATCCTCCCACCTCAGGCTCCTAAGAAACTAGGACTACAGGCACGAATCACCATGCCCAGCTAATGTTTTGATAGAAATGGATTTTGGCTGGGTGTGGTGGCTCACACCTGTTATCCCAGCACTTTGGGAGGCGGAGATGGGTGGATCACAAAGTCAGGAGTTCAAGACCAGCCGGACCAACATGGTGAAACCCTGTCTTTACTAAAAATACCAGAATTAGCCGGGTATAGTGGTGGGCACCTGTAATCCCAGCTACTCAGGAGGCTACGGCAGGAGAATCTCTTGAACCTGGGAGGCGGATGTTGCAGTGAGCCGAGATCATGCTGTTGCACTCTAGCCGGGGTGACAAAGCGAGAGTCCTTCTCAAAAAAAAAAAAAAAAGAAAAAAGAAATGGGGTCTTGCTATGTTGCCTGGGCTGGTCTTGAACTTCTGGCCTCAAGCAATCCTCATGCCTTGGCCTCCCAAAGTGCTGGGATTACAGGCATGAGCCACCACATCCAGTCTATGTTATATTTTTTTCATGTACAACTGACCAGGTGACATGTTGTAAATGGGCAAAGGAAAAAGATTTAGTTTCACAATTATCAGAGTGATGTGACCACTAATGACGAAGCTAATGTGGTTCTCTTGAGGTTGGAGATGGGGAAGAGTAGGCCAAATATTTGTTCTGATTTGCTAAAATGTAGTGAAATTTTAGTGAGCTGGTAACCACATTCCAAACTTGGTATAGAACCTCTCCAAATCTGGTAGTTTCTTCCACCAACAATAGTAAATCTAGGCATGGGAGAAATTCTCCAATACGGAGCTAAATAAGAACTTGATTTGTTTGGCTTCTGACAGATGTCTAAATTTTGTGTTTTGTTCATCAGGTATGTCATCATACATATTAGACATATTGTGGTATAATGAGAGAAACATTTCCTCATTACATTCACATATCCTTTGAAGTCTATGAAGTCTATGTATTTAAGCCCACATATTTACATTCCCCTCCTACTAGCACGTTTTTACATTCACTCTTAATTCCTCTTACCATGGGAAGGTCTTTTAGGATCTGTATTCCATCTCCAGGACCCATGTGTGCTATGTGGTTAAAATTAGTTGGATTAGAAATTAATTTATTTCTCATTTCTGGATCTCGTAGCATCTCCCTGTAATACAAAGCATCTGCTTAGACACTTTAACCAAATTTATGTCATTTATAAAAAAATTAAGCATACTTAATATTCTTAATAAAAACTGTTAAATCACATTAATAAGAATAAAACTAGAGTAACGGAATATACTCAATTAAAAATTTACTTCCTAAGAATGTTTTGTTTTAAATTTTAAATAAAGGATCTTATAATTTTAGGTGGAAAAGTAAAGAGGGTCCTTCTAAATACTTAAGACATCGAAGAAGCTCTATGCTATGTTACATATAATTGTGAACATTTTATGTGTGTCTTTAAAAATGATTAATAACACTTCAGAAATGATTTTATATGTAACTGTAAATACTACAACACTCCTGTTTGCTCATGAAGAGAGTAGTCTGAACTTCTTAGACATACAGTAAACTTGTATGCACAGTTACGTTCTATGCTTATATTGTAGAAGAGGTAGACAATACAAAAATATGACTATTGTATATACATACAGAAGGGAATAAAAATAAGGTCCTTAATCTGGTACATACTCACAACTTTGAGAATATCAATTAAACTGGCATTGAGAAGTTACATTCATTATTGGGTTTTGACACCACAGATGAATGAGATTTTCAGACACCCAATTTTTCTTCCAAATCAAATATAGTATCATCACCAAGTAGCCCTTCAGATGGTACAAGCATGCATGGATGATAGTACAGGTTAAGAATCTACCTCCTCTGCTGCATCCTTTCCTCTTCTGGAACTCTGAAGGAATAACGCCGCTTATTGTTAATATTTCTAACCATTTGTTTCCGACTATTATCTGATGTTTCAGGAACTACCAGTTCATCCCCTTCTGTTAAAAAAAAAACACAAACAATAATGATGTTCTTTAAGCTGCTAAAATGATTTTTATCTATTAGTCTCCAAGACAGTCCAAACATTTATTAGTAATACAAGTATATGCAATTCTGGTTTTTAAACGTTGTGTTGATAATCACAGTAAGATTTAATAGAACCTATGTAAACAGGTAATATGCTGAAAGTAAACATAGCTTACAAAACATACTTTCACTTTTACTTGATTATAAACATAGTGTGACATAATTTTACTTGAAGAAAACTGTAGTTGTCTTGGTGTCCTGTCACTCTGCTCAGCCACACCACCCTGGTATCTCAATACTGTATTTTCTCTCCCTCTAGATATTGATTGCAATGGCTTAGGGTGTTGTTAAAGAGCTATTATTGTTACCCTAAACAGTAATCAGGCATAAATGGTAAGCTATTTGTGTAAATAACAATTACAACTATCTTTATATAAAAAAACTTCCTTTGCAAGTTTCAATCTATGAGATATGGAGTAAAAAGGAGCTGTGCTCCCACTACCCTTCCTTTACAAAAGGTAAGAATCTGTCACTTATAAAATATAGGCAGAGTAGGGTTACGGTAATTCTTAAGGGCCTAGGATTTTTTTGAATAGTAAATGAGCACTGGCTTCAACTTAAAGCTGTAACTACATTAATCTCAACAAGAGACAGCCTGTTCTTTGAAGCCAGGCACTGACTTCTCTCTAGCTATGAAAGCACTAGATGGCATCTTTTTTTATTTTTTTATTGCATGGCATCTTCTTCCTATAGAAGTCTGTTTTATCTAAACTGAATATGTATTGTTCATGTAGCCACCTTCATCAATTTTCTTAGCTGTGTCTTCTGGATAAATTGCTGCAGCTTATACATCAGCATTTGCTGTTTCACCTTGCACTCTTACGTTACAGAAATGGCTTCTTTCCTTACATCAGATGAGCTAAACTCTGCCAGCTTCAGACTTTTCTACTTCAGCTTCCTGATTGCTCTCAGCTTTTACAGAACTGGAGAGAGAGCTTTGCTCTGGATTAGGCTTTGGCTTAAGGGAATGTTGTGGCTGACAGTCTATCCAGATCACAAAAACTTTCTCCGCAACACCAATGAGGTTGTTTCACTTTCTTATCACTCGTGTGTTCTCTGTAGCAGCACTTTTAATTTCTTTCAAGAACTTTTCCTTCACACTCATGATTTGGCTAACTGGTGTGAGAAGCCTCGCTTGCAGCCTATCTTGACTTTCAACGTGTTTTCCTCATTAAGTTTAATCATTTCTAGCTTTTGATTTAAAGTAAGAGATGTGCAACTCTTCTTTTCAGTTGAACACTTAGAGTCTATTGTAGGGTTATTAATTGGCCTAATTTCACTTCTGTTGGTTCTCAGGGAATAGGGAGGGCCAAAGAGAGGGAGGGAGACCAGGGAACAGCTGCTTGATGGAAAAGTCAGAACACACACATTAATCAATTAAGTTTGGCATCTTATATGGGCATGGCGTGTGGCACACCAAAACAATTCCAATAACCTCAAATTTGGATCACTGATCACAGATCACCGTAACAGATAGAACAATAGTGAAAAAGTTTTAAATACTGCAAGAATTACCAAAATGTGAATGAGACATGAAGTCAACACATGCTGTTGGAAAAGTGGCACCAATGGACTTACTGGAGGCAGGGTTGCCATAAACCTGCGATTTGTAAAAAATATAGTATCTGTGGAGCATGATAAAGTCGCGCACAATAAAATGAGGTATGCCTGTATAAAACTAAGTACAAGTCTTGAAAGTGAAGAATCTAAAGCTTACATTTCATTAACTTCATGAGATATCCATCTCTGAATGAGAATCACGTCCAAAATCTGAATATCCTTTCCTAAGTAATAATGGAATATCCTCTTAGCATAGACTTCTGCTGTTTCACCAACCTGTTCACCAAGAAACCTCTGGTTCCAAGAGAATGTATCAAGGCACTGAACCAGAAATCAAGCAATTTTGTGTACTCCAGTAATTATAACACAAAAATAAAACCAAAAAAAACAAAAATAATCACACACACAAAAAACTTCTGATGGATCTTTCTGATAGTAGAAAAGACGAATTTATTGGAGGAATATGGGGTAGGTGGGAGAAGAGCATTAAGATAATAATTTCAGTACCCCAAAATAATGGGTCTAAAAGTTTTAATGTGCTTTCTTGAGGCCCATAATTTTACTTACATTTAAGTCTACTTAAATTATTCTAAATACTGGCTGGGCATGATGGCTTAGGCCTATAATCCCAGTACTTTGAGAGGCTGAGGAGGGTGGATCATTTGAGGTCAGGAGTTCAAGACCAGCCTGGCTAACATGGTGAAACTCCATCTCCACTAAAAATAAAAAAAAAAATTAGCCAGGTATGGTGTCGCACACCTATAATCCCAGCTACTTGGAAACCTGAGGTGGGAGGATCACTTGAATCTGGGAGGCAGAGATTGAGCCAGAATGTGTCACTGCACTACAGCATGGGGAACCGAGTGAGACTCCATCTCAAAAAACAAAATTTTTTTTAAATACATAATGTACCGTAAGTACATCTTTGCTAACAAACCTGTCACAAGAGTTCAGAAATTTACAAATATTTCTGTTCAACAGAAATTTGCTGCTATGACATGAAAATGACTTTATTATATAGAAGAGGGCACTATAATAATATTTGTTAAAAGTGAGTTAACTATTTGGACACACTCTGGCAAACAACATTTAATTCTAGGTGGACAGTCTCCCTGCAATTTTATGTGTGGTATGTAATGACATGAATGACAGTCTCACCTCAATATTTTGGTCACTGACCAAATATCCTCCCTCCTGTCTGTAACACTCTGGGTCTCCATTCCCTCTCCTGATTCTGGGCACTCCCATGATTCTCCTCTCTTTCCTGCATCTTTCTATGCTGACATCACCACTTCCGAAGTGCTAGGCCCTGTACACTGGCAGGAGACATGTTCCTGAAGACATATTCTTTAACTCTAGGTGAGTGTTTATAATTTTAATGTTAAAAATTTTGGTTAGGTTCTACAATGTTGGAAATACAGAAGATATAATCAGCTACACTTTCTCTACTTACCCAAGTACTCCACAGAAAAATAACAAGATACGTTAATCGAATATAGAATGACTTAAACAGAATGACTTTTGGCTCAGTAATTTATTTTAATATATTAAGACTGTGATAGTAGCCAACATCACAGACTTGGAGTAAGATACACCTGTGATGAAATCTGGACTTGGGCACTCATTATTCATGTGACCTTGGGCAGTCAGCTTAGAAACATTATTTCCAATGAAGCTATCCCTATGAATATATATTTATTTTCTTACCTGCCATCTTATTTTTGAAATATATTAATCTAATGGTCTCCAACCCTAAAAGATTTAATGATCCTTCATTGTTTAAGGGTCGAACCTAAAATTAAAAAAACACAATTAGTATTTCAACAAAACCTTTAAAAATTAAATCATAAAACTTTTGTTGTGCTTATAAAGCACAACTTTTTAAGATTTCTCAATTATCTACTTCAAAATATAGTCCTCTCAGAAAAATCAACTGAGAATCAATTCCAGTCAATAATTCTGATTAGAAAGGTATAATACTATCTAATTTAAACAAACAAACTTACAAAGATAACATTTTAAAGAAAGTCTATTCTAGGCGAATGGATAAATAAGTAGAAATACATTTAAACCTTAGACTTTTTAAAGCAATTAATGACCTAATAGTTATACTAAGAAGATATCAAAAGAGCTGATTTATGAATTTTTACTATTAAAAACTGAATGCATACATATGATGGAGATGGAAGGGTAGATCACTTGGGAAAGGAGGGACTGCCAGTAAACAGTGATTGAGCAACTGGTTATATGGAATCAATAAAATCCAATCTCTACTTCACACCATACACAAAAGCATCAATTTCACATGGATTAAGAACATAAATGTAATAGGCTAACCTTTACAATGTTTGGAGGTTGAATATATACATTCTAAAAAGATTTTTTTTTTAAAGTAAAACGTTTGGAGGAGATCTGTATCTTATGACCTTAAGATAGGAAAAAGTGGCTTAAACAAGAGAAAAAAGACAAACACAAAGGATAAGAAAGGCATATTTAACTACATTAAAATTAGTAACTTCTGTTCAGCCAAACACAAATGAATAAATAGGTCACAAAGAAGAAAAAGATTTACATATCCATTATTAACCAGTAACCACAATGTATAAAGAATTCCAATAAATAAGAAAACTATGGCCAATCCAATAGCAAAATGAGCAAAAAACATGACCAGGCATCTCATGGAAGAGGAAATATAAATGATGAATAAGCATACAAAAGACTTTTAACTACACAGTTAATTAGGGGCATGCAAACTGAAATTTCAATGAGATACTACTTTGTAACCATTTATAAAACCTATGAATTGTGACAATGGAAAGTACCAGGATGTGAATCAGAATTCCTTTATGCTGTTGATGGGCGTATCGGTTGGTACAAATACTTTGGAAAATAATATGACACTATCTCATAAAGCTGAATAACTGAACTCCCTATGTCCTATCAGTTCTGCTTCTAGGTATATGACTTAAACTCCTAGAAACATATTCCAAAAAACATATGCAGAAAAATCACAATTGGAAAAGCTAGTAAATAATTCAATGTCTACCAATCACAGAATAAACAGTGGTAAGTTCACCCAACAGAATATTTTATAGTATTGAAAAGCTATAAACTATGGTATATGTAACAACATGAATGAATGAAACTCGGTGGATGAGTAAAGAAAGCAAGATATAAAATCACTATATATTATAATGTTTTATAAAGTTCAAAATAAAGCAAAACTAAAAGATATATTGTTTAAGAATACTTAAATATGCAAATATTCTGTATTTTAAGAAAAGCAAAGGAATGATAAGCACAACATGATGCAGTTTGCAGTTACATAAGTGATGTTCTGATTCTCAGGTTATGAGGTAGGTTCATGAGTTTATTACTATGCTTCACAAAGGCCATCTATCTATTCTTTCACATATATTAGAAAAATTACATGACAAAAATTAAAACCAGGGTTGGGCGTAGTGGCTCATGACTGTAATCCCAGCACTTTGGGAGGTCAAGGTGGGTGGATCACTTGAGTTCAGAAGTTTGAGGCTAACCTGTTCAACATGGTAAAACTCTGTCTCTACTAACCACACAAAAATGAGCAGGGTGTGGTGGTGTACACCTGCAGTCCCAACTACTCGGGGGACAGAGGTGGGAGTATCGCTTGAACCCAGGAGGTGAAGGCTGCAGTGAGCTGAGATCATGCCACTGTGCTCCAACCTGGATGACAAAGTGAAATCTCAAAAAAAAAAAAACAACTATTCTCTAAACCCTGTCCCCCAACTAATCATACATGCTAAATATATATCACATCGATCTATATAAAACTACTGGTCTTCATTTTTGCAAACTAGCAGGTCTATACTCGTAAAAATTCTTTGTTATGGAAAGATAGGATTATATGTTAAGAAAAAAATTACATTTTATTAGGAAAATATGAAACCTTTGTTTTTCAATCATGAGACACTTAAAGAGTTTTGGTTCCAAGTTTAATCAATTTCTAGCCTGTGAAATCTGTCCTCACAGGATTAAACACTGGGTAAATAACAGTTATAATTCATAACAATGATGTATTCCTTCAGAGTTCCTTAATCCAAAAGTGGAAGATAACAATGACATTTTATTTTAGGTTGTAGGATATATTCTAGTTGTTCATAATAATAACAAACATACTTTGCATAAAACAAATATAGTAAGATTAATATGGTTTTAGATATGCATAAGGAAATTAACCAACTTGATTTTTATTTTCTTACTCTTAGCAAAGTCCCTAACTGCCAATTACAGATGCCAGAAAATGCTGTGTTAATTTAAAAAAATTACTATGTGGTAATTTAGTGTTTTCACTTACACACAGTTGGCTTAGCTCACATTTTAATGTTAAATTACCTTTTTGAGAGGAAGAGTCTGAATCCATTCCATTGAGTTCACATCAAAGATATCAACTGCATTTTCACTGTACACTGAGAGATATGGTGCGTTGTAACCTGGGAGAAGGAAAGGAGGGGACAGCTTGCGGATGACTTTTAACTATTAAACCCCAAATATTTTGAAAGGTCTACACTAAATAACCGTAGAGTGGAATCCCATTCAAATCCTATGTGGCTATCATTTAGCAGCCACATCAAAATATTTTTGAAGCAAACAGAACATATATTACAAATGAAGAACTGACATACCGTGGTTCATATCATGTAGCCATTATAATATAGAAGGATTCTGTAAACACCAGGGGTATACTATTTCCTTGCCCAACATGAGTTCTATAAAGGAATTTCATTATATTTACAGTATTTGATTCCTAAAGTAGTTAAGTTACTGACATCGAATCAAATTTAGAAAGCAGAGAAATCTTCAGGTAAATGTTCTAGTCCCAGTTAAGAATGTATAATAAAGCACCGTAGCACAGTTACATGAATAGGGTAGATGCTTAATATATACTTATTGAAGAACAGAAAACCAGATACCACATGTTCTCACTCATAAGTGGGTGTTGAACAATGAGAACACACAGACACAGGGAAGGGAACATCATACACTGGGGCCTGGGGGGTGGGGCCTAGGGGAGGAATAGCAGAGGGTGGGGAGATTGGGGAGGGATAGCATTAGAATACCTAATGTAGATGACAGGGCAATGAATGCAGCAAACCACCATCATGGCACATGTATAACTATGTTAACAAACCTGCATGATTTGCACATGTACCCTAGAACTTAAAGTCTAAAAAATTAAGAAAAAATCCAAAACAAGTCAACTTGATATTTATGAAAAAAATATATAAATATATCCATATATTTAAAAAATATATAAATCACTCCTTCTCCTATCTTGTTTCAATTGAAGAGCTTTCACTCCTCCTTTCACTACTTGCCCCCAAGTAATCCTTGCACCTGTCTTCTGAATTTCGTCCTCTCTGGCCTTCTTGGGGGTCTTACTCTATTTCCCATATAGACAACTTTTCCAGGTATTTCCCTAAGGGATCTTCCCTGCAACATTTTAACATGCTCAAGTATTTTTCATTAAATACCAAACAGTTTGGATGAAACACTTCTGCTATGTGCTTCTATAGAACTCTGCACTTCTGCTATCATAACACTTAAACTCCACTGCAACTGTTTGCTTTACCACAAATCTTTTCCACTGCACCCCATGCTCTGTGGGGGTAAGACTCTATTTTACTCATTGCTGTAACTCAGACTCAAAGGCACATATTCAATAATAACTGGAATATTATTCAATAACAAAAGTATTTTCTAATTAAAAGTATTCAATAAGGCTGGGTGTGGTGATTCAAGCCTGTAATCTCAGTGCTTTGGGAGGCCAACTTAGGAGGACTGCTTGAGGCCAAGAACTCGAGACCAGCCTGAACAACTAATGAGACCAACTCCACAAAAATAAAAAAAAACATGGCCGGCGCAGTGGCTCACACCTGTAATCTCAGCATTTGGGGAGGCTGAGGCAGGAGGATCACGAGGTCAGGAGTTCAAAACTAGCCTGGCCAAGATGGTGAAATCCTGTCTCTACTAAAAATACAAAAAAGTAGCCAGGCATGGTGGCATGCACCTATAATCCCAGCTACTTGGGAGGCTGAGGCAGAGAATTGCTTAAACCCGGGAGGCGGAGGTTGCAGTGAGCCGAGATTGTGCCACTGCACTCCAGCCTGGCAACAGAGTGAGACTCCGTCTCAAAATAAAAACATAAGCTGGGCATGGTGGTGTGCACCTGTTGTCCCAGCTACTCGGGAGGCTGAAGCAGGAGGACTGCTTCAGCCCAGGAGTTGGAGACTGCAGTGGGCTATGATGGTACCACTATACTCTAACCTGGGTGAAAGGGCAATAGACTTCATCTCTCACACACACACAAAAAGTATTTAATAATTTATTATGTCTTAATATTTCTTGAAGGGGCAAAATAAGCAATTATAAGTATCTACCCATCTAGATAAAAATGGAAAACTGAAAAAAACACCTCTTGTAGATGCTACATCATATCTTAATTTACCTGATCAAATAATTCACTTAGTAACTACTTCTCCAGAATAAGTTCTGTGAGACACTGATGCTTACAAGCACCGTATTTTGGGGGACCATGAGATAAAAGTTCAGGATTATTTCAAAATATGACATTGAGTAAAAAATCCATCTTAGTGAAATATTGCACAGAAAGATGTTTCATTTAAATTAAGTGCATGTTAATGCTGGCCCTGTTTGCCTAGGCCTAACTACACATGGTTTTTACATAAACAACATAATCAACTGAGGAACAGCATTAAGAACAACATTTGTGAGATCAAGTGGAAGGGAATGGAAGGAAAGAGACTTATGTAAGATAAGACAGCCATAAGAAAGAGAATCTTACAACAAGAGGAAGGATTTGCTGGCCACATCAATTCTTGTTGTCTAGATCTTCGGCCCTGGCAGTCAGTGTATACCCCAATGCTGTTAAAACACAGCAGATATTCTTTACTGGAGATCTCAACTGCGCAGATAGCATCCATTGGTTGATGTGCAATAAATGATAGTGTATGGTCATTTGAATGGAGCATACTGTATGGACTTCCTTCTCCATTCAAGGGGTATCTTAGAAATCCTGACTGGAATCCCACACACAGTTGTTCACTGAAGATTGCCATCCACTGGACATTATATGGGACTTGAATTTCCTTAAATTTTCTGTGACGGGTCTTGCTCTGAAGTAGTTCATAACAGAGGACCTGCCTTTTCATAGCCACACACAGGCATGTGAGAGCTCCATGGCGCACCCTTCCAGATGCTATGGTTTGACACCCTTTAGTTTCTGCCAGCTTGTAAAAATCAGTCTCTCGCCCATCCAAAGCTGACATAGGAAAAAGTCGTACATGACGATTTCGTCCTGAGATAACAGCAACAAGCTGATCATTTGGAATGAGTTCAATCTGATGAATCTTCTTATTGTCACCAACTCTAATAATTTCTAAACACAGAAAGAATAACAAATCAAATGAAAAATAGTTTTAATGATTAATCATATCCCAATTATACTCAAAAGGATATAAGTCAACTTACAGATGAACACACAGAAGAATAAGAGATCAGAAGTCAAAGGAAAAACAAAAGATAATCAAACCCATCATAAGATAATTTAACTCACCTATAGTACACGTATTGAGTCCTGAGATTTCTGGCAGCCAAGTCAAACCCCAAAGGATTCTTGTGTAAAAAGTATGCCAAATTTTCAAGGAAAACATTTTTACTGGCACTAAATTCTAGGGAATGTCACCAAGGAATTCCCATTTTTAAAAACAGAGAACTCATTTTTCAGAAGGTATTTATATGAGTAACAATGCATTGTCTTAAATGTATTGTTTTCCCATGATCTAAGTTGATATAATGATAAAACCTAGAATACTGCATTTATGAATACCAAGTTATATTGGTCTCTCTTTCTTTCACCCAGCATTTAGCTTTTTCCTAGAAGAAAAACCTCTAAATAAATACATTTTAAAAGTTGTTGCCTCTTTTGGTACTAATAGAACAATGGGAAAAATCAAGTTGTACTTTTTTGTCATGTTCCATCTTTAGAAATGCAATCTGGGTTGGGTGTGATGGCTCAGGCCTGTCATCCCAGCACTCTGGGAGGCCAAGCGGGTGGTTCACCTGTGGTCGAAACCAGTCTGACCAACATGGAGAAACGCCATCTCTACTAAAAATACAAAATTAGCCGGGAATGGTGGCACATGCCTGTAATCCCAGCTACTCAGGAGGCTGAGGCAGGAGAATTGCTTGAACCTGGTAGGTGGAGGTTGCGGTGAGCCAAGATGGTGCTACTGCACTCCAGCCTGGGCAACAAGAGCGAAACTCCATCTCAAAAAGAAAAAAAAAAAAGAAAAAAAAGAAATGCAATGTGAGTTCATACAGAACTGTGAAATAAGATGATACAAGAAGACAATGCACATTTGAAGTTTTAAACCTCAGAGGGATTACAGAAATTTAAAACTAATCTTTTAGTTTATAAACATATCAACTTAGGTCTGGAAAATTTTAATCACAGGATAAGTAAGAGCAAATCCTGCTCTTTGTAGAATTTAGTATCTCGAGTTTAAATTTTTTTTTAACACGTGATTTAAAATTACTCCAAAAAAAAAAAAAAAAAAAAAAAAAAAGTTTTCTCTTACCATCTTTGGTGACATGTACAACAAATAACCCTTCTTCATTTCCCAAAGCAATCCTTTCATGATCTATATAAGACATGAATATAAAAGATTTTATTAGAAAAAAACATGTAATGATAATAAAACAGATGATAAGAAGATCTGGTGCAAAAAATGGAAATAAATTACAGTAACAGTTTACACTATTTCTTTTCAGATTATACTGGTAAATCTCTCATGTCTTCTAAAATAGAATAATTATTAAAAAGTAATCCATATGAATACCTACCAAAAGAAGTAAATGTTTGTTTAATAAATGATGAAACAAAATGAAAAACCTAGGTTGTTAGTACCCTAGGTCTAGTTCTACACTTCCTGTTTTGGGAGGGAAAAATTTTGAATGGTATTTTAACCCTACTCATTAAACTTTTCAGTATTTATGGAAAGTAACAAAAGAGTTGGATGCATATATAAGAATATAGCAAAAATGTAAACCTCCAGACACAGAAGCAGCCATCTGTTAAAGGCATTTCTTTCTTTTTTTTTTTTTTTGAGATGGAATCTCGCTCTGTTGTCCAGGCTGGGGTGCACAGGCATGATCTCGGCTCAATGCAACCTCCACCTCCCGGGTTCACGCGATTCTCTTGTCTCAGCTTGCCGAGTAGCTGGGACTACATGTGTGCACCACCATACCCAGCTAATTTTTTTTGGCATTTTTAGTATAGATGGGGTTTCACCATATTGGTTAGGCTGGTCTTGAACTCCTGACCTTGTGATTCGCCTGCCTTGGGCTCCCAAAGTGCTGGGATTACAAGCATAAGCCACCGTGCCCAGCCATGGGGCATTTCTTTTATGCAAGGCACTCTGTTATGTATTCCCTCTTATTTAAACTTCCCAATAACCTTAGCGGGTAATTACCATCTGTATTTTATATATTAAATTCTAAGAAACTAACTTGCTCTAAATCACACAAGCAGAAAATAGACTGGTAGAACTAATGTTTAGCACTGCTGTTTTTTTCAGGGAAAAAAGGCACTTTGAAAGTGTGCTTATACTCCTGTTTACTGAAAAACAAAGATCTGATACAGGTCTCCTTCATTCAGTAAACATTTACTGAGCATTTGTGATACAATGCATAGTATGTTGGACACTGGGGATTCCTAGACGAAAGCCAATCCCTGTTTTCAAGGTAGATTAGTAAACAATTATAATAAAATAAATATTATAAATTCATACCTATGATTACAGCTGCCTGGGTTGTTTTAATGAGGGGTAGAGTGCTGTCATAAGCCTCTTTGGGAACATAGACTGAGCGGTCTCTGAATTTGTTTTTCTTCAAAATCTTGTGCAATTCACTCAGCACTCCCACCCATTTGCTCTTCTCATTCTCACTGTCTGCTAGCATCAGGATTGAACATTTGTTATTAGATGCTGAAAGCTGGGAAGCTGTGACCTAGAATAATTTAACCAATATTCATGATATTAGAAAACAGGCACCCTTTATGCTAGTTTCATGATTATGTTAGTTTGCTTAGCACTCACCAATAAAATGAGCATTCATTAAATGGTAACTCTACTGGAGTTTAGCTTTTTCCTAATCGGAATAACTAGTTTTAGCCCTAGAATACATGACAAAGCAAAAGTGGCAGATACCATTTGAAATGTTTGTATTATTTTCTTTTTCCTTCTATAAAAGTACCTAACACCATCACTAAAGAGGCTTAAATACACTCATATATAACAACAACAACAACTGGTATTTATTGAGTAAATACCGAGCACCAGGTAGATCTAACTCATTTAACTTTGTTAACATGGTCATGAGATAGGCTGTAATGCCTTTATATCCTTATTTTATATATGAAAAAACTGTGATGCAAGGCAATTAAGTACTTTCTCCAACGACACACAACTAGAAGTCTGGGATCTTGTGCCCATGCTCTTAAGCGCTACACTATACTGACTTGCAACTTGTTTTAAGTCAGAAGTGCTCAGTAATACATTCTGTTATTTCACAACTCACATCATCATTAAGATTTTATCACTTGAATTAGTATTTAAATGAAGGTTTATCATTATAAACAATACTATCAAAGCAGTTTTAAAATTTACATATATGAATTCCTTTAAGAATTCGTTATTAAGTAGCAGTGACAATAAAACTGCACTATGAAAATCAGGTATAGATAAGGGGGCCTCTGTAGGCTCCGTTGATGGCAGGGAGGAAAATAAATAGCTGTCAGTCTGAGAACTGAGAGACTAAGTATACTTTTTGCCTGACCTTCCTTAGATACAAGATTCATAGACAAATATAGGCAACTAGGCATAACAATTGGGCAGTAGTCTTTTTTTTTTTTTTTTTAACCTTTATTGTCTGAATTTACCAACTCAAGATTGCATTGTGGCAACAGCCTCCAAAGATGGCTACCAGCAAGTCCTCCTAAGGAATTCTATTCTTCTCATCAAGAGGTGGAGTCTATTTCCCCTCCCCTTAAATCTGGGCTGACCTCAGGACTTGCTTTGACCAAGAGAAGGCAGTAGGGTTATTATACCTGTTTTGGACCTAGTCCTCAAAGGGCCTGTCAGCTACTTTTGTTCTCTTAGAAGCCAGCCACTGGGGGCTCAGCCAGCCTACCTGATGACCAGAGACCACATGGAGAGAGTTCACAAAGAGGAGAACTGAGATCACCCAGCTAACAGTCAGCACCCAGATATAAGAGCAAGGTCATTAGATGTTCTGGCCCAAAATGAGCTGAATGCAGTCACATGAGAGACACAAGCTGACACCACAAGAAAGGTACAGCTGGCCCAAATAGTGAAAAATAATAAATCCTTGTCGGTTTAGGCTACTAAGTTTTGGAATGGTTGTTACAAAGCATTAAGTAACAAACACATTAATTTTCAAAGAGAGACATTTTTATTTTTTTAAATCCTTGAGAAACTTCACACTTATCCAATTTTCCATGTGATAGTATTTATTTGAAAACTGAATCAGAACTAAAAAATATTATCTATCAGCATATTTTATAAGCCATATATTGATGCTTTCTCCAGGTCTTTCACTAATTAAATAGCACCAACTTTCTATACCTTCAAGTACTGGATGACATGGAATATATAAAGGAATACAAAGTTTGTTTCTACTTAGAGTGAGTTTATGATTTATATAGGGAGGTAAAATATAGTCATTGAAAACACGTAATTCAGCAATCAAATTATAGCATACATACTTACTCTAAATATACAGGGTATATCTTTTCGACTTGCATGGATAACATCAGAGGCTAAGACTGAACTCACAGAAAATTCTTCATCCCTGAATGAAAAGCAAAGCATTAAAAGTTAGTATATGTGGCTATGTGTGTGCGGTTTGGGTGTGTATCCAAATAACACATACGAAGCAATATCCAAAGTTTAACTGCACCAAACACCCAAATTTAATTTTTAAAAAAATTTAATTTTCCCCTATTGTAATTAATAGTGCCCCAAATAATTTAACAAGAATAACAAGTAAGTATACATGTAGAACTGAGATTTGAACCCTAATATGTCTCTGGAGCCTCCAGTGCACCCTCTTGCCTTCCATAATAAACCTTAAGTGCCCTCAACCCAGCTCATCTTACATTTTATTGTTCCTTCAGCATCTAAAACATATTTCCTCCACAATAATTTCTTGTGATTCCCTTAATTTTGTTGTTGATACCATGACTCCCTTAGTCTTACAGGCTTGACACCTCAGTCCTATTTTTTATTCTTCTCCCTATCTATATTCAGTTCCTTAGTAGGTTCTATCAGATTTTTCTTGCCAATATTTCTTGCATCTATCCCATCACAGTCCACATTTGTAGGGGAAGATAATGTGTTTGAGATGCTGGTGTGAAGTGCCAATGTGAGTCATAGCTAGAAATTCTGGTTTTGAGCAATGTATGGATATATTTGAACTGGAGATACAAGTCTGGGAATCATCAATTCGGAGGTGATGGCTGAAGCTGTGAGTAAATATCACTCAAGGGCAGTGCCTGGAGTTAGGAGAAAAGGTAAAGGAGAGAGCACTAAGGAAAAGGGGAAGAATCTAAAAAATGAGACCAGAAATGTTTGAGGGCTATACTTACTTAAATGTTTACTGATTATGTTTTCCAGGAGCTTTTCTGATTTTTATTTTCTTTTCTGATATTGAAATGATGCTCTAAGCCTTTAAGTGATGTGATGACAGAAACTTCATACAATAGGCTTCCATTACCCCAGCAAAGTTTACACAGGTCTTTTGGACTCAAACACCAATTTCTTTTTCCTTAACTCCTAGCCCCACACACTGAACACACATACCATCCTGTCCCATAAATACACCTTACTTCCTATTTTCAATTCTGTTACTATAGCAATATTAGCAAATTAGAAAACATGAAATTAGATCATTTAAATAAACCATGCAACACAATTTTTAAAAATCACAAACTTTAAAATTCCTATGATACAAATAATTTTACCTTCAAAGTCTTACCTCATGTCAATCACTTGACTAATGACAGCACTGGGCTGAGATGCTTTTCCTTCAGTAATATCGTACAGAAAGACTTTGAAGTCACACACTACAGCCAATGCTCTTTGCCATCCTTTCTTCACTCCAGCTGGCTTAGGAATCTTAGTTTTGTTTTAGACAGACAGACAACCAACCAACCAAAACAACTCAAATGAAAATATCCCTTTAATTATATATGTAATTGCAAGGTAAAGACCTACAGATAATGTACACATTTTACAAGTCTGCTATTCCGGTTGGTAAAGTAACAAAGAGGACACATATCATTAAGCTATGAGAAAATGTGAGAACACATTCTTCAAATACCGAATGACATTTTATTCTGAGAACATTTTAATGGTACCATTTAACTTTCACTAGTATTTCATTAAAATAACATTCATGGGTTTCTTTCTAAATAGCATAAAAGTCAAACTTGGTAGTAAGATGAAATTCAGCTTACACTGTAAATATTACCCAAGATAACAAGACTATGCTTTGATAACATCTCATAATTAATAACCATATCCCACCTCTCTTGCAAGACCAGGTGCTACAAACTCCTTTATGAAGATTTCATCACAAGATAGGAATAATATGAAAAAACTTGAGATATTTTATAACTTATTTCTAAGTGAAAGCTAGGTTTTTGTTTTCAAATTATTATTTTAGATGAAACAAAATTATTAGATGAATTTTATTCATTTAATTTTCCATAAAGAACTATGCTCTTAAAATAATTGGATTTGACTTTAATTCATTAATATATCTTAAAAGGTTAATCTAAACCCAACTTAATCATACTTACTCTGACATGACCTTCATATGCTGTTCCTATTCCTTTCTGAGGATCTATACCCAGGGGACCTTTTGTCTGTTCAGGAGGAACTGGACAAGTGGTTGGAGCTTTGTTTACACAAGTTATATGGCACGAGAATCCACACACTTTTGGAGGGAAAAAAGAAATGTTTGATAAAAATTCATTTTAACAAAAAGAAAATTCACTGATACTGCATACAAGATGCTATGTTAGACGAATGCTCATCTCCAATTTTATTTTAAATAACAGTTTTATCATTTGGGTAGCTGATTCATTTGCTTATCAATGACAATTTTAATAAGAAATAGTAAATATTTAAAAATTATTTGTAATACTGTTATTCTGTGTTGACATTAGTGATCAAATAGAAAAAGCATCTAGCCTTGTGACTAAAATGACAGATTTAGATTTCCTAAAAGAGTGGTTTCTCGAGTTCTTTTTAGCTCTTCATCCCACTACAACTTGGTATCTGCCTTGAAATTTCTCTTGCGAAGGTCATTAGTGGGCATTAAGCTATGTGACATCTTTGGTTTGGCAAACCCTAGCAATCCTTGAAAATGGAGTTTTTCAATGACTAAAAAAATACAAGTTAAGGGTAAATTTTAGGAGTTATTACTATATATATATTTAAACTACTACTAAAATAACAATAGTTACTTTTTGGAGTGCTTTTTATTTTTCTATAACAATCGAAAACAGGTACAGTTACCATCTCTACGTTAAATTATGACTTACCCAGGGTCACAATATGTATTTGGCAGTGTTAGAATTCACCCAGGTAGTCTGGCTCGGAGTCTGCATACCTAACTACTAACAATATTGTCATGATGTTGCTATTTGATACTCACATGGTAAACCTGAGATTCGAAGAGAAGATAATAATTAAACTTAACAAGTTTCACTGAGACTTGGTCAGGTAAGAATTAAAGGTTAAAATATTTAGGCCGGGCGCAGTGGCTCAAGCCTGTAATCCCAGCACTTTGGGAGGCCGAGGCAGGTGGATCACGAGGTCAAGAGATCGAGACCATCCTGGTCAACATGGTGAAACCCGTCTCTACTAAAAATACAAAAAATTAGCTGGGCATGGTGGCACGTGCCTGTAATCCCAGCTACTCAGGAGGCTGAGGCAGGAGAATTGCCTGAACTCAGGAGGCGGAGGTTGCGGTGAGCCAAGATCGTGCCATTGCACTCCAGCCTGGGTAACAAGAGCAAAACTCCGCTTAAAAAAAAAAAAAAAATTAAAATAAACAAAGAAGTTTGTTGGGAGGGGTTATAGACTTAGATAATTTATTTAGGCACAAATGTCTCAACTGACTTTATTTATTTATTAAAGACAGGGTCTTGCTATGTTGCCCAGTTGGCCTCAAAATGATCCTCTTGTCTCAGCCTCCTGAATAGTTGGGATTATAGGCATGAGCCATCACACAGCTTCAGTTCACTTTTAAGTGGAGTGTCCAGCAAGTTACGATTTGTTTTACTTACAAGCAAAAGGCAGTGGAAGCAACAAAATAAGTACCTATACTGGATCTAATTCCAACCAACCACAAGGAAAGGAACATGACAGGAATCTTAAGAAGCTGTAATCACATTATTGTAACATTTACAAAAGCCTGGCAGACAAAGGCTAGGAACACTCTCATGAGTCCCCATAGCTTCATAAAGTAGGCTTCAAAGGGTCTAAAGAAAAGATAGGCACAATTTCACAGCAAATGACTCTAGAAGAGAAGACAGTCTGAGAAGACCTCAAAAATTCCTACTATGAATTGCAAATAATTGTGATGCATAAAAATGACATGGGACTTAAAGCCAGGTAGCTGGCTAGGATTCTTTCTAACAAACAAACATTGAAATGACATGCCAGCACTGGCTAAGTTCCAAAATGAGGCAAAGCTTGAAAACTACACATTTTCTCCTTCTTTGGCTTCAGTCACATTCCCTAGTCAATGATATAGGCGATTCCTTCTCAGGTTACTTGGCTATCTTTTACTGTTGCCTTCCCTTATCTATGTATGAGACTCATGCACTTGCTCACTTCTCAATCTACATGTGCTTCGTGGATGTCATTCATGTTTATAACTTAATACACTCATCTCTCTTAAATCTCTGCTTTTTCAACCCTGAACATTTTATTTGGCTTTAAACACGTGTCTAATGAACTAGTTATATAATCTTGATCCTTCACTTTAGCTGTGAGAACTAATCAAACAGAATGCACTGCCTTAACATGTTATTAATTTCCCTCTTACTCAAAGTACTCAGATATAGGGCTAACTGCAAGTATATTATAAAGGAAACACATGCATCTGATGGGGATTGACTACATTTCCTTTAGGGTCCCTTCCCAACCTAACAGCAGAAGAGACAGGAAATGGCAACTAGTATTAGAATTTGAATTAGCAACTATTTCCTTATCTTTTTCATAAGATAAATAAATAAAGATCTCCAGATAGTTCACAGAAAGTGAATATTATGAAAAAACTAGGCCAGGCACAGTGGTTCATGCCTGTAATCCCAGCACTATGGGAGTCTGAGGCAGGCAGATCATGAGGTCAGGAGTTAACAGCCTGGCCAATGTGGTGAAACCCTGTCTCTACTAAAAATACAAAAATTAGCTGGGCATGGTGGCACACACCTGTAGTCCCAGCTACTTGGGAGGCTGAGGCAGAACAACTGCTTGAACTCAGGAGACGGAGGTTGCAGTGAGCTGAGATCGTGCCACTGCACTCCAGCCTGGGTGAGTTGTTTAAGCACAACTCTGTCTTAAAAAAAGAAAAAAACTATGCATGGATTTAAAATTTTCTTTTGCACCAAAATAAATACATACTAACTTGTTATAATATGTCTGAAAAGGATCTAGCTTGATCCTTGAGGCACTAAGAAGAATGAGACATCAATCTGAAAAGAGCCTCTGTAAGAGCAACATGAATTCTGCTAAAATTAAGTAAGAACAAATATAAAATTTACAATGAAGCTTGAGTAGAAGAATGGTGAAATAATCGGTGCTTTAGAAAATGTTTATGGTGACAACTCCTGATATGATTTGGCTGTGTTTCCACCTAAATCTCATTTTGGATTGTAGCTTCCATCGTTCCCACGTGTCATCCGAGAGACACAGTGGGAAGTAACTGAATCATGAACCATGATTGTGAGGCCTCCCCAGTCATGTGGAACTGAGTCAATTAAAGCTTCTTCCTTTACAAATTACCCAGTCTTGGGTATGTCTTTATTAGCAGTGTGAGAAGAGACAAATACAAATGCTTTAAAGAAATCAGGCCGGTCACGGTGGCTCATGCCTGTAATCCCAGCACTTTGGGAGGCCAAGGTGGGTGGATCACCTGAGGCCATGATTTCGAGGAAAGCCTGCCCAACATGGTGAAACCCCATCTCTACTAAACACACACAAAGAATTTGCTGGGCATGGTGGTGGGTGCCTGTAATCCCAGCTACTAAGGAGGCCGAGGTAGGAGAATTGCTTGAACCCGGGAGGCAGAGGTTGCAGTGAGCTGAGATTGTACCATTGCATTTCAGCCTGAGGGACAAGAGTGAAACACCATCTCAAAAAAAAAAAGAAAAGAAAAGAAAAGAAATCAGCAGTTTACAAATGGGTAACCCAGTTTAAGAAAGGAAAGATGATGTCAAAGATGAAACCTATAGTAGCAGACCATTCACATTAATTTGCAAGGAAAAAATCTTGTTCATGCCCTGTCTTAAGAGGACTGATGAGTAACATCACAAACAACAGCCAACACCACAGACATCTCAACTGGTTCAGCTTACATAATTCTGACTGAAAATGAATGTGAGCAAACTTCCCACTTGTTGGGTGCCAAAACCACTGTATCCAGATCAGCTGCAGAATGTTCAAAGAAAGTTTTAAACAAATAGGATCAAGATCCTGAAGCATTTCTTTGAAGAAGTGTAGTAGGAGATGCAACATGGCTTTACCAGTATGATCTTCAAAGAGAAAGCACAATCAAAGCAATGGCTACCAAGAGGTAAAAATGGTCCAGTTACAGCAAAAGCGGACCACTCAAGAGCAAAGGTGATGGCAACCGTTTTTTTGGGATGCTTGAGGTATTTTGCTGTTGGCTTTCTGGAGAAAATGATAGCATCTCTTTATTATGAGAGTGTTTTGAGAAATATAGCCAAAGCTTTAGAAGAAAAACACCTGGGAAAAGCTTCACCAGAGTTCTTCTCCACCATGAAAATTCTCCTCCCATTCATTCCTCTCATCAAACAGAATTTTGTGAGTGTTTTCATGGGAAATCATCAGGCATCCACCTTAGAGTCCTAATTTGGTTCCTTCTGACTTCTTTCTGTTTCTGAATTTAAAAAAGTCTTTAAGGGCACCCATCTTTCTTCAGTTAATAATGTAAAGCAGACTGTATTAACATGGTTACATTCTCCTAGGACCCTCTGTTCTTTAGGGATGGATTAAATGTGTGGTATAATGGCTTATAAAATTGTCTTGAACTTGATGGAGCTCATATTAAAAAATAAAGTTTATATTCCTTATTTTTATCTTTAAATTCTACATTTCCACAAGTTTTGTGAAGTCCCCTCATATAAGGTAGTGCTGTAGTGACAAATTCCATTTGATTTTTTTAAAAAAGTATTCTTGTGAACCATTAAAAAAGAAATAATATATTCCATTATAATTTAAACCATTTTCACTTCAGAGGTCCTAGGAAAAATAAAACAATACATAAATATACTTTCTGTTCACATAACCCCTGACCCTCTTTCCTTCATCACTCAGAATGTGCACTCTATGAGGGGGTAGGATCTATACACCTTTACTCAATCTAATATTATGTCCCCAGAACCTAGAAGTACAGTGGGTGCTACATAAATATGTAATGAATAAATCATGGATGGTAGGGGAAAAAAAAAACCTCTGCTATTAATATAGTAATAAAATATCTTTCAGGCATAGTGGCAGACATTTAATATTTCTGAAAAGGTACTCACATTGCCTACTTTTCAATAATTTCTCTAACGAATTAAACAAGGTTAAATTTCAATGAATAGGTTCAAGGATAACTTGTATGTCTTCTGTCATATATGTTAATGTTTTTTGGCAGGCACTACAAATTTACTCAAGTAACAAAACAATGACAAATGAAACATATTTAAATATATATCCCCTAAAAAATATTTCTAGTGAACACTTGTCTAGTTTCTCTAACATTCAACAGACAACACAGATTATTTCCATTCCTGTTATGCAAAAAAAGCAAATGATTAAATAAAACAAACATTTATATACCTTTGAAAGAGAATCAAGTTATTTGATTACAATTTAGACAGTGAAGTCACATTTTCTTTCCTTTTTGTTCTTACCTTCACATGAACAGCCCTGTCTTATTAAACCCACCATCAAAGAGGTACACTGATGACACTTGGTAGGAGTAGTAAAAGATTTTACAAAAAACTGGTGAGTCTTGCGCTGCAAAACAAATTGATAAAAAAACCACATTGTTTAAAAAATTTCCATAATGAGTCCCTATGCCCCATATCAGCTTCTAGAATGTTTTCTAAATAGGAATAGAATGAATTCTCTCCATTTCTCATTACATCTTCTTACAATTTGTGGTCTTTAAATACTTTTATTAGGGAATTTGAGTGACTAAGCTAAAACAAGAAGTTAAATGATAATTGCTCTTGAATGTCATTTGAAAAGTATGTAAAATAAACTATAGCTTATTTGGGGGGGCTCATAAATCTTAGCTTCGGAATTTTATTAAATTCTCCAAATTACTGTTCAGCAGATAGTTAAGTAAAATATTGCATATTTATGCTTATACAAATATAAGACTTTAATATGCTTTATACCTTCTTATGAAAAAAAAGTTATTTAAAATTTTTGCTTCTACTAAAAATCATGTGTTTCTTTCTGGGACCAAGGACAAATACTATGCTTCACAAATTAGTTTTCTCCTACGAAAAGAGACAATATAACACTTGAGCAGATAAAAATACACACATATTATTCCAGAGAGAGATGGCAGACTGAAATTTCTTATTGAATACCCTGTAGTTAAAGGTCTCTAAGTCTTAACTGATTTACATGGTGGTAAGCCATATAGATTTTAGCTCTTTGGAATATTCCTTTCTTTTCCAAATTAACTCTCTTAGCATGTTTTAACAATAAATAATGTATAATAAATAACCTTTCACTCTGCTGTGTGAACGTAGGAGCAATTTACTAAATTCCTCTCTGTCTCACTTTCTTTATCTACAAAACAGGATAAACAGGAGTATCTACTTAATGAAGTGGTTAAATGAGTATTAATATAAACAAACCCTTTCAAACAGTACCTGGTACATACTAAGTACTTTCAAAAAATATTTCCTTTTTTCAAAAATAATTTCAACTCTTATTTTAGATTCATGGGTACATATGCAGGTTGTTACCTGGGTATATTGCATGATGCCGAGGTTTAGGGTATGAGTGATTCCATCACCCAAGTACTAAGCACAGTACCCAATTTTTCAGGCCTGGCACTGCTCCCTCCTTCCCCTTCTCTAGTAGCCCCCAGAGTCTTTTGCTGCCATCTTTATGCCCATGAGTTATTTTGTTGCCATCTTTATGTCCATGGGTTATTTGAATTTTTTATGTCCATGAATGTTATTTGAATTTTGCTAATTATTTCTTTTATATGTGTGATTGATTTAAACTACTAAGAACTCTATTCCATATTCTACTACATTATGAATACTGATTTTAAAAAGTTAAAGTAGCTTTTTTGTTTATTTCAGGTGACACGACATATGAACAAAAAACTAAAGGGCATATTTGAAGCTATAAAATTCAAGTCAAAAATAAATCTTGTTCTTTTCAACTGTGATATATGATTTGCACACAACAAAAAAAGTTTTTAAAAAATGAAATAAGTAGATTATCTTTTTACACAAAAAGCCCTGACTACCAGCATTAGTCAGAGAATGGGGTGAGATTCTCAAATTTAGAGTCATCATGAGATCTGGTCCAACCTCAAACCATTCTGTTCTACATGTTCCTCATGATCTTTTGGTGAGTCTCAAAGCAGCACTGGGAATTGACTCCAAGCAGAACACAGACTATCTTACTACCAACTCTGCAATTGCTCCTATATCTTCTGAGTCCCAGTCAGGGTGTAGGCACTGTACCAGTACTTTATATAATTCATCTTATTTCATGTAAACAGCCACCTTGGAAAGATAGATATTTCCTTATATGAAGGAACTCATTAAAATCATAAATTCTGCTCTTTCTCTTGTATACAACTTTGAAATTTCTGACTCTTTGAGAAACTATTATGAGTAAATTTTCTAGTGCTAACTTTTTCAATTGTTCAAAATGCATTAATGCAAAAGATGTAAAGTTATTCTACTGGTTAGTTCTAGAGGCTTTTAATACAAAGAAGGAAAAAATAATCAACTGCTCTAAGTAGCTTCATTTTTTTTTCTTCTAAAGGATAAGAGGACATACCTGAAACAGTAGCAATGAAACAACTCTAGTGTAATTTACATATATGACACTTCCTCCCCAGCAAGAGATCTACTTAGGATGTCACAATTCTGAGTATGACAACAGGGAAAAAAATAACAACCCAATGTTTTGGATGAGAATTAATTTTAGGTAATAAATCATTTAACTGGTAGGTGACAGTTAAATTTGGGAGAGGTGGTGAAATTTACTACTAAAGATTAAGGAGTTTATGTTTCACTAATCTCCACTAAGGACAGTATAACATAACATAATTAAAGATCATTACTCTGGGCCGGGCATGGTGGCTCACGCCTATAATCCCAGAACTTTGGGAGGCTGAGGTGGGTGGATCATGAGGTCAAGAAATCGAAACCATCCTGGCCAACATGGTGCAATCCCGTCTCTACTAAAAATACAAAAATCAGCTGGGCATGGTGGCGCGCACCTGTAGTCCCAGCTACTTGGGAGGCTAAGGCAGGAGAATTGCTTGAACCCAGGTGGCAGAGGTTGTAGTGAGCCAAGATCGTGCCACTGCATTCCAGCCTGGCGCCTGGCAACAAAGCAAGACTCTGTCTCAAAAAAAAAAAAAAGATCATTACTCTGATGGCATCAGTCTTTCGGTAATACACAATAGGATTTTTTTTTTTTGGCATGAAAAAGAGGAATGATAATAGAAAGATACATGAATAATCAATCTTAGGGTCTAGATTACTTGGCTTCTAACATCCCTGTTTCCTGCCTCCTGGTCAATATTTGATATCTAATACTTCCCTTTGTGAAACAGCTGGAAGAGGAGAAAAAAAATGAAAAGAAAAAATCTAGTAAGAAAGATATTAAAGTATGGACCAAAACTGGAATTTTAGATTATGTGATCATTTGGAGTAGACAGAATTAACTATAACCTCTAATTTCAATGTGGTAGTTAGAAAGAGTTCTGTTCACCCAGGCTGGACTGCAGTGGCACGATCTCGGCTCACTGCAGCGTCCACCTCCCAGGTTCAAGTGATTCTCCTGTCTCAGCCTCCCAAGTAACTGGGATTACATGTGCCACCACATCCAGCTGGTTTTCATGTTTTTAGTGGAGACAGGGTTTCACCACATTGGCCAGGCTGGTCTTGAACTCCTGACCGCAGGTGATCCACATGCCTCGGCCTCCCAAAGTGCTGAGAAGAAAAAAAGAAAGAGTTCTGCTCTACTCTTGATTTTGTCTGTGTTGTAGATTTTAAGCTACACATTGGAGAAGGTAAAATGTTTTTAATAGAAGATATGAGAGTCAAGTAGAACCAAGTACAACTCTTGGTGAAAGCTTAGAAATTTATAGTAGATAATTAAACTTTTTCCACTAATAAGTGACAAGTAAAAGAGTATCTTACACAACCCTTTCTTTCTTAGAATAGATTTAAAAATATTTTAAAGAAATTAAATTTTCTGGCTGGGCGTGGTGGCTCGTGCCTGTAATCCCAGCACTTTGGGAGGCCCAGGTGGGCAGATCACGAGATCAAGAGATCGAGAGCATCCTGGCGGCCAGCACAGTGAAACCTTGTCTCTACTAAAAATACAAAAATTAGCTGGGCATGGTGGTGCATGCTTGTTAGTCCCAGCTACTCAGGAGGCTGAGGCAGGAGAATGACTTGAACTCAGGAGGCAGAGGTTGAAGTGAGCCGAGACTGTGCCACTGCACTCTGGCCTGGTGATGGAGTGAGACTCCATCTCAGGAAAAAAAAAATGTTCTTTTTTAAAGTAATATTTTTTTCTTTTCTTTTAAAATTTCTATTTTGAGATAATTATAGATTAACTTCTCTATCTTTTAAAAAACATGAAACAAACTATTTTTTGAGGAGAAATATTAAGTGCAACAAATTGAGTTAATATTTAGCTGATAATATTATCAGTGTGGTAGAGGCCTCACTCTAGTTTTATTTTGCCTTCTTTTGCCCATACATCCTTGATGATCCAATACTTTGGACATGTATGTATCTTTAGATAATCTGAGTGTTTCTAATTTGTATCAGTGTGACTCTTTCATATATCAGCTACATTATATGAATCTTCCCCCTATTTCTACCTCCAATACCTTGGACATGTATAGTATATATCTTTATAAATTAGATAGTCTGAGTATGTGTTTTTAATTTATATAAAAGTGTTTCTGTTATGTATCAGCTATATTTTAGGAATCTTTTTCCTATTTCCAACTCACTACTGCCATAAAAAATACAGTAATAAACATCTTCATCATGTTGCTTAATGAATCTGTATGAAGGTTTTTCTGAAGGAAAAAGATTTTTCTGATGAAATGAGATTGCTGACTCATACAGCATATGTATGATTCTACACTGCCTAGGTTCTCTCCAGAATGGCTGCACCCATTTATACTTCCAGTATCCACATGTGAGGCTGGCTATTTCTCCACTTCCTTGATGCCATCTTACTGTTACCTTGACTTTGAGTAGAAAGTGATAGTAATTTTAAAATTAAATTTAAAAAATTTCTCCAACGATTAATGAAGTTGGACATTTCTTCACATGCTTGTTGACTAACAGGATTTTGTCTTCTGGGAATTACTTATTCATATCATTTGCCAATCTTTCAACAGGATTTTCAGTCTTTTCATACGGAGTTGCAGAAGTTTCTTATATATTTTAGAAATAAACCTCTTATTAGTGGTGAACACTGCAGATATGTTCCACTAGTCTGTCGTCATCCGTTAGCAATGTTTTCACTGTAAAAACATTTTTAATTTTGATGTAAAGTCCATGAATATTTTCACCTTATGCTTGTGACTTGAGATCTTATATTTATTCCTAGTCACAAAAAAAATTTCTACATTTTCTCTAATGTGTTTTAAATGTTTAAAATCACATACATACATACATATGGTTGAAAAAGCAAAATGGCACTACAATGCTTATGACAAAATCAGAAGTATCCCTTTGCCCCAACTCCTCCTTCCTAGAAGCAATTTCATTTAACTCTTCTTCTTTTTTTTTTTTTTTAAAGCTATTTCCCTTGTTCTGTAATAGATATCTATATTGACAAGGGAGAGGGGAAGCCTATGCATTTTTTGATTTGACACATTATCTGTTCACTTCCTGCTATGGTAGAGAAGGATTTGGCCCCTTTACACGATCTACTCCCTTCTTTCATTTTTCCCAATACTGTTATAGTACAGTTTTAGATTAAAATTTATATGTAATGTCTAAGTTGTTATGACTAGGGAATTATTATTCACTAATAAGAAGTACACTATGGTTATAATTTCTTACTTGTATAACCTTTCAATTTTTCTAAAATTAATAGTGCTCTCCAACCCCTGACTTTTACCTTTCTGTATCTCTATCACTAAATCTTACAAACTCTTCTAAGAAACTGTAAAATCCCCTGGAATCTATTTACCACATGGTCAAACACATTGGAAACCTTTCAGCCCCCCCACCCCTTTCCATCGACCTGAAGACATTCCCGCCAAAGCCCTCTGGTTTCCCACTCCAGTCTTTTTCTTAACCAGTCTCATATAATTCCTTCTTCTATGGACCTCGTGCCTTTCTCTTTCTTGGTCCCCTCCCTTGTTCTGGTAGAACTAATTCAGTTTCCTTAGAAAGTAGCACATGGTTGATAAAATTTTTTGAGATCTATAATTTCTGAAAATGCAGTTTTTTCCCCCTGCAACTCAATGGGACATTTGACAGGGAATCAAAAATTCTAGCTTGAAATTTACTTTATAACTATTCTTTTCATTCTGTTTTGGATAAGTATGTCATTTCAATTCCTGAACATTTGGATGTGATCTTTATCTTCTTAAAGGTTTAAAATGTTTTCTCTATCTTTGTTATCTATCCACTAGTGCTAGTAGGCACCAAAGGGACTTTGCAATTTGGAAACATGTCTTTCAGTTACAGGAAAAAGTCTTTTATTTACTTGATAATTTCCTTCCTTTTCAGACTCTTCTATTTGTTGGATATTGATTTCTCACATTTTCTTTTCTAATTTCTATCTGATTTTTAGTAATATTTTATAAGAGAATTCTCAAATTTATCTTGTGACCCATTACTGAATTAAAAAAATATTTACCATATTTTCTTTAACTTGAGACTTCTTGTTCTCATATTCCTGTTTCTTTCTGTTTTTTGAATTGTCCCCTTTTCCTTCAACGAAAACAGGAAATATTTGTTTGATTTTTTCTTTCTTTTGAGACAGGGTCTCACTGTGTCACTGAGGCTGGAGTTCAGTAGTGCAATCTCAGGCTCACTGCAGCCTTGACTGCCCAGGTTCAAGCAATCCTCCCTCCTCAGCCCTCAAGTAGCTGGCACTCCAGGTGCATACTACCATGCCTGGCTAATTTTTGTATTTTTCACACAGACAGGTTTTTGCCCTGTTGCCCAGATGGGTCTCGGACTCCTGGGCTCAAGTGATCCCTTGGCCTCGGCCTCCCAAAATGCTGGGATTACAGGTGTGAGTCATCATTTATGACAGACTTTTCCTTTTGTGAGATAATTTTGAAATGTCTGCTGACTCCTGGGAATCTTAATATTTTTAAGTCAGTTGAAAAGCTAAAGAGATTTTGTGTTTTTTAATGTGTGCATGTGTGAAAGCAAACATATGATGTGCTTGTTAAGAAGGACTTAGCCATCACATTAGGGAGCCCCAAACGACATTATCGATAGGTCTTTTCTGGGCCATTTAGTGGACTCGAGAATCCACTGACATCCTCTAAGCAGAGTGGGGAGGAGGAGGCTGTAGTCCCAAGTGTCAGTATTCTGGGAGCTAAGCAGAGGAAAGGCTTTGGGTCTCACCATTCAGTACATGGACTTTTGCCAAATCTATTTACGGTTTCACATTTTTCTCTTTCACCAACTAGTGAGCCTGGTGCCCCTAAATTTGTTGTCTCTTTGGTTTAATTACTTTACAAAATTAACATATTGCTGAGTTGGGGTCGTTGCCTGGTTTTCAGAGTTGATATAACACTTTATGTGGACTCTAAATCAATTTTCTAATTTACTCTAGACTCCCACTTCACTCTTGCCTCTCAAGGTACTTTGTGTCTTATCATTTTGGTTGTCTGAAGCTTGTTTTCTAGTACATTGCTCAGGAAGGGGTATGGGAACAATATTTCTTGAGCTCTTGAATGTTTTTAATAGTTTTCTGTAGCCTTTACTGTTGGAGGATGCTTTATTATCCTTAAAATATTAAATACTTGGCCAGGTGCGGCGGCTCACACCTGTAATCCCAGCACTTTGGGAGGCCGAGGCAGGTGGAACATGAGGTCAAGAGATCGAGACCATCCTGGTCAACAAGGTGAAACCCCGTCTCTACTAAAAATACAAAAAATTAGCTGGGCACGGTGGGGCGTGCCTGTAATCCCAGCTACTCAGGAGGCCGAGGCAGGAGAATTGCCTGAACCCAGGAGGCAGAGGTTGCGGTGAGCCGAGATTACGCCATTGCACTCCAGCCTGGGTAACAAGAGCGAAACTCTGTCTCAAAAAAAAAAAAAAAAAAATTAAATCCTGAAAAATCTTTGACTTGTATTTTCCTTGGGTATCTTAAGTGTGTTATTCCATTATTGTTATTGTTGTTTTTGGCATATTGTTACTATGGAAAAATCTGATGACAATCTAATTTTCTTTTTCCTTTAAGTGACATACTTTTTGCCTGAATGCTCAATATTTTTCCTTTTATTTATAAACCATTAGTTTACTAGAATGACTTCTTTTGTCTGGGTTGTCATATACCTTAACTTTGCTGCTTTTCATCTATCTTCCATCCTACTTACTTGTTCTTCTGTAATATACATTTTGCTCATTCTACTATAAAAGTCATCTATTATTTCAGCAGTTAATGTTTTTATGTCAAGTACTTCCAAGTTATTTTTTTTCCTAACTACCTTATCCCACCTCATGTTACCAACATTCTTCTTTTCTGATCTCTTTAAGGATATTTTTTATGTTTCTTTTAAATTCATGTTCTATCTGGACTTAAAATTTTGCTTCATCTAGGCAGAGGCTATTTCAGTTTGTCTTTCTTCTATATCAGTTATATTTTTAGTATATTTATTCAGGTCCATTGATCTCTCTCTCTCATTCTGTGGTTTATCCAAGGTTTATGTTCTGGAGAGGCAGATCATTCAGTTTTCCAATTTCTGGAATTTCTTTGTAGGAGCTTGAGACAAGCAACTAAATCTTCTCATTCTACCATAAGTAATACATCAGTCATAGTTATGTCAAGCCAAATGGAAAAAAAAAAAGTTCACCTGAATTTTTCACCAAATGGTTTTCTTTTTCAATGGTATATTGACTTCAATCTCATATTCTTTCATAAGTGACCTCAACTTAATGCCTTACTGAGGCACATACTGCTTAGAGAAAGCGCTGCTTCTTCTTATAACAGACTTCTAACACTGAATTTAAGAAGATGAAAAAGAACAAGTGCTGTGTGCTCTCCCTAACCTTTCCTATTGGTGATTATTTGCATTCATATAGAATTTATTTTCTAAGTTTTTCTGCTTGCAACTTTGAAGGAATAATATTTTTAAAAAATCACAGCAAAAGCATAAAGCAGACAAAATTCTTTTGTGTGTGTGTGGGGGGAGGAATACACTGTGCTTATAAGTAGATTGAGTACCTTAGGTGGAAAGCCAGTTGAACCAGGACATCCTTTTTTCTTTAAGGTTGGTGTGTGAACTGGAAGTGGAGTAGAGTCTACAGTCTGAACCCAGGAGCAAAAAAAGGAAATAATGTCATGAAACACTCCATTAATTTCAAATATAACTAGAAAGAAACCAAAATAAATAAAACCAAACAAAACATCAATAGGGCAAAAAGTTGTACTAATTAATAATATAGAAAACCTCAATAAAGCTAAAATTCTCATAATGTTGATAATTTAAATCTCTGCCTGCACTATCTACAAATGAAATATTTGTTCAATTAGTAAGTTACTTCAGTCTGGAAATATAAAAATAATTCATTTAGATCAAATGATCCATATAAAAAAAGCCATGACATGTGGCCTACATAAATATGAAGATGTTAATTTTTACATTCATCTGAATTTGCCATATTACTTCTAAAAAGTATCTGAAAATGTCTTTAGCAAGATTTATAATAAAATATTTAGAAGATTCTTTTAACTACTCAACTTCCATACATAGAACATATATTACATGTATAGAACACAACTCTGGATGTGAATACATAAACAGAGACTGACATTGGGATTTTTGTGCAGAAATTAATTTCCGAAGAAGGGAATTCTTTAGTTTTATTGGAATTATTTAATATTATTGAAATTCTGACCGTAATATAAATTTAGTCACATACCATATCTTTCTTAGTTAGCTATGTAAAATATGGTCTTCTTTTATGAGGTATTATTGTAAGATATTGTTTTGAATGAAAGGAACCAACGATTTCATTAGACGTTATTATGGGGAAAAAAGAGCCACTGCTTAATCAGCAAAGTAGTTAAAAAAAAAAAAAGACATGGAAAGTAACTTCCTTTTAGGATGCCAAGCAAAAAAATTAAAGGAAAAAGCTAGTCTTTGTATAAAGTACAGAATATTTTAAACATTACAAGAAAAATGGATGGTCCTATCTTTGCTGTTACTATACAACCTTGTTTTCATTGTTACTACACAACAATCTGTCTCTTTGTTGTTACCATACAACCTCCAAAAACCAGAATTTTTTATGTGCACTATAGCCTTAAAACAAAATTCAGTTGACTTTCTCAGAAATGTGTTTGTGAGTTTAGCTCTAATTTAGATTTTATTTACTTTGAAATAGCTTAAAAAAGTTTTAAACCAAACTTACAATTTAACATTTGAAAAGATAAATATGAAAGATAAAAGAGAAGAACACTGAAAATCTACATAAAAGTTAATAAAAAACAACAGGAAACAAAGTTGTCGATCGAATTTACATAGAAAGTCCAAAGGTTATTAGAATTAAAAGAAATTAAGCAAGGGTGCTGGATAGAAGATCTACAGAGTTTATAAAGACAAGGCAATGCACAGTAAGAAAATGTATTTCAAAAGGATCCCATTCACCATAGCAACAAAAATTTTAAGGTACCTAGAAACAAATCTAACACGTATTTTGAAATATACTGAAAATAATGCAACTTTATTGAAGGATGTAAGAGAATACCTAATATGTATACCATGTTCATAGATGGAATACCCAGTATCATGAAGACGTCAATTCTTCTCAAATAGATCTATAAATTAATGCAATTCCAATCAAAAGCCCCATGTGAAACTTGACAAGCTGACTTTGAAAGTAATATGAAAAACTAAAAGGTCAAGAAGAAAAAGAAGAAGGAGTGTGGGATGACTCACCATACCAGGTATCAGAAATTATTTTAGAGTGAAAGTATTTGTATTTAAGACAATTTACTGTCAGTGCAGGAATAACCAAAAGAACAATGGAAACGAACTGAGAATATCCAAACAGATCCATGCATATAAAGCAGAATAGCATTACAAATCAATGGGGGAAAATATAGCAGGGTCACTTGTTCATTTGGAAAAAAGACATCAGAAGCCCATTTCTCATTATACATAATGATATATTTCAGTTTGACTAAGGTCCTAAAGAAGTAAAAGCAAAATTTAAAAGCCCAAGAAAATATAGAAGAAAGTCTTTATAATCTCTGCATAGAGAAGAACTGCTTTAAAAAGACATAAAAAGCAGAAGTCATAAAGGAAAAAGAACTGATAAATCTGACTATTTTAAAATCAAAACTTTTGCAAGACAAAAAACACCACAAATACAATTTTAAAATAGCCACAGACAGGGGGAAAATATTTGCAGTGCATATAGCTAGCAAAGAATTAGTATCCAGAATATACAAGTAACACAAAAAGCTATAGGAAAAATGATTCAACAGAACAAAGGACATGAACAGGCAAATCCTCAATGGTCAATAAACGTACAAAAAGATGCTAAATAACACTAGAAAACAGATGCAAGGTGAAACAAAAATGATACTTCATATCCATCGAACTGGCAAAAGTTGATGTGTGACAGTGAGGTGAGGATGTGAGGAAATGGGGAACTCACACACACTGCTGGGGTAGTGAAAATTGGCCCAATCAATGTGAAAAACAATTTGGCAAGATGCAGTTAAAGTTGAAAATGCATATAACATACAACTCAGTAACACCACTAAGTATATATGCCGAACAAACTCTGCACATATGCAAAAACAGATATGAGGATATTCACTTCAGCACTGACAACAATAAAAAATTGGGAACAACCTAAATATCCAACTATAGGAGAATGGATGAACACATATCTGTATGAATAAACCTGAAAAGCAGACTTTTGAAAGAAAAAAGTTACAAAAGGATACAGGCAATATTTATATAAATTAAATACCTAATAAGCACTACTATATATCGTTTATGGATACAAATGAAATAAACATATAAAACCAAGAAACAGAAGATGCACATCAGCTTCAGGACATTTAAATATGTCTGGGAAAGAAGAATGGGGAATGATATATGGGAGGATGTTTCAACTGTTTCTGAAATATATTTTCTTTGAATAAAAATCTGAAAAGCAAGGGCCGGGCGCGGTGGCTCAAGCCTGTAATCCCAGCACTTTGGGAGGCCGAGGCGGGTGGATCACGAGGTCAACAGATCGAGACCATCCTGGTCAACATGGTGAAACCCCGCCTCTACTAAAAATACAAAAGATTAGCTGGGCACGGTGGCGCATGCCTGTAATCCCAGCTACTCAGGAGGCTGAGGCAGGAGAATTGCCTGAACCCAGGGGGCGGAGGTTGCAGTGAGCCGAGATCGCGCCATTGCACTCCAGCCTGGGTAACAAGAGCGAAACTCCGTCTCAAAAAAAAAAAAAAAAAATCTGAAAAGCAAAATTTTCATATCTGTTTAATCTGTGAGTGATACTTACACAGGTGTTTATATTATTCTCTGAATGCTTGAAATATTTTATCATTAAAACAAAATGTATAATTTCAAAATATTAAAACAATTATAACTAAAAACACAGGAGGGTCTCATTAACTTAACCAGTTTGGAGGAGCCTACCACAGAGTTAGAAAAAACAGCCTGACTACAACTCACACTTCACTTTAGACAGCTCTTCAGATTGAACTATCTGCTTCTATTGGAATGCTAGACACAGCTGTGAAGATTTAAAAAATGGAAAGCAAAGGAGCTTTGTCTGAATTGTAATGCTGAGTGAAGAAGCAGAGCTGCATCTTAAGGCAGGATGGCATGGACTGAGGTACAGCATTCTTTTGACTTGTGGAAGAAAGCGACCTCTGTTGAGAAAATTGGCCTATTGGCTATTTAAAATCATTGACTGACATGAAGTACAAACCAACACAGTTTTTTTTGCAATACTAAATGTCAGGATTTAGTTGACCGTCTGTTACCCATTTAGCAGTTAGAATGAACTATTCAGTTGCCAGAAGTGGCTATTTTATTTTTCAGCTGTACTTACGAGGTAACAGGTTAGCTGTATCATGACTTACTACATTTATTAGAAGAATTAAAATATGAGCATGGCACCTGCACTGCCATTTGCCTAGAATTTCTAATAATTCAAAAATTTACATAATTTATCCTCTGTTCTACATAGTTCTCTAATTAAAATAAAGACTATCTTTCTAGTTAGTTTTTTCTATTTCAGGTTGACTATTTGGGGACAATGTGCTCTTTAATTTTTTACTTCTATCTACATTATCAGTTAAATGCAATGATCTCCAATAGATTGTAACTTGTTACATAATATATTTGGTTAAAAGGAGAGAGACAGACTTGTTTCATTCAATTTCCTCTTTCCTGACACAAGTGAAAAGTTGGGGAGCAAGGCTGCTCCAATGAGGCACCTTAACTGGCTCAGCTTCACTAGATGTGGAAGGAGATGTGGACCGTGACTGGATGTGAAACTTGACGCTCGGGTTCCATACATATGTGTTCTCAACGGGATCAGTCTAGGAAAATAAGCCAGGAAAAACAAAAACCCAAAAAATCACTTTTAAACAACGTGCAGCTCTTAGCAAATTTCTGTTAAGGCATGATTACAACATTTCTTGAGAAAGAGGAAAACAAACTTTAGTTTGAATATTCACATAGGGATACCTCATTATACAAAAGCATAAACACTAGCTTTAATTCAATTCAAACAAGGACTGACACAATAGTTAATCAAAGGCTCCTCTCCAATCTTCACTGTTGATCTCTTACTTTGAGCACTGGTCCTACCACACATTCTATGTTTGTATTCCACATGAAGCTTTTATATTTAACAAAAGGAATCATACACGTAAAATAAAAACAGAGTACTTAATAGAAATATATACTGCAGATTAGAGATAGATTTGTCCTTCATAAGAATGAAGTTTGGTCTCTTACTACTTATTAATTCAAAGTAAAAAAAAAAAACTATCTTATCAGCTTTGTGCTGGACACTAAAGTAAATCATCCTTTTATTTTGCAGCAGTAGAAAAGCCAGCACTTATATTCAGTTGCATCCTTTTAAACCAAGTATTTATTTTCAGAAATTAAAAATGCACTGGGCTAAAATTTAGCATAAAAGATCTTATGAAGCATACTGACTAATCAGTTTGGCAAGTTTCAGAATTACTAGGATTGAGTCTTTAAAATGAAAGGACAATAAAGGTAATTTGGAAAAGTGATTCAGGAACTTATTTTGAATATGTTGTACAGTAAAACAATGCTTAGATCATAAGTCACAAATCATAAAAACAGCATCAGTTTAATAACTTAAACATGAACTTATAATTATACTTTTCCTTTGTTCTTACTATGGCTATCTTTTAGAAGGAAGACATGATGATAATGTACCCCTTAGAAATGCCACTGCTGTGGCTTACACCTGTAATCCCAACACTTTGGGAGGCTGAGGCAGGCGGATCACTAGGTCAGGAGATCGAGAACATTCTGGCCAACATGTGAGACCTCATCTCTACTAAAAATACAAAAAAAATTAGCTGGGTGTGGTGGCGCATGCCTGTAGTCCCAGCTACTCAGCAGGCTGAGGCAGGAGAATTGCTTGAACCCAGGAGGCAGAGATTGCAGTGAGCCGAGATCATGCCACTGCACTACAGACTGGGTGACAGTGCAAGACTCCGTTTCAAAAAAAAATTAAAAAAAGAAATGCCCCTGTTGATTCAGGTGCAGTTGAGACTGTTGGCAAAGTAGAACTATTAAAACAATAAATTAAAATATAACATCCTTGTACTCAAAACTAAGTGAAAAGCAAAACTTCTTTAAAATTCTGGGTTGAATGGTAAATAACTGAGAATATAAATACTTGGACAAGAAGACTCCCCTAGAAATTAACTTCATTGCTCTGTTTTTAGCTCAACAGAACTCTGGGCACACTGCTTCAATCTCAAAGGGCACAAATTGTTTTCTCAAGTTGAGGATATTTTCCTATTGATAATTAATGTGGAATACTGTTATCAATGTATATGCTGCATATCTTTAAAAGAGTCAATTTCTGTTCAATGTGGAGAATTTAAAAAAATTTGGCAAGTATATGGGAGGAATAGGCTAGCAGGCTGGGAAACACTATCGTAGCACTCCACTGGTGCTCACCTATGGCCTTCCTGGGTGGTGGGCATGGAAAGGTATTCTGGTAACCACAAAGCCACCACCAGGCCTTAAACTTTCAGCTATTGGTTTTGGGAGAAGTAGGGAGAAGAAAGGTCTCAGTGAAGGCATTTAGGGGTCTTGGAGCAGCAGCCATTTACCAACTGCTAGGATACTCAGTATTTTAAAAAGGAGTATCAGCTCTGTACATGTGATGTGGCTGACTTCATGAAACTAGTATGCCTTGTGAAGTTGGAGAGCCAGGTCTGCATCCCATTTCGAGTCCAAATTCAGCATTATTTTTGTTCTACCAGAGGCATCTCTGTAGCAGAGTAATTTACTCAAAGTAACTTGATAATCAAGAAGGCTAAGTTATATTACCTCCTTTCACGACAGTAAATTTTGACCAGAAAAAGGAAAAGTAGGAGAAAATGGTACTCAGGAAACATTCTGCCCAGTCTACAGTTTTATTCAGGGACAGCCATGGAGAAAGTAATTAGTTTTTTTTTTTTTTTTTGAGATGGAGTTTCGCTCTTGTTACCCAGGCTGGAGTGCAATGGCGCGATCTCGGCTCACTGCAACCTCTGCCTCCTGGGCTCAGGCAATTCTCCTGCCTCAGCCTCCTGAGTAGCTGGGATTACAGGCACGCGCCACCATGCCCAGCTAATTTTTTGTATTTTTAGTAGAGACGGGGTTTCACCACGTTGACCAGGATGGTCTCGATCTCTTGACCTCGTGATCCACCCGCCTCAGCCTCCCAAAGTGCTAGGATTACAGGTGTGAGCCACCACGCCCGGCCAGTAGTTAGTTTAAATTATAAATATGAACTTTGACCATGAGTTGAGAATAAGGCAGAAATGTCTTTCAGTTTCTAAAAATCTCCTCCTTCTAGTTTTCATAAGATTATATAGATTGCAACGAGAGTTAAGAGTTCATGGGGAGGAGCTTCAGTTAAAATGGAATTGAGAAGCAAAGCAGAATTGATACATTTTATACCAGTAAGAACTTAAAACTGACTGAAATATCATCTCAGAAAGTTTTAAGGTAACCAAGTAAGGGACTTTCCATGTGTAGAAAACCAGGCCATCTTAAGAAAATTTAAAAGTTTCTGACCTGTTGGAAAACGCTTCAGCCCTAAAGCTTGACTGAAAGATACTAAAAGAGAAGTTACTGTGTGAAAAATAATGTTGTGTATATGTGAATAGCTGATATAATGGCTTTGTATCTCTGGGTCCGATTATTTCAAAAACTCTTTAAAAATGGGAAAGGGCAAGTGCATACTGTTTCCACCAGTACCAGCTGAAATTTTATAGTAGGCCTGTTCTTTGAGCTGTTTAAACACATGCTGACACAAGTTGAGCACACTGTCTTATACTTTCTTGCACTAAAATTAGAAAACACTGCCGTAAGCCATTTTGTAAGTATATGGTCTAATGGAAGGTTATATCATGACATCAGTGAATCTAAAAAGCAAGGCTTTCCCTAGCCCCAGAGCTGGTTATTAAAATACTTACCAGCACGTTTGTTGATCCTACGAAATTGTGATATTATAACAGTGGGATATTGGAGAAAGGAAAAACACTACAATTTAATTTGTGGCTACACAAATTAGTAACTCACTCTTGAGGCTTTTAACACACACCTCTTGGCTCTTCTGAAAAATTACTGTCAAGTCTTTTTCTCCTAACTAGTTTTTCGCCATCAATAAAAATGAAAGAGAATACAGATATGGATAGATTTAAAAGTGATTTTCTCTGCTGAATGAGGTAAAAGGTGGTTATTCAAAAACAGAAAATATTTAGCTTAAATGAAAATAGTTAACTGTAATAAAGTAGAATAGGCCAGGTGCTGTGGCTCATGCCTGTAATCCCAACATTTTGGGAGGCTGAGGTGGATCACCTGAGCTTAGGAGTTTGAGACCAGCCAGGCCAACGTGGTGAAACCTGCCTTTACTAAAAATACAAAAATTAGCCGAGCGTGGTGGGACATGCCTGTTCCCAGCTACTTGGGAGGCTGAGGCAGGAGAACCACTTCAAGCCAGGAAGTAGAGGTTGCTGTGAGCCAAGATCATGCCACTGCACATCAGCCTGGGCAACAAGAATGAAACTCTAACTCAATAATAATAATTAAAAAAAAAAGCAGAATAATTAAAGTTACCATACTAGCTTTTTAGAGCTATATGCCCTTAAAGTAAAAATCAGAGTTTAAACAAAATCAAGTGATTTTTCTTTTAAAAAATATTAAAAATAAGAGAAAATGCTGAAATATTTTAAGATGGTAGCAGGCATATTACAATGCTGAACTATGCCATTTATAGTGATACTCTGATCTTTAATTTAAAAAAACTATGAATATAATCATTTAAAAAATAGCCACTTTACTTTCAAAGTGTTTTTCTTTTAGAGACAAAAAACACAGCTGGCAAAGATGAATAAACTCAAGGGAAAAACCATTTTAAATATAAAAAAAAAAGGTCCAGGTCTTGTAAATGAATCTAACAGCTAATAACATTAATAGATATAAATATTTCATTTCTCAGTTACCACCAAACAATATCTCAAAAGTGGTGTAACACTAAAAATAAGAAAAACACAAATAACTTATTTTCTTTATTAAAGTTTTAATTATCACTAACCAGACTAGAATTTTCAGGATGTTATTCATTTTAACTACAATTAAATGCCTACCAATGCATTTATAATTAATGGCTTATTCTATCCACTAAAAAGCAATTAATTCTATAAACTTTCAGAATTTCAATGACTACATGCTGGCATTTAAAGATAGCCTAGGATTCATTTTAGTAATGAACTGGCGATGAATCTGATAAGAGTATAGCAGCAAAGCAACTGATTAATACCATTAGTTATTTTAATACAAAGTATTTTAAAACCTTAAAAACAAGCATAATCATTATTAATATATTTTAGCCATGGAAGTTAAAATATTCTTTTTGTCATTCTTTCTGTGCTAAAATATTATAGCATTAAGTATAATGCAGCAAAAGCTAATAAACATACATCAATAGCAGAGATGTTATAAATTCAATATAAGAAATATATTTAAGTAAATATAATTTTTTTTTTGGTTAGCTAATTTTCTTTTCCTAAGTAAACATACTTTAAGGTGTTATTCTGGTGAACAGGCATTAGAAACACCTATTATACTTCATTATCATTTTTACTTAATCCTCTGTTAACAAAAAAGGCAGAAAAGCTGAATATTAGTGATATTGTCCATACTGTAAAATATTGTAATCCAAAATGTCCATAAAGCTCCCTGAAGCTATTAGGATTTTTCTACTAAAAGATCCTCAAATGTATTTTTACAGTAGTACAATAAAAAAGGTTTTTCGCACCCGCCCCCACCAGAATCACAGAACTGGTTTTTAGATGACCCACTTATCAAGAATTCCTCTAATTATGAACAGTATGGTTTTCTTATGATAAAAATAACTACAACTACTCATCTTAAATACATATTAACATGCCTTTTCTACTGCCTAAATAATTACAGCTTTGAACAAGTAACAACCCTCTCATAAAAAACCTTGCTTCAAAGTAAAAAACACCAAGATTTGATATGGATCGTATATGGTCAAGCTACTAAAAACCAGCTTGCATCTGACAAGTTGTATGTACTGATAAACATAACACTGTAAGTAAAAAAATCCAAGTTTCTTTTTTTTCTTTTTCTTTGAGACAAGATCTTTCTCTGTTGCCCTGGATGTAGGGCAGTGGCACAATCATGGGTCACTACAACCTTGAACTCCGAGTCCAAGCAATCCTCCTACCTCAGTAGCTGTGACCACAGGTATGTGCCACCATGTCTGGCTAATTTTTAAAAAAAACTTTTTTAGAGACACAGTCTCCCTATGTTGCCCAGGCTGGTCTTGAACTCCTGGGCTCAAACAATTCTCCCACCTCGGCCTCCCAAAGTGTTGGGATTATAGGTGTGAGCCACCAAGCCTGGCCAAAATCCAGTTTCTATCAATTTTCATTATTCTTTAGCTACAAGTATTTTGAAAACAAAGTGGAGGGTAATTTAATATTTTGTATTTACAACACGTATTAACTCAAATCTTTAGTGATATATTTCTGTTAATTGAGCTTATGATACAAAAACAGTATTAAAGAAGTACTATATCATTTGGAAAACAGTAAATATATTTTATTGCTCTAGACAAATCCGAACAATTGACTAAAGGTTATGACTAGTAAGTATAATCTTACTAGTTATATATAATGCACCTTGTTTCCCTTTAAGAAAATTTATTCTCAAGTTATTTTCAATACTGGATTTGAATATCTAGTCTGGAGAATTTACACATATTCCAAGAAAATATAAGAGAAAGGTAAGCCATATATGGGCTATAAAAATCTCTGCCTCAAACTCTAAAGGAACAATCTGAAATAAGGCATTCTGCTACTAAAGAAAGCACTGCGGAAATCTCCCTCATCGTTTGTATTTGGACATTAACAACAGCATCAATAAAAACTTTTTCTTCTACTATACTTAATTCTTCTTATAAAGAACATACATATTCAAACTGTAAATGAGGTTTAATAGCATACTAGATACATGAATGCAAGAAATACTATTTTGTAATACTACCTCATTCATATGACATTTCATGGTTAATTTTAAATTTATTAAAATACTGCATAGTTTCTTTTCTAAACATGGTATAAAACATAAAATCTTATGCTACTGTTAGACTAGAGGCCACTGTTCAAAACGACAACTATACTGCATATGTCCTACTGAAATACACTGATGTCCCAGGGAACACTAATGTTCTACACTATGCCACTGAGATGTTTCTATTTAACAGCTGAGTACATTCTTTTAAATTTAAATTCTTTATAATTCTTCAAGCATCTTCATAGGCACTATCACTTTTCAGTGGCTGACTTTTTTTGTTAGATACTTAACCCAAGAAAAACTGAAGGAGGCCAGGAAAGCAGATAACTGAGCCTATTATACCTACATTTAAAAAAATCATATGTAATTTTAAGTTATTAGATTATGCTTAATTATACTTTATTCATATCCCATAGAATGAAAACATAGAATTACGGAGAGACCTTCCAATAGCTATTTCCCTCAAAATTTTTTTCTTATTTTTAAGAGTCACAAAAAATGTTCTAGGTGGCTAAGGCCCCAGAAGTCTGCAAAGCAAATGAGACATAATTAATCCATAATAAAATTAATTAGAGAAACAATTTCTAAATTATAACCTTATAAAAAAACAAGTAGTTAAAAATTCAGTCAATTCACAGGCTGATTATTTGACCTTAATAAAATTGGGCACATAACATTTTGGTTTTCCCTTCTAGAGGTTATGTAATGTAATCAACATATTTATTCAGATTAATTTGATAAAGCCAAGTATCTAATGGTTTTAAGTCTCCACAAATTTCAAAATAAGCACTCAGTTGAACTAGTAATCTTTCATAAACACAGTAACTAATGAGGTATCACTTGAATGCAGTTCTACTGGCCATAGTACAGGTATCTGAAATGCTTATTCATTAATAAGCAGCAATCCAAAAATATTGTATATGCTGTATTAGAGTTATTCATGCTTATTTTACAACCAACCCTCCAGCACAACAGAAAGACAGCACCACAGAAAACAATAGGCCACCCTACTGCTTCCCATGCCCACTACAAAACAGAGAATTCCCTCATCTAGAACTTTTTAAGTCCAAGAATTATGAATATAAAGTGTTGATCGTTCTCCATGGAGATAACCTATGAACATTAACAATTTGTATCTATCACTGACTTTCCTTTTAATGTTATGATTTTACATAGTATATAAAAATCCCAACACTGTCAGCTAGCCTGTTGTTTTTCAATGAGGAAGTATGTATGTGTGTATATGACTAGTACTGGGATGCAGGATGGCTTAGAAAAATTCCAGTTCTGGGCATGTGAGAATCCTGTACCAGAGGAGTAGTGGCTGACTCATTTCAAGCTGAGAAACCTGGAGCTAGGATTAGTATAGGGAGATATTTACAGTTTGTTAATAATACATATATAAATAATGTTACTGATATTTTTTAAATCTTGGAATTATCTTAGAGTATAAAGGATTTATTATTATTTCCTCAGGTCTCTATCTGTATTTAGGAAGATTCATTTGAACTATATTTAAAAAAAAAACAAACGACAACAACAAGATTTCTCCAAAAATTTGATTTACATAAAATTATAGTCAGTAAGATGTACAATTCGTCCCAAATCATTTTTGAATTTTATACAATATGGATTATCAAGTTTTCTTTCTATGTAATTAAAATCTGTAAGAAACATCTATGTATTTGTTTAAAGCAGATTCTTATTTAGGAACTCATGTACTTTGTCTCTGACTAATTTAGAAAGCATACTTTAGGATCATTTATCCCTGATCAAAATAAAAAAGGTATTTCATCATTTTAGAAGTTTGGTTACAGTAATTTATATGAACATTCTTAAAGCTGTGCAGCCAAAGCCAAAAAATAAAAAGAATATACATAAAAGCAGCACAGCAATAGCAGGAGCAGCAGCACAAAACATGCAATAAATGTAATAATATACCACAAAAACATTAACAGGTTCTGCAATCACAGGCAAAAGGATGAGAGAGGGGTAAAGGCATCAGGATGAGTACATAAAGTGCAAAAGTCTCTTACACGTCTGCCTTTGCTAGCTGGAGTACAGGATGGAGAGCGCTTCAACAGAGAAAGGAGAATATGACATGTTACAAATATTTACACATATAAGACCCTCAAGGACTACTACTGTATTATCAGACAAAGTATATAAACATACATATAAAGCCACAGTTTTGAATAGTTTGAATGTACATATATTTTCAGGAAAAACTGGAGGATAGGATGGTAAAGAAACAGTTGTTTGGACTAGGTCTAAAGTTGACAAACTTTTCATTGGCCCATGTACAAACAGTGACCCACAAAACAATGCTTCATCAAAGTGATGGACAATTTCTTTTATGGGAAGGTTGGCAGTAGCAGGATGGAACAAATGAGAACAAAAAGGATCTAGATATTTCTGATTTAGTGCTGGCAAACATTTAATAAAATAATGAACTAGCTTGGCTTTAGACATTTACCTACCAAATTTTTACTATTTTCAAAAATGATTGTTTTAAATGACAAGGGCTAAGTTAGAGTTTCAGAATTAACGGTAATAAATTAAAATAAAAAGTTATTTAAACAATACTCCATCCTGACTCAACCTCAGCCATAGTCAAAAGAGGGACTTTCACCTTTCTAGCATTAAATAATTAAGTAATTAGGAAAAAGTGACAATTGTCTCAAAATATTTTTGTGATGCTCCAGCAGCAGAGGTTCACTAATATGAACCATATCTACTTTGGCGATTTCTTACATTAAATCCAACCTAATGTTTATTGTGAGCTTACAGTATGTTGGGTACTAAGCAGACTTTGCAAGGTACTGAAAGATAATACATGCATGGAAGTTCACAGACTACCAGAGAAGATCATGCTAGCAACAATGTGATAAATGCTATCACTGAGATATATACAAGGTTTGTATGGGAACCTAGAGGAGGGACAGACAAGATTTTCATGGGAACCTAGAGGAGGAAACTTATAGTCTAGGTGTACAGGAGTTATAGAAGATTTAAGAAAAAAACTAAGAAGTTCAAGAATGAGAAACACTACTAAAAATTCAGTATTAGTGTTACAATAACTCTGGCAGAGAAGTAAATAGGAACTCCCTCCACCCACCCGCCCACCGGCCTGCCCTCCTGCCCACCAGGTTCCCTCCCTACCTCCCTCCCTCTCTTCCTTCCTTTCTTGTCCCCTCCCTCCCTCCCTCCTTTCCTTCCTGGTTCCTTCCCTCCCTCCCTTCCTCCTTCCCTCCCTCTCTCCCTCTTTTTTTTTTTTTTTTTTTTTTTTGAGATGGAGTTTCGCTCTTGTTACCCAGTCTGGAGTGCAATGGCGCGATCTCGGCTCAGCGCAACCTCTGCCTCCTGGGTTCAGGCCATTCTCCTGCCTCAGCCTCCTGAATAGCTGGGATTACAGGCACGCGCCACCGTGCCCAGCTAATTTTTTGTATTTTTAGTAGAGACAGGATTTCACCATGTTGACCAGGATGGTCTCGATCTCTTGACCTCGTGATCCACCTGCCTCGGCCTCCCAAAGTGCTGGAATTACAGGCGTGAGCCACCGTGCCCGGCACTCTCTTTCTTTCTTTCTTGAGTCTTGCTCACTGCAACCTCCACCTCCCAAGTTCAACTGATTCTCCTCCTCAGCCTCCTGAGTAGCAGGGATTATAGGTGCATGCCACCATGCCCAGCTAGTTTTTGTTATTTTTAGTAGAGATGGGGTTTCACCATGTTGGCCAAACTGGCCTCGAACTCCTAACCTAAGTGATCCACCTGCCTCGGCCTCCCAAAGTGCTAGGCTTACAGGTGTGAACCACTGTGCCCAGCCAGAACTATTATTTCTTTCCAGAGGAAACTGGAATGGAAGATGACCTGAACACTATTCAAGTTAACAGTAAACCAGGATTAGAAGTTACAGAGTTAATAGTAAACCAGGATTAGAAGGCCTGGAGATTTCTAAACAAGTTTTTCCATTATGGAGGCTAAAGTCTCAGGTTCAAAACTAGTTATTTTTCCTCAGTTACTAATGGGAAGAATCTCATCCCTTCTTTCCCCTAAAACCAAACAACCTAAAATAAACAAATCAACTCCAATTCTTTTCTCTATCAATTAATCTCTCTCCTCTCTTCCTTAATAATCATAATAGCATTTACTGTGTACAGAGTATATGCAGATCCTTTTCAAAGTGCTTTACATGTATGAGTTATTTTAATTCTCACAGAAATCATATAAGGTAGGAAATATCTCATTTTAAAGATGAAAAAGACAATCATCTTGCTCAAGGTTATACAACTGCTGAGTGGTAGGGCCAGGATTCAAACTTCCTTAGTCAAACTTCGGAAAAATGGTATACAATTCTGTCTGTACTTCTTAACTTCCCAATGAACTTCTAATACAGTGTAAATCAGATTCTGCTTTGATCTGGTACTCAGAAGGTCAGTATTTCTCATTTGTCCTATCTGATCAGCCATCTCTGCCATATTATCACACTGACCATTCCCCTCCTTAAAATTCTCCACTTCTGGCCGGGAGTGGTGGCTCCCGTCTGTAACCCCAACACTTTGGGAGACCAAAGTGGGTGGATCATGAGGTCAGGAGTTCAAGACCAGCCTTGTCAAGATGGTGAAACCCCCATCTCTACTAAAAATACAAAAAATTAGCTGGGCATGGTGGCAGGTGCCTGTAAACCCAGCTACTCTGGAGGCTGAGGCAGAGAATCACTTGAACCCGGGAGGTAGAGGTTGCAGTGAGCCAAGATCGCACCACTGCACTCCAACCTGGGTGACAGAGCAAGACTCTGTCTCAAAAAAACAAAAACAAAAAACAAAAAAACTCCACTCCTCCAGTTATTGTGACAAGTACTTTCCTGAGTAACAGTGTACTTCTCAACCATTGCTCTTTCTTCGTTTTTGCGGATTCTATTCCTTTACCCTTTGCTCAATGGAGATTCCAGGTTTCTGTTCTTGGCTCACTGCTACAATCTACTCCTTGGGGACTCTCATCCACTTTTAACTCTGATTTCAATTTCCAAATCTCTGTTGCCAGTTCACTCCTCTTCCTTAAACTCCTGACGCACATATTAAATATCTGTCTGCTGGACATCTCCACCTGGATGTTCCTTAGGAAACTCAAACTTAACCTGTACAAAATGAACCTGTCACCTTTTCCTTCTATTAAATCTTTTAATAATTATTATATACAAGACTGATTAAATCTAAGATCCGTAATATGAAGTATAAAGGTAAGAAACACAGACCCTTATTCTGGCCTTTCCCCATGTCTTCATACTCATTTATCTATCCCTTCTTCATCCTTTTTGTTTGCCAAGCAAGGGACAATTCAAACTAAATTGAAATCTCCCTCTGTCCACAACTCTGAAACCCTCTGCTCTCTCTCTCCCTCTCTCTGCCTGTCTAGAATATACTTCTCTTATGTAGTTTCTTTTTTATTTTGCGGAACAGACCCAGCTCAGGCTGGGTCTTCCTTTAGAAAACTTTTCTGGATCCTCCTTTTTCAGTCAGAAATCTCTCTTCTTTGTATTCTCATGACATATAATCTTTATCTTTTATTACTGTATTTCCCACATGGTGTTATAGTTATCTGGTTATGTATTTGTCTTTCCCACTAGACTGTCAGGGCAGGAAATAGTGTATCAAGCTTAAGGGTAGGAAATATTGTATTATGCTTAGCATAAGCCTTTAAACTTAAAAATTCTCAATAAATATTGAATGAATCCTTCTGAATGTCTGTAGTACTTAACCTAGGTATTTCTCACGGCATTTATTGCTTTCCACAGTGCGTTAACTATATAATTATTTTTCTAATTACAAAATAAGCATTTTGAGGTCTATTTCCACATCTGCTTTGTCTTTGTGTCCACCATTACACCCAGTATATTACTACCCATATAAAAAGTGCTAAAATGTTTAACATAAAAAAAAATAATTTTTTTTTGGCTATCTCTACTTCTAGGCTAGAGTCTGGAGTGAGCTAAAACCATGAAAAAGAGCATTAGTATCCCAAAATAAATATATTATCACTATAGTAAAAACAAGTTAAAATGTCTCCCAAAACTATCTTTGAAAATGAAGGACAGCATATTTTCTAAGTTAATATCATTTAAAGCTAATAATGATACTAAATCACCACAGCAATGATTTCTTACCAAAGTGTTTACCTAGAAATTGTCTAATTTTTATGTTTTCAATAGAAAAGGAGAAATAGAGGAAAACACACCCACACGCTTTCTCTCTTCTATATATCTACACACACAGCTTTTTATAAACACTAAAACTGAATTCATGGCAAACACTGTAAACCAGCACCTTGTCTTAATGTGCAATCATATCCCACTTTAAAACATCTATTTTATATACAGGTCTATGAATTGCCACCAGAACTTTAAGACTGAATATGAAGATAGGCATACAAGCAGAAACCAAAAGAAATAATCTCAGGAGTAGATAATTTGGCTAACAGTTTTTAAGGTTCAATTAATTAATTAATCCTAGAGGTCTTATTTAATAAAATACCAAAGAAGAAATGGACCATATAATCATGGTTCTTTCTCTTTAGATTGTCTAAATACATTATTATATATGCAATAAACTACATAATATATACAATTATATTCAACATAATATATTGCCTAAGTTGAGGGAAAAAATGCATTTAACTTTCTGAAATATGCAATCTTCAGGTAGGGTTGTGCTGAATATGTAGATGGAACTTGTAAAAACAAAAACTGAATGAGGACATTTCAGGAATGCCAAAGAAGCAGGACTGATTTTGGTTATAGGATTAAAAATCTTTGGCTGGGCATGATGGCTAACGCCTATAATCCCAGCACGTTGGGAGGCCGAGGCGGGTGGATCATGAGGTCAAGAGATCGAGACCATCCTGGTCAACAAGGTGAAACCCCGTCTCTACTAAAAATACAAAAATTAGCTGGGCATGGTGGTGTGTGCCTGTAGTCCCAGCTACTCAGGAGACTGAGGCAGGAGAATTGCTTGAACCCAGAAGATGGAGGTTGCGGTGAGCCGAGATCGTGCCATTGCACTCTAGTCTGGGTAACAACAGCGAAACTCTGTCTCAAAAATAAATAAATAAATAAATAATAAAACTAAAAATCTTTACAATGTCTGTTTTAAGATTCTATTTCCTACCAATTCTCACATATGATTGACCATCCCACCTAGTATAGCTGAAACTATGCTGCCAAGCTTCAGATTTCTGTAACTGATTGTAACAGAATGTAAAAGAAGCTGGGAAATAGAACCATGTTAAATCAAGAGATAAAAAAGTTAGGAGCCATAACTGACATTAAATATTTTGAAACATCTTAGTAAGATGTCACACAAGATTAAAAACAAGTCCAGAACGCAGCCTGCCAATACTGTCAGACTACTTGCTTTTCTTATATACCAGAATATAAGAATGGAAAACAGTATTAGGGGGACCAGACGGTTGGATTATAGATACTACCTCTATTTCTCTGTGTCTGACCTTTATATTCCAGAGCTTAATCCTTGATACACTCTTTCAGCAGTATGTCAGAATTAGACAACTCTGAAAAAGCAAGTTGAGTACATTCTCATTTGCCAGGCAATGGGCAATTTCTATTTTTGTGAACAGGGACTCAATGAAGAAAGTGTAGAATTGTAATTTAATCAAGTTCAAAACTTACTTAGCACATATTTACTATATGACAATATGTTTCTCAAATATAAAGAGCAAGCAGTTCATTTATATGATGGTAATTAGTATTGTCTATAATATACTCAAACCAAGGTTTTTTTTGGTTCAGCTAAAAAGAAAATGAAGGGAGTAGAGGAAGTTGCTACAAGCTTGGTATGATGATCTCTGGATCTGCTACTATTGGGATGAAAGGAGTATATGGGGGAGAGAAATGGGAAAATCTAAGCAGCTAAACTCCATTTGCTCCTTACCCTGTCTGTTACTTAGAGAAAAAGGCTGGGGATAATATAGATTAAGTTGAGGATTGGGCATGTACAGTTGAAAGAAAAGATGAAGGTAGAAGTGGGAATAATTTCTACAGAAGGGATCTTGGTACCTCTGTTCTACTGCTTTCTTAATAGGTCGAATGGAAATGGAAATGCCTTTCTCAAGAGACCACTTATCAAAGTAGTGTCAACTTCTTTTAAAATGAACTCAAGGTGCCGGGCACGGTGGCTCAAGCCTGTAATCCCAGCACTTTGGGAGGCTGAGGCGGGTGGATCACGAGGTCAAGAGATCGAGACCATCCTGGTCAACATGGTGAAACCCCGTCTCTACTAAAAATACAAAAAATTAGCTGGGCATGGTGGCGCGTGCCTGTAATCCCAGCTACTCAGGAGGCTGAGGCGGGAGAATTGCCTGAACCCAGGAGGTGGATGGAGATTGTGGTGAGCCGAGATCGCGCCACTGCACTCCAGCCTGGGTAACAAGAGTGAAACTCCGTCTCAAAAAATAAAATAAAATGAACTCAAACCCTTCTTTATCTGTCCTAAAGAATATTTTGCATAACAATTTATCACCACACTGTCCTAATCCCCAAAGATTAAGAACTCTTAAAATGTCACTCTTAAAAATGGGAGAGTAACCTATCCACTCTTAGTTACAGTAAAGTGCTGTGACAATAGTTAAAACAACTGGACTATTTTCTAAAGTTTTCTTCTTTAAAACTCTTGTGATTCTACATGTAGAAAAGCCAAAATGCCTACATTCCCCCAAGTAGAGAATCAGAAAGTGTTGAGAATGTATTCTGCTCTGCCTGGTTACCTACCTTCATTTTCCTAGAGGGAGGGAATGATTGGTATTACATATATTTTCTCTTCAAAGCTACTCTTACACATACAAGGATTGCCCAAACCATGTGACTTAAAAAGGAAAGCATCTTGCCCTGAACATCTTCCCATTTTGCCAAAAATTCCAGCATTCATTTGAATTTTGAAATAACAGGCAAAACATAGGAAGGAAAAATTGGGGGTGGGAACATTTTAATTTAAAACGATACTGCTTTAAACAAAGTAACTACACTTTTAAGAGACCTGTGCGGAAGGGTCAAAGTAGGAGTAAAGAAGGTAACTTTGGAGGAGAGGCACTGGTGGTAAAGCTCCGACAAATCAGAGGGCAGCATGAGAACACTGGATTCCAGGAGACAGAGGGACAAGAATGATGATATACTGACACCAAAGGACTTGATTTCCTGCAATTTTGCTTAATACTAGCCTTATTCCCTTCTATACCTACAAGTTCCAGCTGCAATTCAACTTCAGGTCTTCAATATAATTTCTTCTATAGCAATGAGACAGAAAAAAAAAAGATTGCCCAGAAGGATATATACTAAGCATTAGAGCCTTACTTACTGCAGAGGGCAGGCATATATGCATGAAGCACAATATAACTAGATTTGGCACAGAGAACAATAAAGACTTGATTTGCTCCTTAAGAATCCAAGTGTGGCTGGGTGCAGCGGCTCACACCTATAAATCCCAGCACTTTGGGAGGCTGAGACAGGCTGATTACAAGGTCAGGAAATCGAGACCAGCCTGGCCAACATGGTGAAACTCTGTCTTTGCTAAAAATACAAAAACTAGCTGGGCATGGTGGCATGCGCCTGAAGTCCCAGCTACTGGGGAGGCTGAGGCAGGAGAATCACTTAAACCCGGGAGGCGGAGATTGCAGTGAGCTGAGATCCCACCACTGCACTCCAGCCTGGTGACAGAGCTAGATTCCATTTGGGAAAAAAAAAATAAATCCAAGTACCTAATGAAAAAGGAGCTACAGAAGAACTTGAGCATTATAATCTTGGATGCTAAACTCTGATATGTTAAAGATTCAATACTGCTATTCAAAACATCATTCTGCTGTAACATTGAGGATCAAATGAATGAATGATAACTCTGGGAAGGGAGATCACAGGTACGAACTCTCAAGAGAAACATGAAGTTTGTGCCATAAAATATTGTTGGTGGGTAGATTACTGAGTGATTAAGAGCTAAGAAAGTATTTAAGTGAAACTGAATCGGTGGGCAAGAACAGAAGCTAAAGAGAATACAGAGGGAGCCAGTTTCTTAAGAGTAATAAGGGCATTATTACTGAGGACATTACGTACATGGTATCTTTAAATCTTCAAACAACCTTATGAGATTAGTTTTAGCATTATTACTATTTGTCTGATAAGCAAACTTAAGGTGTAGAAAGGTGAATTTCTTCCAAACCATACACCTAGAAAGTTGTATAGGCAGGATTTGTGCCTGCTTATGCATTTAACCAATAAACTGGGAGAATGGAGCTTAGTGGGAAATTATGCCTTTTAGCAACTGGAATATGAATAAAAGATTTGGCAGCTCTTGTGAACTCAGCTCCTTTTTCCTTTTTCTAAGAGTACCCTTGCAGTGCAATAAAATTTACTTTTATGTTTGTACTGAGCTTATGCTGCATTAATAGTGGGTGGAAGACAAGAAAAGATTTTCCTGGAGAAAAAGTAACATTGGGAAATGGCTGTGGGGCACTCAGGCATTACAGCTGGGTGGCAGCAGTGGCAGAGTGCCTGTGAGGACAGAAACAAGCTGAGAACCTGGCTGAGGTGTGCATTCCTGCATGATCTGCTGGGAAGAGCTCATGTATTTGTCAAAATACATACTACTCCTGGGTTTTATTTTGGTGACAGGAAAGGGGATGAAGAGGAGGTTGTTAGAAATAAAAAGGTTTTCTAGTAGAAAGAAAAACTAAAATAATTCACCTTTCTTTTCTTTTTAAGGTGAATGATATCTGTATGGAAATACCATATTGAGTATTTTAATAACCTGAGCAGCAAGATTACAACAGGCAATACCATTATACATGAGGAGAGGTCTCTTTTTATCACACTATAGAAATCATCAGAGTAATTATTTGTTTTGCAAATAGCAAAACAGTTCCTGTTTAAAATGAAAATATGCAAACATCAGTAATTCCAAACATATCCAAAATCACTTTTTTGTTCAACAATTTCTAAACATCTAGATCTAGAAATTCCTTTAGTAGAAAGTTATGCTAACTACTCTTCTGACTATAAGTATCCTAACAAAACAGAAAGAATAAAACATTCAAAAATCTCCCCTGGTTTTAATAACAATTCTATGTACAATGTTTGCATTTGAACTCATTTTATTTCCCCATTTCTGTAAAGACTAAATGTTCAACAGGATAATAAATGCTTTAGGACAAGAATTACTGTGCCTTTTAATGTGGAATAGAGAGAATGTTATGCCAGGTAGTAAAGAGAATGAATGAAATACATTTAACAGGAACTTCTCAATTATTAAATTGATAGAATTCAGGAGAGAAAATGATAATGCAGTCAATTTATAGTGTGTATGTTAATTAAAATCACTTTGTACATTAGAATAGAAATTCTGTCAGCATTAGAAATAAATCAATTAAAAATAGATTTATTTTAAAATCAGTACTCTATTATTGTCATACAATAAAACCTATTGGAGAAATTAATTAAAAGTAACTTTTTTTATTATACCACCAGAGGTTTATTTTTAACCAACATATAAATTAAATAGTAAAGTGCTGAAAAGGAAAAAGTAAAATAGAAATCATCAGGAAAAATAAAAATGAGCGAATATATATATATATATTTTTATATATACATATATATGAAACTAAATAAGCATTCCAGGCTTTACAGATCTTATAGATTGAAAATACAGATATTCTCCAATGGTTAAAGCATTCTTCAAAGTAAATTTTTACTGCATTATGTTTAATACTGATAAATCCTACATTATATTTAAGATAAGAAAGAAGCATATTTTGGCTCCCATAAATTTTCAAATGTGGTATTTCTAAAACTGACTGCATTACTAGGCAAATTCTTCAAATCGATTCACTGATCTTTTTACCGAGGGATGCATTGGTTGGAAAATCAAAGACTTACGTCATCCAAAAAATCAATCAGTGAAGATGAGGAAGAAGAAAAGGAATCCTATTTAACGAATACAGCAATAAAAAAATAGAAAATATGGATGAAGCAATTTAATAAGAACAAATAATAAATCAAAAATTTTGTAAAACAATTGAAAGGCAAATGACATTAATTCAAATAAATAAATGAGAAAAGCAGTCACTATCATTGTTCTCAAGAAACTGATTCATTAATTACTTTTTAAAGAGTGATTCTTTTTCCTTTTTCTAAAGGAATGAAACACAATTTATATACTGTGCCCAAAATGTAATAAAATGAAGCTCATGACAAATAATTAATAATCAAATTAAATGTAAGCACTTTAGAAGTAACAACTAAAAGTAAGCAATAGAATTCACTGAGGCTTCTAATTCTTCCCACTAGAACATCAGTTCTAGTTACATAATCACTGTTTCATTACTGTGTGATCTGCCTAACAGAGTCTATGTAATACTTTTGAACAAAAAGCATTTCTTACTGTATAGTTTTTAAAAGATGAACTGATTTGAAATAGGAACCAGCAATATCTTAATGTGAACTTTGGCATTTTCTCATTTTTTATTGTAGCACTATCCTTTGGAGAATAAGAAAGACTGTCAAATTATTTCAAATTTGGGATTTGTTCTGCTCTTAATGTTTCTTAAGGGAAATGAAGTTGCTTTTAAATCTCATCATGACTCATGATTAGTTCTTAGATGTTTTGTTTAATAGAGGTGGGAGTATAGTCTCCAGAAGAATGCAGAACATATTCCTCTGCTAACATGTTTTTGTTTCTTTAAGATTCTAGGTTCTCTCATGTGGGAAGCGATAAAACAGTTTTATTGTAAGTGAATTTTAAATTCACCGCAGAGGATATTTGAAAAGTTTAATAATACTTACTTCAAATTGATCCAGAGCATCGGTAGGCGTATTCAAAAATGCCAAGAAAGAATGCTGTGAGTCTTGGTGCTCTATACCTAGAAGACAGCAGCAACTTTTTTTAAGACTACAACAATTGAAACTGATTTTAATGGATAACCTTCCCTGTCTGAATCTACTAAAAGTAGCTCACAAACTACTGTATTTCAAAGTTGACCACTATTATTAACTCTACATTTGAAAAAAACTAAAATACACAAGTGTTTCCTAGAATATCACTTAATAGTTCAATTATATCAGCTTCCATGAAATACTTATTTAAGTTACCGAGTTTCTTTCTTTTCTCATATAGTAAATTATTAAAAAACCACATTAAATCTTTTGGTAGATTTGAGAGAATTTAAAAATAGGGGCCTGTTTATGTCTGAATTTTCTGAGTTAATTTAACACCAAACAGGCTTCTGTTTTGAAATACTCTTAACAAAGCATAGAGTATGCACTCTCTAATACAAATAACCCTTTATAATAAAATAATGCAGTGATAAAACAAATATACTTAATTACAAAAAAAGTCAATCTGATTTAAATATTTTTTATTGACAGGATGAAGACTCCAAACTTGTTTTTCTCAGATAAATTTTTAAAAATTCGTATGTATCTCTTGACTAAGGCATTAACTTTAAATGCCTAATTGCCCAAATAATTCTTAAACTATACAAATAAAAATACTAGGTAGAAAAAGAAAACCCAGAAAACAGCCAATCCCACATTTTTTACTTCCAGATCCTCAGGAATTGACATTAACTGATTTGTGTTTGTCATATTACTATCTAATAATCTAACATAGTTATCAGGTAAGGCAATATGCTCAGAAATTCATTCGAATATTGAGAGCCCATTATGTGCGAGACACTGTTCTAGATACTTGGGGACATAATAGTAAACGAAGCATTAAAAAAATCCTTGCCTTCATAATGTAAATATCACATTATATTACTTAAGTTGTAGTATACATTATATTATACAGTAAAATTTTGTTCTGCAATATTCAAAATCCAATTAAGAAGCTATGGTAAACATGCCTTCATAAAGCAATGTGATAGACTTAAGTCTCTTCTTTTTCAAGTTTAGGTCTATTCTTAAAATGATGCAGTCAATGACATCTGGTGTGCAAGTCATATTCTGCACTAGTCTCTCTCCTATTAATTGCCATTAAGGCCACAAGTTGTCCATGTCTTATGTATTCTTTTTCTTCTCTTCACTAAACAATGTATCTCTCTTCAGTTTTCATTAATGAAAACCTAGCTTGATTTTCATTTTGGCATGCTGGCTTGTGCTCCTTATCTGAATTGCTATTCACTTTTTCTGGGCTCCTTCCTTTTTTTGTTAATTAAGAAATTCAATCAACAAGAATTTATTGAGCATCAACTATCTGTAAGGGCTTTTTCATGTTAGCTTCTTTACGTGATTACTCTCTGCTCTTCATCATTTTACATACAGATGGCAGAGACTTCAGCTTTATCTCACTGTGTTGCAAGGCTGAGAAAGGATAGGGAAGGAAGAAGCACTTAGACCTAATAAAAAGCCCATTAACAAGTTCAGTATTCAGTGATGGCCTTTGTCAGGTAAATCAATTTCAAATAAATGCATTTAAGATATCCCTTTATTTTTTTTAAAAAATCTGAATTTATTTTTATTAAATCTTCACGTTCTTAACATCCACGTTAAGGAAAGTTTCAGAAGTTCATGTAATACAGCTATCACACACCTAAGCTTTCACATGAAAGGAAAAATGTTCAAGTAAAGATTTCAAGGTAATGGTAATAAATCCAGGATATCCCACAGGACAGGGAATTTAAGTGTCAATGTGGAAGAAGACATTGAAATGCCCCCTAAAATTTTCTTTATTGAATGCTCCATTAATACTATATTAATCTTTAGCTATTTCATACCTTGTTTTCTCAACTTCCCTAAAAAAGAACCCCACCCAAGTTTTTATACATTCTAGGCACATAAAAAGTGCTAAGAAATACCTGTTCAAGTATCCTTACCAAGTTCTGAATATTAACACACATTGCCACTATCAGAGTGATAACCTCATAAGATAGCATTTGAGAATATATAAAGTACATTATACATTTTTTTTCCAATCACGAAAATGTTATTCATGAAATAGTTCATGGCACTGAAAAAAATTTCAAATTTATGGCAAAGTGTCTTTTTCTGTTACTATGAAATCTTTAAATAATGTATATTAAGTAAAACAAAATGACTGAGAGGCCAGTCTTCCAAATGTGTATGTTCATGCATCACATATACACACATATATTCATAAATGAGTGCCAGAACTGATTATGTCAATAATTCTCCCACCTATGCAATAAACTGATTATGTAATAAAATATATTTATAACATAACAGTAAGTCCTGAGTGATGCAAACACACACTCCCATACCCTTTTCAGATCTAAGCTCTTCAGTGTCCTTTATCAGTTGTTCAATTTCTGAGAGTAGTTCCAAGTTCTTCTTCTCTGAATCTTTTAGTTTACTTAAGGAGAAAAAAGGAAAAATGTCATTAATTTTTACTGCTGGTTAGTGAGCCACCTTGGATGTAGCCAAACTTACTTTACTTGGTTTAAATGTCAGTCATGCTGAATTAGGGCACTATAAATTACTGCAGGAAGAACAGTAATACAGCCTGCCACCTACTTTCATGTAGACAAACAGTTTTACTAGAACACAGCCAACATCATTCATTTAAGTATTGACTATGGCTGCTTTTACACTACAATAGTAGAGATGAGTAGCTGTGACGGAGGCTAAACAAAGCCTAAAATATTTACTTTGTGAACCTTTAGAGAAAACATTTGCTGACGCTGAGCTAAATTATTAAATTTTAAAATGTTATAAAATCAAAGGTTAATTTTAGAATATTGTTAGACTTTGTCAGATATTATACCATTACAGACAACCATGAAAGTGGAGCATATACAGGAGTAAGTTTATAGTTTTTGAAACTAGCTCATCTCCCTGATTTATGAACAATATGTAAATTCGTATGTCCTAGGCATAAAGAAAAAACATCATACTTATTTCAAATTACAAAACAGAGAATGACATTCAGTAGCTCTTTATGCTGGTATCAATTCACTTTCTCCAGAAATTAAAGTTTTCCCCTTCTCAATGACACATAAGCACCTTTAAGTAAAACATACTTATGCCTGCATTATTTATAGCAAAAAGCTTATAAGCCAAAAGTTTATCAACCAACAGAAGTATTATATATCTGGCCTTTGATTTGATTCAAAAGATTAACAATTGTAGTTTAAGGACTAAGACTACACACCATTAAAAACTGAATTCATGGGCCTGCCTTTCTTTTCAGCTTTTGGAACCTTTGGTATTCTGAGCAGTCAATGGATTTTCGTATTTGTAGTTTACTTGTGATGTGAAGTTCCTATTGTTCCTCTATGTCACTTAAACTGTTGCTTAAACTTTGAACCATGTTCATAATCAACCTAATTATGATTTTTTTCATTTAATCATTTCTGTATTATGATATGTTGTGACAAGAATTGAGGTAATGTGTTCATTAGCTAACTGCTTCAGAGTTTAACTTTTTAAAAAATACATAAAGGAACATGAAACACAATAATTATACTTAAAAGATACTATACCATTATGAAATGTGCCATCAATAGAATTTTCATTTATAAAAGACTTTTGGTAGAGGCCACAATTTTCAAATGATTATATTTTGTTTTCACCATATGTTGTATTTTTATACAAATATAATATTCCTAAAACTGAGAAAATTTTAGGTTTAATAAAATGTGAGAGTCAATTAAATTTTATAAATAAGGGGAAAAGTAAATACTGGAATATTATTTGCTACTATTAATTCTACTTTATGGACAAGCCAGAGGAAAACAAGGCTATATTAAAACCTCCTCACCATATACAAGGCTTGAAAGCATCTAGTTATTTAAAAATCTTTGTAACATTTTTGGACATCATTTTCTAAAAGAAAGCAATGGACAGGAAACCAAACATGTAACTTCTCTCCAAATAATTTTTGACAAACGTAGAAATTTTCTAGTGGGACTGTATTATTCAATCTTACCATTCTGTTATGATGTTAGATGCTTTAACTTTATTCAACTCTTCTTGGATAGCCTGTTTGGCTCTTATTTCTGCATCCAGAGCCGACTGCAACTCCAGTCTAGCTGACATATCCAGTTTTGCAAAACGACGCATTTTCCAGGGCATATCCTATGAAATAATGACTGTGTTTTAGTTTCATTCTGTTTTTAATATTTAAATTATTACAGTTAACCAGCTGTGTGTTACATTTTTCTAAACTGGACAAGACCCAAATGAACTGTTTTCTCATAAAAAACTTTATAGTAGACTAAAAGTCTAAACAAACTGATACAAGTAATCGGATTTATTATAGTGTTTTTTAAAATCTCTTTTTTCTAATATGATAAGCCTCCATGCAAAATCGTAGAAGCTTACTGTTGCTCGTGTACCCAAGCTGGAATTTCTTAATGCTTCCAATTCTTCAGTCATTTTAGAAGCTAAGGCCTGAAGATACCCTCGTGCATCCTTTTCATCGCTGACCCTAGAATATATAAAGACAAAGTACAAAAGTAAACCAAAAAAGCTTTAGTGCAATATATGCTATTTTAAAGCTTCCTAAAGAAGTAAGTGATAGAAAGTTCAAAGGCAGTCTTAAATAATTTCTTTCAAAAGGTCTACCATAGTATACCACCTGTCAACAACTGGGAAGAGGTTTATGGACTTGTTCTCTTATGTACATAGTACAGCTGGTGACGTTTACAAAAGCCCAAGTTACTCATAGCTGATAAATTAGTAAAACTTCACCCTCGAAACACAAAATTAACACTCTTTAAACCTAACAACACAGATGCACACATGGGTGAGGTTTTCTAAGTAATAAGATTTCTCATTAATTGGATTCTGCCATTATAAATCATAAAAACAACAAACCATTCTTAAAGCTGAAGAATATTAAGTTTAGAAAGCTTAACATAGCATATTCTGCAAAAATCAGGGTTATATTATAAAATTAAGCTCCTCTGTTTTCTAAATTAATCAATAAAATAACAAAGAGAAAGATTAAAGTTACCAAAACCCAATTTCTACATACTGTCTTAAGGCTATCTAGCTGGTAAAACAATTATAATTTTAGATAGAAAGTTTTCAAATTATATTAAGTAAAACAAATTCCACATTTTAGAATTTTGTCGAGAAAACATCTGCATTTCTTATACTTCCTTTATATGGGGGGATGGTGAGGGGAGGAGTCAGGCATATCTACATACCTACAAAAATCTACAAAAGAAGGTCCTATTCTCAGGAAGAATAAAAACCACTGGTATACAGAAAGCCACAGTGCACAAAGAAAAAAAAATGGAGTTGAAATTTGCAATGCCTTTCGCCATATTGGCCAGGCTGGTCTTGAACTCCTGACTTCTTCATCTGCCTGCCTTGGCCTCCCGAAGTGCTGGGATTACAGGCATGAGCCACTGTGTCCAGCCCACAAGTGTATTCTAACACACTTTTGGGTAGACAACTTGTCTTTGTGCAGGCTGGTTGTTTTCAGAGATAAAATCCAGGTCACTGAAGCTGTGAGGAAAGTATATTTCAGGCAAATCAGTATGTATCTGTGATATATACAGCAGACATGTTTACCTCTTGAGCTTTGCACTAGTACCTCTTAGAGTATAAACTCCTGAGCAGTCAAATTCATATATATCTTAAAGAGGCCCTTTAAAAGAGGGTTGGCACTCTTTTCTCTTAGATGGGAGGTTGTCTTTGGAGTACAAGCAAAAGAATTTATAGAGATGCAATAAAACCATTGTAAGAAGTTGCCCTCTCTAGTGACAGTTACATATTCTTAGGCTCTATGTACATGTACATATTTTTATTGCCTTTTAAGGAAAAATGGTTTTGGAAATTATGTTAAAAATGTTTGGGTAGCAAGGGTTGTGTTGTTCTAAAATTCTTTGAACACAAGTGACTGCAATCTTTTAATTTAATTAGCTGATCTATAGTATAAATTGGGATGTAGGAAGATTATCTTTTTCGGAATACAAAAAAGATACTTACATAGTAACAATGAAGAAAACTGTATTAACATTCAAGTGCCCAGGCTAACAGGTCTCACCTAGTGCTGGTTTAGTATCTACCATAGCTCAGAGATCTTAGCTTATGCACGTTTCCAAGAAACTGTGAAGTCCAATGTGCTTATTAACTTTGGAAATCAACTTCTTGTAAACAGACTTCAACTTGTTTGAAATTTTATATGACAATCTCTTTCTTCTAATTTTACTTTCTGTTTCCATGTTGAACACATTCACAATCCCTTACAACTGCAGTCTTCCACTATTTCCTAACTTTGGATTAAACCTATTTCTCTTTTTCTTGGCTATAGAGAATTACTGGTTTGGAGGGTAACTCATGCCACTTAAGTTCCACTGGACTCTAGGTCTCACACAACAACTCCTTTTCATAATCATGGCTATTTGCCTATTTTTCAAGCTCATTAAAAAAAAAATATCTTACTTTCTCCACCCCCAACACTATTTCTCTCTCTCTTTTTTTTGTTTTTTGAGAAAGAGTCTTGCTCGTTGCCCAGACTAGAGTGCAGTGGTGCAATTTCAGCTCACTGCAACCTCGTTTTGTGGGTTCAAGCGATTCTCCTTCCTCAGCCCCCCTAGTAGCTGGGATTACTGATGCATGCCACCATGTCTGGCTAATTTTTGTATTTTTAGTAGAGATGGGGCTTAGCCATGTTGGCCAGGCTGGTCTCAAACTCCTGACTTAGGGTGATCCACCCACCTCAGCCTCCCAAGTACTGGGATCATAGGCATGAGCCACTGTGCCCGGCCCCAACACTATCTCTTATTCCTTGCTTCTAGGCCATTTGGTTAAGTTTACTTATACTCACTCTCTTTTAAAAACCGTTTTAGAGGTAGGTGTCTCTCTTTTATTTGGTGAAATCATTCAAATAGATTCTTAATACCATAGTTATTATTACTATACATAATCACCCTCTCTCCTACACCTTATATTTTCAATTTCATTATTTTCATATGTTCCTTTAAACATGTACAAATTCTACCAAATCCAAAAGTTCCCTATGCTCCTCATTGACAAACCCCCAAACATCCTATTTTTTTCCTCTTTTTCATTGTTATACTACTGACATGTAATTGCTCTAGTATTAAAACCCTCCATTCACTCCTCTGTACTCCATGAGGTCTAATTCCTGCCTCAACTATTTTGCTGAAGCTAATCTGTTAAAACTCAACTACAAAAGGCCATCTTAGAGCTATAGTGTTCTCTTGGAAAATTTAATCCTTTCCTTCCAAGTTCTCTCAAATAATCAATTAATTAATACTTATTAAATACTATTACACTGGGCATACTAAGAAGACAAAAGAAGATATATAAGGTACACTTCTTGAACAGTCAGGGCATATACAGTAATTAGAAACTGATTCTTGAGTCATATACACCTGGTTTCAAATCCTAGTGCTTACCAGCTGTGTGACTTTGGGCAAGTTACTTCTCTAACTTTGTTATCCCACCTATAAACTGGGTATAGTAATAATATGTACTACCTCAAAGGACTGTGTAATAACTAAATATGAATACAAGTGAATTTCCAGCCTAATGACTAGAACACTCTTATGTTTTAATCAATATAAGCTATTACCTTACACAAATGAGCATTACTGAATGAGGAATGTTTCAAATAATGTGAGTGGATTTAAATAAAGAGAGATAAAGGTTTCATTACTGAAACCCTTTGTAATTATTAAACCCTTCTCCTGGTTCTCCTACAGAGCTGTTTCATCTAGCTTTTATAATATAGCCCTTACCATTCTCCTTTCTTGTCTCCTTAAAAAGATCTTAGCCATTTCATTGGCTTTATTTACTAGGAATTTAATTCCCAAATTTACATTTCCAATCCTAACCTTTATGTCAGTTATTCAAAAGCATATGAAAACTCTCTACTAAGAGATGTCTCAGGAACACCTCATTCTCACCAACAAACAAAATAAAATAACAGTTAAAACTGATCATATCATCTTCCCCAAGGTTGGTTACCCCTCTTGACTTTCCTATTTCAATGATACTATCATATTCTTAATCTCCTTAACCCAGAATTCAGAAATACTAATTTCTCCTCATCTCTTGTCCTTCATCTGTAAGTAGTATTAAGTCCTATAGATTTTTCTTTCACAATGTCTCCTGCATTTGTTCACTTTATTTCCAACCTTACCTTCTATTTCATCCTGAACATTACTGTTAAGAGCTATTTGCCTAATCATCATTTTAATTAATACCATTATCTTTGCAAAAACCTTCTCCATCTTACAAATAAGTGAAGGTAAAATTCTTACCTAGTATTCATGACAATTGTGTTGCAGTAACTTTATTAATCTTACTTCCCACTATTCTTTTACATAAATTCTCCAATTTGGTAAAACTAGGTATAGGATATTTTACTAAACTCAGTGTTTTCAGAAAACACAGTCTAGTTTAACTAATTACTCCCACCCTTCTCGAGTACCTAGTCTGAGATAATTCTCTCAACACTTCATTCTTATTTTTAAAAAGTCAGTATCTATTCAATATGTAAGGCATTTATATTTAAGTCTCATAAGTTATCTCCAGCTCTGGTCAAATTACTTTTTAAACTTTAAATGTTAAGTTTAAAGTTACTTAAAGGCAAGTGTAGTACTTTATCTTTTATAAATAAAAGTACTGTATCTTTTATTGTACCAGAAGAATGCTTTATGTGAGGAAATAAAGTTTAAAAATAAATCTTATGGACTAGCCTATTAATCTAACCACTCTTGGTACTATTATTCCAAAGAGAATACATGAAGTCCTCTGATGAGCCAATAGCAAGAAAGAAGGTCCCCACTCTAACAGTGGTGAGAAGCAGATGTTCTTGCTCAAGAGGTTTTCTTATTCAAGGGATATTTCACAGCAAAAGAGAGAGAAGATAGAGTTCAAGAGCCATTAGAAGTGCCTTCACAAAAGGTTATTACTATACATAATCACCCTTTATATACTGTAGTATTTGTTTTGTATTAACACTGTTCATTTGTCCCAGGAAACATTTAAAGTGCTGTATGTCATGAGGTCCTATAACCCTGTTTGAGCATTTTCATTTTTTAAAAGCAGACTGAGTATTCCTAATCTGAAAATCCAAAATCTAAAATACCCCCAAATCTGAAACTTTTTGAGAACTGACAAGATGCTTAAATTTTTGGATTAGGGACACTGAACTGCTAAGTATAACACAAACTTACCCCAAATCCAAAAGAAATCCAAAATACCTCTAGTCCCAAGCATTTTGAATAAGGAATACTCTATCTGTATACTAAACTCAAAGTGCTTTTAATGGAAAAAATATTTGAACCAAAATATGAATATAAGAAACAAAATTCCCAACAAATAATTGAGCTATAGACATACGATGTAACTATAGGCTGGGTATCCTTTATGTGAAATGCGTGAGACCAGAAGTATTCTGGATTTCAGATTTTTTGGACTATAGAATACCTGAATATACATAATGAGATTATCTTGGGGATAGGACCCAAGTCAAAACACAAAATTTGTGTATGTTTCATATACATTTTATACACACAGGCTGAAGGTAATTTTTTTTTTGAGATGGAGTGTCGCTCTGTAGCCCAGGCTGGAGTGCAGTGGCGTGATCTTGGGTCACTGCAACCTCCGCCTCCCAGGCCCCAGTTCAAGCAATTCTCCTACCTCAGCCTCCCAAGTAGCTGGGATTACAGGCATGAGCCACCATGCCCAGCTAATTTTTGTATATTTTAGTAGAGGAGGCATTTCACCATGTTGGCCAGTCTGATCTTGAATTCCTGACCTCCCCCAAAGTGCTGGTATTACAGGCGTGAACCACCATGCCCAGCAAGGTAATTTTTTACAATGTTTTAAAATATTTTTTTCATGTACAAAACTTAAACAACTACCATTTGCCAAAAAGGATTTAAAAAGTTAAATAAATATACAAAGTGAAACCACCTATTTTTACTTGGCAATAAAGCCTTCATTAGATTCTACTTTCTCCACGTATTACTAAAAAGTGAAAACTTTTACAAGCACCAGCATAATCACTTAATAAATGAATATGAAGGTTACTAAGATGAATATTCCAATCTAAATCCTAAGAGCTTGAGAAACAGTTGATAAAACTAAAATGTAACCATTTAAGGTTTTAAAAATGCCATGTGTGAATTAATCTGGTATAATCATAATAGAAGGTAACAGTACAGTATCTTGAGCTTCTAAGTATTTTTGCAGGCCTTTCATTTCTTAAAATACATATACAGCAGTTTCGATCCTAGAAAGGAACATCTATAGATAGCAGATGAATTTCAACGGTTCTCTAAGAACCAAGTTTGACTCTGGCGGTAGTAACATTTTCTTAGAAAGTAATAATCAGATTTCAATGAAGCTGTGTAAAAGCTGGTATGGAACATTTGTTAGAGTTAGGGAACAGAGGAACAGAACAGAAAACACAGTAGAACACAAAAAACAAATCAGTAATAAAACTGTACTTTTCAGACTAACTTATTTATCATAGCTGACAAATGAGATAAAAACCATTATTAGTAGCCACCTGGAATTCACACCAACTTGGCCACAAAACCACAATCATCTACAAAAACATGTTTAAAAGAGTACTCACCACTGAATTATTTCTGTGATTTGGGCTTCCCAATGTGCAACTGATTCTTTCTTGTCTGCTAGATCTTTAACTTCTTCTTCCAACTGCTGGTTGTGTATGCTTAAGTTCTCATACAAAATAGTAAGCTGAAAGATAGTTTTAAGACATGCATGAGTTTTAGGAACAAGAATTCAAGGTGTTCACACAGCTACTGTCAAATATGACTACTCACCACGATTTACCCAAAAATGCTTGTCTTTTTATTATAACAATCCCTTGTGCTCACTGAATTTGGATATCAAGTACTCTGAATTCTCCTGCTGTCTTTGTTTTTCCCTTACATCCTATAGTGAGTTGGTTCTGTGAATATTCTCTACTCGCCTTAAGAATTGCCTATTTCTGTTGGAAATAGCTTTCTTTTTTCTTTTTGTCCCCAAATGTCTTTATGTCATCTTTTCTCTTTTAAAAAAGCTTGTAACTTCAAGCATATACAAAAATGGACAATATAAATGAATTCCCATGACCCCAGTACCCAATTTCAACAAATGATTACTTCAACATCAATCTTGTTTCATTTGCACGCCTGTTCTTTCTTTTTCTTGAGCCTGAGTTTCGCTCTTTTTGCCCATGCTGGAGGGTCATGGCACAATCCGGGCTCACAGCAACCTCCGCCTTCCACATTCAAGCGATTCTCCGGTCTCAGCCTCCCTAGTAGCTGGAATTACAGGTGTGCACCATCACACCCAGTTAACTTTTTGTCTTTTTACTAGAGACAGTTCACCATGTTGGTCAGGCTGGTCTGGAACTCCTGACCTCAGATGATCTGCCTGCCTCAGCCTCCCAAAGTGCTGGGATTACAGGCGTGAGCCACTGTGCCAGGCTGTATGTCTGCTCTCTTATCCCCTCCTCCTATATTATTTGAAAACAAATACTATATATCATACAATGTTATCCATACATATCACTGTGTGTATCTCTAAAAAATAGGAATCTCTCTTTTAAAATGTAACAATAGTATACTGCAAATTTCCTAAGATCACATGGGTAGTAACAGTTCAAGTTTCCACTTATTTCAACATAACAAAAAACTTGTTTGTTAAACTGAATCATGATAGCAATAAGAAAACAAAGCTTAATGGTTTGTCTTTTTTTGTTGTTGTTGTTTTTTGAGACAGGGTTTCGCTCTTATTACCCAGTCTGGAGTGCAATGGCGCAATCTCGGCTCACCGCCACCTCCGCCTCCTGGGTTCAGGCAATTCTCCTGCCTCAGCCTCCTGAGTAGCTGGGATTACAGGCACGCACCACCGTGCCCAGCTAATTTTTTGTATTTTCAGTAGAGACAGGGTTTCCCCATGTTGACCAGGTTGGTCTCGATCTCTTGACCTCGTGATCCACCCGCCTCGGCCTCCCAAAGTGCTAGGATTACAGGCTTGAGCCACCGCGCCCAGACTTTTTTTTTTTTTTGAGACAGGGTCTCACTGTCATCCAGGCTGGAGTGCAATGGTATGATATCAGCTTATTACAACCTCTACCTCCTGGGCTCAAGTAATCCTCCCACTTCAGCCTCCCAAGTAGCACCCTAATTTTTTTTTAAATTTTTTTGTAGAGATGGGGTTTTGGAATGTGGTCCAAGCTGGTCTCAAACTCCTGGACTCACGCCATCCACCCACCATGGCCTCCCAAACTACTGGAATTACAGGCATGAACCAGCAGGCCCAGCCCAAAGTCTTTCAAGTCTATTTTATGTATAGGTTCCCTGCAACACCTTTATTTTTCTTTTGGCTTGAAGAATGAGGTTGTCCTGCAAAGTTTTCTGCATTGTGAATTTTTGCCTTCATTTCTGGAAGGCATTTTTGCTGTAAATAACATTCTAAGTTGGCAGTTATTTTACTTTAGCACTTTTAAGATGTTCTTTGAATTCCATTTTTAGTTTTTCTGTTGGGAAGTCAGTTTTCAGTTGAACTTTTACTTCTTTGAACATAATGTGTCTTTCTTCTCTGGTTGCTTTTAGAATTTTATGTTGCTTGGTTCTGGCAGCTTTTCTAGGATTTGTCTAAGTGGGGTCTGATTTCTTTTAATTATTTCACTTTTAGGGTTTGTGGTATTTCTTGAATTTGTGGCTAATTGTTTCTCATAGGTTTGGAAAAATTCTGTGCCATAAACACTCTTCAAGTATGGCACTACCACCACCTCTCTCTTCTTGCCTTTTGGGAAACCAACTGTTTGTATGTTATAGCTTTTCATCATATCCTCTATGTCTTACATCCTCTTTTCTATATTTTCTATTCTTTTTAATCCCTGACCACACTTTAGTCTAAAAATTTTTTTTAAAGATATGCAGTCCTTTTCTTTGTTTCTCTCCAATATGTTGTTAAAACATTCTATTATTTTGGTTATTTTTTGCTCCTAGAAATTCTATTTGACAGTTTTGCATAGATTCTAATTGTTCGCTAAAAGTCTTCGTATGTTTACTTTCTTGAACATTATCACACAATTATTTTAAAGTTCACTCAAAAATTTCATTCTGGGAACTCCTGTGGGCCTGTTTCTACTGACTGCCTGGTTTTCATTTTCCCTTTTTTAATTTTGTTTTTGCTGTTGAATTTTTCTCCTGGTTTTAAATGATTTGGTTGTGTTTGCTGATATGCCTAGTAATTTTTTACTGCATGCCTCCCATTATGTATAAAAATTTTAGATAACTTGAGGCTCTGGATAACAGCTTCCTCCAGAGGGTATTTACTTTTACTTTTGGTGGACAATCAGAGTAAAGACAGATCAAGGATTGAAAAACTGAGAGGTTGGGTTTCGGTCACTGAGGACTCATCTTTCTGACTCACCCTTACTCCTAAAATGTAGCCTTTCAATAGGTTCAACTGAAAGTTTGAATTATTTACTAAGGATCCTGTAACTTGATAGACAATGTACTTTCATTTTTCTATCTCCAGCCTTGTAAAACTGTGGACTACCATGTTCAGCTTCCTAGATTCTGAGGTTTTTCTGCTTTCATATCTGCAAATGCCTAAAGAGGAAAAGTGGCACTAAATGTTGGGCTCACTGCTCTGTACTACTCTTCCCTTTAAGATCTTGGTCAGTGAAGTCCTGATTTCCTTGTTATCATTCCAATGACTTCCTACAGATGAATACTGTAAGTGGTATTTGTATAGTATTATTTTTAAAATCCAGCTGTATCACTCTTCTTGGTGAGGGTATGATGTAAGCTAATCTGTCAAAGCAGCAAAACGTTCTTGCTTTAAGTTTTTAGAAAATTCATGAAAAAGGCCAGACGAGGTGGCTCATGTCTATAATCCCAGCACTTTGGGAGGCTGAGGTAGGCAGACCACTTGACGTCAGGAGTTCGAGACCAGCTTGGCTAACATGGTGAAACCCCGTCTCTACTAAAAATAAAAAAATTAGATAGGTGTGGTGACATATGCCTGCAATCCCAGCTACTTGGAAGGCTGAGACAGGAGAATCACTTGAGCACAGGAGGCAGAGGTTGCAACGAGCTGAGATCAGGCCACTGTACTCCAGCCTGGGTGGCAGGGTGAGACTTCATATCAAAAACAAAACAAAACAAAACAAAACAAAATTCATGAAAAAATATTTGCATACTATTTTATTCAATTTCATAGCTACCTTTCTTTTTTTAAAACTGATAAATGGTCCCATCTGTTATTTATTACTGTTCCTTTCTTCCTTTTTGGTATGTCTGTAGAGATACTCTGTTAGTTTCTTCTTGATTACTAAACTTTCATGAAGGTGAGTTGCTCCCAGAGGATCTATTTATAGGATTTTAGGAATAAAAGAGCCATATGATTGTCAACTTGACTGGGCCACAAGGTGCCTATATATTGGGTCAAACATTATTCTGGGTAGGTCTGTGAGGGTGTCTCTGGATGAGATAACATTTAAATTTGCAGACTAAGATGGCCCTCCCTAATGTGGGTGAGCCCCATGTGATCAACTGAAGGCCTGAGCAGAACAAAAAGGCTGACTGCACCAAGAGTAGGAGGGAACATCAGCTTCTCCTGCCTTCAGACCTGAAATGAGACAGAAGCTTTTCCTGATTGTTAAGCCTGCCAAGCTTTGGGACCGAAAGTACAAAACACACTCTCCTGGGTCTCCAGCTTGCCAAATGCATATCTTGGGACTTGTCAACCTCTATAATCACTTGAGCCAATTCCTTATAATCTTCCGTTGCTCCCAAAACACATAACACATACACCCCACCTCTTCCCTGCATACACACTCACTCTATTGGTTCTGTTTCTCTGTGGAACCCTAACTAACACAGGCCACAACAACGTTCTAAGTCAAGGATTTGCAAATCTTTCCAGTAAAGAACTGGACGTCAAGTATTTTCACCTCTGTGGGCCACATAATATCTTAAATCATCATCATCATCTTTGTAAAAATTGCCATTTAAAAACGTAAAAATCATTTTTAGTATGCGGTTCAGACAAAAACAATCTGGGAGCTAGATTTGGCCAGAGGCCACAGTTTGCCAACTCTCAATTTTAAGTTATTAGGAATTCTACTAATGACTGAGGATTTTATTGGTGTGCATTTTTAACCTATATTTCTGTGCAGAGATAGGCAATTTTGGCACAAATCACAAAGCAAAATTTCATTTCTTCTCCTCTGGCAAAAGCAAACAAACAAAAATTGTTTTATGCATATACAGTTTGTGTGTAATTCCCCATTTAATCCTACATCCAACCTCTGTGTTTTCCCAAAAGGAAATGAGTTCCAGGGAAGCTATCACTGCTAGCACACACTGATTTGCCTACTGCAACCAAGAGATTTAAGTTTTGTACCTCAGGGTGTGCCATTCGGTTCTGAAAATGTAATTTTACCAGTTTTTTGTTTTTTTTTTTTTTAATGGTTTTACTGAGGTATAATTTATATAACATAAAATTCACCCATTAAAAGTGCATAGTTGAGTGATTTTTAGCAAATTTAAACAGTTGTATAGTGATTACTACATTCCAGTTTTGGAACACTTCAAATACTCAAGAAATACCCTCATGCTTATTTACAATTGATCTTGGTCTCCAACCTGAATTCTAGGTATCACTGATTTGCTTTCTGTGTTTGTAGTTTTGCATTTTCTGAAATCTTATATCAGTGAAATAACAGAATATGC